TCTAATTTCAATTTCCTGCACAACTCTGGAAATGTGATATTTCTTGCCCTGTCGGTAAAGCTTTTCTCTCAACAGCCGTTAACCACAGCAAATAGATACTGAACCGTTACCTCAATGAGATTTTTAATTTGACATTGCTGAGACCACTGTAACGTGTTTTTATGAAAGACAATCTTTCTTGGATTGAATACCTTGTTAAATATGTTCATCGTAACATCTTCGCCCTGAAAACGACAAGGAAAGATCCCAGAGACACCAATAAAATACGACTTTTAACGCCATCGGGAAATCACATGGCCTTATCGAGAGTCAAAATTAAGTCTAATGTAATAGGGTTATTTTTGTCAAAACGAATACATCCACCCTATCGTTACCGTCGATATAAACTAGTCCTTCAATGAGAATTGAGACAAAGAGACAAATCTTCCATCTTCCGATCATGTGATCTTTCCGCGAAAGGTTATAAACTTCACAATGTTTCTCTAACAGGCACAGTCTTTCACAAGCACTGTCCGTTCAAACTATACTATAGTGATGCACAATCAATAAATCATCACGCGCGATTCCATAAATGCAAATACGTATTCTATAAATCCATACTTCATGTCGACAAGATCTTTCACAAGCATCTTGCCACATAAGTGTAACGTCGAGAACCTAAATATACATATATCAAAACTTAACCTAATCGCTCTTAACCGAATTCCATTTCCCACTTCAACTCCAACTCCAACGAACTCAAAACTAAACTCTATATGTAACACGCCCAAAATATAACTAAACAAGAACTTATTGTAATGCTACATAGCTACGTAAATTTACATAATAATAGTGAATACAAAATATATTAGTCCCAAGATTAATTACATAAACTGAATAATGATCCTTACAATCCCAAAAGAAATAGTTAATGAATCTAAAGGTGCAATTAGAAAACAAAAGGAATTATAAACAATCGAATGTGCGAACGGTGATAAAATTACTAAGGTTACAGGATGCAAAACAAACGAAATCCAAACTAGCACTATTACACTAAAACCAAATTTTCAAACTTTTTAGATTGGAAGTGCTCGCAGAAAAAGCCCAACAAGCGCGGTCAAAAAGACACCACATAATGGCTCTGAAAAAGCCAACATTTTCCAAGATGACTTAAGCTTTTTGTCTGGCACTCTTCAGAGTTTAGAACGTCAAAATAAGGTCTGAAAAGATCAAGAAAGAAAAGGTATTCCCAGCTATGACTGAAAAATGGCCAATCAGAAAAACGCTAGCACACGAACCATTTTGGCACACATGGAGTTTAAAAACTTTCAGATAGAATGGATGCATACAATGTTCAAAAGACGTCCAACCATTCTCAAGAGGCGTTTCACGCACAAGGCGTATCTCGCATAAAGGCGTATCTTGCACAGGGCGTATTGTTCCAGCGACCAGCGAGTCTCATCCCTGTCTGACATGTCCACTTTTTAATCATTTATGAACAATGTCCATTTTTTTTAATCCATTGAATCTCTTGAATCTATTCCTGGGCCACCAAATCATACAATACAGTGTTCCAGGTCAATGAAAATATACCTCTCCTATTTTATCTTTTAACGGATTTCGATAAATTAACATTTTCTATCTTGGAATACAGAGATAGATATCTTCACCAGGCGTACCATTCTAAAACATAAGGAAGGGGGGGCTGTGCTGGCGGAAACTTCTAGGAGCATACCCAAGCTCATACCCATGGTCACACCCTATATACTTACCTTTGAGTGTTTTAAAGATTCGCCGTTATGTATCTATCATATTTAGTTTATTAACCGACTACTAAATGCTAATTAAAATTGATCATTCATGGAAAATCAATAGCATAATAAAGTTTTAATTCACTTTGGCAAGTAAGGAATTCGCTTAACCAAACATATACTTCTTAAGGGAGGGGGACTGGGAGCCACTAAATCCCTCTTAATTTTAACAAGAGTACTCCCCGAGCCCTCTACAACCTGATACCAGATTTGTTTATTCGCCATCTAAGTGACCGTAAAGTAAAGACATGTAAATTGAATTCTGAGAGGATATGAAAAGTCATACGTAAAACGTTGCAATGCCCAAGTATTCCATGCCCAAAGCCGCTTTTTACGTTATTCCTATGCCAGGTCACATTTATTCAATGACCTACAAAGCTCTGAACCAGTGTTGTAAAAGAGACACCTTGATCCCATGAAAAAAATGGCTGCAAGAAGGACCCTTCAAGTGGTGTAGCAATATACGAAACATCAAATTTTTCTCGAAAACTAGGGGGAAATGGGTTATAAGCTTTATTTGTAGGACTTTTAAAGATTTAAATACAATGTAAACTCGGGCGAATCTCAAAAACATTGGCGTAGACATATTTTGGTGCCGCTTTGATCGGATGACTATAGTTATTGAACAAAGGTTACCCTTAATAGCGTTATGCTACTGAAATGAACTACAGAGCAGAACTACAGAATAGTCGGTTACTAAAGATAAAGCAATGATGATAATTAATCGTATCCTGTTTTCTTTCTTCTGGAGGGATTGGTTACTCGATAACACGTCTTCTTTTATGGTTTCCATGACACCAATTATTTCCAAAAAGTTATCTCCTTCAAGTATTCGAAAATTCAATTCATTTAGCTTGTGTTCAGCTTAGGCCTCTTCTCCTTCTCTGTGAACGATTATTAAATCTTCCCCTGCTCCCCTCCCACTTTCCAACCTGCGTCGGAGCTCATGCTTATAGCATCTCTCTAACCTCCACACCGTTACTTAACTCTTTACAAAAAACGCGCTAAAAATCATCTAGGTTGGAAAACTATAATTTCTCAAAGGTTAACAATGTCTTTCGAATTGCGTTTCAACCGCTAAACCAATACTTGCGAAAACTGAAACTCAACTAAGTCTTGTACCCGGCAAAACACTCCCTGTAAAATTACTGGAGAAATAACGGGAAAACCACAGTATTGTTGCGCAATAAAACTTTCCACAGTGCTGAGTCACAAATTCTTAACATATGAAGGATTGCGAATTCTTGTCGAAACCACGAAACGTTGTTAATATTGATTGATAAACTAAGAAAACTAATATATTGGACCCCTGCAAGTTTAACTTAATGGTGACGATGTGTTCAAGTTTTTGTGTCCTTCAAATTGTAAATGGTCTTTGTGTCCTTGCATTTATTGAGGACCAATTATTTTCATTGCTAGAATATAGGATTTTTACAATATTTCTTACATACATACTACTATACATTTCAAATTAATATACAGCACTCACTGCAGGTAAGATGTCATGGCAAGCGAAAGACAACGATTTCCCCATGCCAACATACAAATAAAGGAAGCGTTTAACTGTAAACAGTAGGCAGGGCAGAGCCCGGGGGAGGGGGTTGGGGGCTTTAGCTCCTTCACTTTTGCTGAAGTATGAAATTCGGGTTGTGGCATCAAGAAAATGGTGGATATACTACAATAAAGTTGCCAATTTGTCTAGAGCCGCCACCCCACCACCCCAATATGTGGTCCAGCGTCCCTGGACAGTACACTACGAACGATTGAACGATTATTTATACTATATTAGATTCTATCTCACATTGGATGTCAGATCAGGGTTGCAATGAATAAGAATAAATAGTGCCAACTTTGCACTGATACTAAGCATGAATAAACGGAAATTGAAAGGTAGCCAGGAAGTTCGAGAAACGTAAAAGCAGCTGGGTCTGAACACAGGCTAGGCATTTCTGAGAAACAGTTTAGAAAAGGCAGAGACATCTTCAGGGCAGTTTCTCTCTATAAAAACGGCTATTTGCCACTTGATTTAAATACGAGCCATTCTAATGTTGGCTATTCTAATGTACCAGCCAAGCCGGTTTTCTGTTCTTTACAAAACTAGAATAAAATCCTGTATCCTAGCAACAACGAAATATTTCTGTTGACTATTGAAATTCACTGTAAGCTTCCTCATCTTGTCTTTCCGAAGCCAGATTTGAATTTAATTGTATGTGCCAATAATCGGGTCATTAAATATGCAAAGTAAAAAAGCTTATTGAATAAAAAAGATTAAAAAGAGTTTAACTTTATTCTCATTTTGTTCACTTTCTTTTCTTTTTTCCGCATGGGTTAATTTGTCGCTCGGACAAAAATAAAGGATAATTGCATCAGTTAGAAATTTGAATTTGTTATTCTGGTTATTTTATGCACTGCATTCTAAATCAATTGCTTTGGGCTTTCATATTGCTGAAAAGGGTGCGTAGAAAAGCTCCCCGAGATCGATGCAAAAGATGCAAAAGCAATTATATACAATGTCACAAAGTAAGAGTCCTTACTCTGTGACAATGTCTATTTTCGATTGCCCCTGCGTTGCAGCATACTTATGGTAGTTGCTAACTCAGAAAATACCAATCAACACTGGGACAAAGAAGGAAAAAGGGAAATGGCTAGTGGTTTCAGGAGCTTAGGGGCTGCCCATGCCAAAAGCACCCCTTTTCTTCTTCTAGATGTTGTTCCGAAAACTTCTTCTTTCTTTGAGCCCCTCTCCCTTCCTGTTTCTTGCATAGCAATACACTCTTGGCCTTGAATAAGAGTATTAGTTTCCAACCACCGAGGGCTAGCCGAGATGGGCGGCACAACCCCCTTCAGCTATGCATTAGAGTTACCCCCCCCTACCCCCAGGGTACAAAAATCAGTATAATGTCAACATTCCAGTTAAGAAATTCCACGAAATCTTTATAGTTAAGACAAAATCAGTGTCATTCAGACATGGCGTCGCCAGCCCGAAGGGGCTTAGGTGAACAAAAAAGATTTACTCTACCAGCCCCTTCAGGCTCTTGAAAAATGTGGGAAATATCTTGTGTTTTTATTCTATTTCGAATTCTTTGCAAAAGCAGGATCTGATCAGGCCAATTTAGAAACAAAGTTGGTTTGTTTGAGATAAGGAAACTTTCCCTGTGTCGGTCTGGTGCCTCTGACGCGCTTAATCTGCGGCTTATAGAGCTGCGTGAAATCTGCGGGATTTGGAATATATTATCCTAATTTTTTTGTTCACGTGTTAAAGGTGAATAATTTATAGCTGAGAGCTTGTGCATGTTGCTCTCTCTTGACCGGGTGGTGCAGGAAAATGGCGTCAACCGATGTAAAGGATGCCCAGGTTTGTTCACTCACTGCTCGTAAAGAAGTATCGGCATACGAATTTGTCCAAACATTGACAGTTTTTTATGTGGCATGGGATCTGCATCATCAATTTTTGTGGCTATCTGTGTGTATTAAAGCGGATTTTGGCCTGTATCCATCGTTCGCATCGTAACAGCACACCGGACTAAATTGACGGGCGCTAAACATTTCGAAATATCAACCGGCTCCACAACCAGCATCGCAACAGTTATTCATGTTCTGGTTTGCCTTCATTCAAAAAATGGAAATATTTCTTTCAATATTATATGAAACTAATGACGAGAAACAAAATGCCCCAACAAGTTATAATTGAGATGAGTTCATAGGTGGTTTCAAATTAAGTGGGAGGTGCGGTGCATGTTTGACGTGCTAAGTACTCTTGCAGATGAATTTTAGGGAAACGTTGAGCGAAAAGCAGCAATGTGATTTTAGAAAAGACTTTATCAATGCTTTATGTCGGTCATAGAAAATCGTAGGTAAAGGGCTAAGTTGCCTAAGCTAGCTCTCAGGTCAATTTTTGTTACTTCAAAAGTCAAGCGAACTTTTTAACTTGTTGAGAAACGTGTGCTCAGAAAACGTTTCTTTCTCGGCAACTATTGATAATAATTCTGGTGTGTTCAGTTATATGATTAATCGTTTTCTTATTTTCACAGCCTGGTAATTCAGACAGCTACGATGTGACGATCAAAGACAGCAAGACTGGGGGGAAGAAGTCAAAAAAGGCAGAGTTAGATGATTTGAAAAAGGAAATTGAATTTGTGAGTAGATGTTTTGAGCGCCTAGTGTTTCTTTCTCAATTCCATGTGGGCTTCCTTTCTTGCTTTGAACAAACAGGCCCCTATTCAGATCAGCTTCACATGCAGGTAGAACTAACGTGCACATTTCGCCCTAGAGTTCTGCCTGTTTCGTATGGTTTCTAGCTCATTTTCTCGCATTTTCACTGAACCTTAACAAAGCACTAATCGAAGCATGAACTAATGAATTGTTTTATGGCTTTCCTTATGCATTTTTAGACTAACCAGTTACAAAGGTTCGTGCTTTTATTTTAAATCCCTCAACGACACCCGCCCCCTTCGAGCGCGTAAAGGTAATTCAGTTATCCCGATTATGGACGCGAAGCCTTGCCGAGTGCCTAAAGGAATCAGAAGTCGCTGGAATTATCACGCCATCAACTGCCGTTCCCTGATCAGTTTTGAAAATACATTTTTTGGCCTGAACTGACAATTTCAACGAATCTTTTGATATTTCGTACGGCAAACAGAATCCTACCTTGCCGGCCATATTTTCCGCGTTTACAACAACCTATATCCAGCGATCGAATTTGAAAAAAATTTCACATACAGAAAGCTCGTCGAAGACACACGTTTCGATGATGTTGTAAGATGAGTTTTACAAGGCTATTTACAAGGCTATTTACAAGACAACTACCAGTTGCTCATTCATAGTGTATGTAGGCATATTCGACTGGTACTGATTCATTGCACATTTAAACTTATTGTCTGCTAAAATAACAGTTACCATTTTCTCCTAAACTCACTTCAGTATAGGGGACACCTGTTTTTGGTATTGTAAATGGATTTAACTAAGGTTGGGGTTAAGTTTAACATTAAAACTCCGAAAGTGTTGTATAAGAGCATGGTAAAGGCCTTAAAGACAAAAAAGCCTGAAGAGAAAGATATTAAAAATAATAGAATAGAAACTTTATCATATGCATTTCTTGCCACAAATAGATTCAGCTATATTTTCTGTCTTATGTCTAGAAGAAAAGTATAGGAAGCCTCATTTGGTGTAACTTTTTTTGTTCCATTTTTTCTCATAGCCTTTGGTTATTCTTAATTTGTTGGAACAGTTAGCTTTACTGTGTGATAAAATAGACACTTGGAAACAAGTTAAGAATTGCAGTGCATGTAGAATTGTGGATTCATACGTGTGAATTTGAGGTGTTGGAATGTTTTATGTAGGTATACTTGTATATGTATTAAATCTCATGACAAATGTTGACTTAACTGTGATCATCATGGTGGGAACAAATCTTTTGTTACTTTTGGTATAATTTGATAGCCATTGTTATGTCGCTTGTGGAAAAATCAGATATTTCATTTCTTCTGTTAATATTCTTTTGGTTCCATCAAGAGCTGCTTTGAAAATGTATTTCTCTTGTCAATTCAGTTCAAATGTTCTGTGTAGCACAGCACAACACATTGTTGTGGGAAAATGATAGCACCTACTGGTATAGATCCATTCATTTTAACTTTTTAAATAACATTGCTGGCATTTCCAAAGATCTTGGCAAAGAAATTATAACAGTTTTTAGAGAGAAGGGCCAGAAAAGTATCTGTTTGAAGGTGGTTTTTCTCCAATTGCTTTGTTTTGTTTTTTTGGATCAAATCATCTTCACATGGTTTCCATATTCTGATGTTTGTGCATTGATTGTTTTTGTTTCTTGAAGACTTTGCTTACATATCTATATATAAATATCCAAGGTGTTCTACCATTTAGGTATCTAAATTTGTTGCAACCTATTATTCATAATAGCTGCAATATAAAAAAATTAGTGTGAAGTAAGACAACAGTTAATGCACTGTTGTCGGACTGTTTTGATTATTTTGGAAATTGTGTGACAAGTAATATGTAAAGAAAATATAAATTTTATTTTTGCCTTTCGAAGGTACTATTTTACCGTTTTTATGCCTGACACATGGCAGAATGAGAGAAAAGTTTTCAGATGTCTATTGATTGAAAGCAAGAAATATTACGCTTCCTAAAACACAATAAATTATGGATGAAATTATTCTTTTTTCTCTATTGTTAATGTTTTAAGAATCAAAATTGATGTTTAAAGCTATTCTTTTTCATGAAAATGTGGAAAGTTTTCTGGCATCTTGCTGTAGCATGTCCTAACCAGCCACATTAATTGATCTTTCATATCCTAATGTGACTCAAACATTTAAGCATGTAAAGTAGCATAAGCTTATTTCAGCCAAGGATATTGTTAACAAAATTCTTTTTGCAAGATTATGGATTAAGCTGGGATTTCTATTGACCTTAGAGGATAAAAAATTGAATGGTTTAGAAGATCAGAACCATGTTACAGAACATCTGCTGAGTATTTCATAATACTATCAGTTAATTTGTAGAGTGGAATGCAGTGCAGGCTATCCACTGCAATATTTCATTAATAGCTTATGTGAAGTCACCTTGTCAGGAGTGCAGCTGTTGAAATTTCATGATATAACAGTAAATCATAGGAAGGACTGGGTTGCTACCAGCCTTTACAATACTTTAGATCTATCAGCTTCTATAATAATCAATAGTTACAAATTTGGTTGTGTTAATTGTTTGTGCCAGTACAATACAGGCTGAAAATTTTAGCATTTTTACAGGGGCTTACAATTAATCTCTGAAAATAATACTCAAACAATTAAGATTGTTAAAGTTACAAATTGTATTTTACAAGAGAGGATGGGTTGTTGGTATTAAGGAAGCTGTAAAAGTAGTTATAAATTTTAATCTCAATGTCCGAATTAGGTTTTTCAAAAGTGAATCAGGAAAATATTTTTTTTATGTTTAAGGTTTGTGTCTCTTGTAATTAAGATGGAAAAATCTGTTTTTTAACATTTTAACAATTTGTAAGGTTGGTTTTTTTGTTGAGTGAAACCCACTCATGAAAAACTAATGCAACACTGATGAGATGTTGTTATTTGGAGCCTTGCATATTATTTGACAGAATGTTGTTCCTATCAGATAGGAGAAGATACTATCATATTTTAAGGTGCTTCTCTTGTCTCAAGGTGTTAAATAGAAATTACTGAAATTTCCACTTACTTGCTCCTAACACTATCAAAGTGAGTAAATATTATAGTTCAGACTTAAAAGTAGTTGCTGAGAAGTGCTATTTTGTAGTTGAAGGTTATTCCAGATAATAATTGCCTGTAATGATGATTCAGAATAAATATTGTAAGATTTGAAATAAATTTCCAGACCCTAGCCTGTCTGCAGACTTGACAAGTCTCTTGCTAAAAAATTTTTTTGCTACAGTTCCCTTAAGTCTGCACCAAGACTACCAGAACCTTTGCTACTTGCAAAATATACTTGATGGATGATTTCAAGTTCCTTGTGAAACTATCATCCATTCTCAAAAACCATCAATTTTTGTCAGGAGAAATTGAAAACCAATTTGGTTATGTGTCTACCACTATCTGTCAGTGTCTGTCAAAAACATTACCAAGGACTTCCTTTTTTCGAAATTCCTTCATGGCTCATGAAAGGTAATCTTGTGATCGTTTGAAATTTCAGATTGTCATTTGATATGCTGAGCTGTCTTAATAGGAGATATCAATGAATAAACCAGGAACCCCCTCAGTAATGGCACAAAACCACTTCTTAATTGCAGAATTTAATAATTTTTCAAGTATTGTAATTTTTTCTCATGTGAATGATTTGTATTAGTATTAACTACATGCTGTTATAACACTCTTTCTCTTTGTTGGCTATCAAATGTTAAGAAGTCACCTTGTGGATGATTTTTATGTTGGTTTGTGTTTTATCCATTTTTGGTATTATTCCTGTTTTAGCTATTGCTTAACATTAGTCTGTTTTTTCTTAGGATGATCACAAAGTCCCGATTGAGGAACTGGTCGACCGACTTGGAGCAGATGTCGACACTGTGAGTAGGATTTATTTTTGTTAATTGTGTGGCTTTTGCAAGTTTTGAAGAACCTGTCTTTTAGAAGAGGGGTGTCCCTGGAATTACAAGTGTTGTTGTAAAATATTTTGAATATCATCAAGAACGTTTATCTGAGCTTGATTAGGGACGATAAATGTCAATTTACTTTTGACTGCCTGAAATTCCTTTTTGCTATATTGTTGTGATATAAAGCATGCTGCAAAAGCAACATATCTGTTAACTCAAAAACATTTTTTAAATTTTTTCAGGGAATGTCAAAAGAGAGGGCGGCAGAAATTCTTGCCAGGGATGGTCCCAATGCCCTCTCCCCGCCTAAACAAACTCCAGAGATAATCAAATTCTTGAAACAGCTGTTTGGAGGTTTCTCCATGTTGCTGTGGATAGGTGCTGTACTTTGTTTCCTTGCATATGGTATCAGAGTTGCAAGAGAAGCAGAGCCAGCATTAGATGAAGTAAGTGTTTTCAACTACTTATATTTTTCACGTTAATCACAATGTCTTCAGTATTTCATATATCACTATATGTTCTTGTAGTGTGGTATTTTTTGCACAAGTTGTTTTAAATTTCAAGAATAAAGAAAGTTATTTGAATGCAGATGTTATAGAAACTGAAACAAATTTTAATGAAAATTATGGTTTAATGCTTGGGTAGAATTTAAGGAGAGTATGACCTCAAGCTGATGTTATGTCAAGTTGCCAGGTCTTTCTATCCTCTTTAACCATGGTAAGACCTTTGACTTAGATTAATTGTATTAAGTTGATTAAAGATTGTTATGTATCTTATTGATCAGGTTGATTTGATGAAGTTGTTAAAATTATCATTTTATTGATTAAGTTTTACAAGAATCTGATATTTATTTGCTTATTTTTTCAGTTTTACTTGGGATGTGTGTTGGCAGGTGTAGTCATTATCACAGGATGTTTCAGTTATTACCAAGTGAGTCTTTTTCAATATTTACCAATGTTGTGATGAAACTGTTTCAAAGCAATTGGTTGTCAATCTTAAAACAGAGTACTCCTGAAACATGCCATTTCGGGTGTGTATCTGGAGGAAGTATAGCGTTTAGCGAATTTGAATACACTAAACTATTATTAGAAGTTCACTTGTTCACCTCTTAAGATTGTTATATTTGATTTTGTAATATCTTATGTCCACATCATAGCTTGTACTTAATCACCTTTTTATTGTCATCCACAATTTTTGCCTTCTGACCATTAGAAGAAGCTGGCATTGTGAGGTTACTTTAAAATACTATATGGTTGCCTGATTAAATTGCACATAAATTCTAGATGATGTTTTTCTGTCATTTTAGGAAGCAAAAAGCTCCAGGATTATGGAAAGTTTCAAAAAGATGATTCCTCAAGAAGCTCTTGTGTTAAGAGCAGGGGACAAACTAGTGATGCCAGCTGAAGATGTTGTCCTTGGTGACATAGTTTTTGTTAAATTTGGGGATAGGATTCCTGCAGATCTTAGGATTCTAGAAGCTAAAGGTTTCAAGGTAACCAGAGTTTATACTTCTGGTAAATTCAAAACGGTTATGATAAATATATTTAACAGCTACAGGTTGTGATATGTATGGTCTCAAGGATTTGCTGTTGAAGTGAGTGACCTGAGCTACAGGACTTGTTCTACAAAAAACCTTCAGTTCATTGCAATTAGACATGACCACATAAGCTTTGATCTATAAGTTTTATTGGGTGTTTACTTTCAGCATGACTTTAATTGTCTTCCTTTCTGCCATGCAAATGAGTTTTTACATATAAACTTGGCTAGCATAGCATGCAAATGTATCAACAAGTGTCTGCTTCACACAGAGTATGTCTTTTCAGCTAAAACAATGAGCTGGTGCTATTTCCATCTTTAGGTAGACAATTCATCTCTAACTGGTGAATCAGAGCCTCAGCAACGTAGCCCAGAGTTCACCAATGATAATCCTCTAGAGACCAAGAATATTGCCTTTTTCTCGACAAATGCAGTAGAGGGAACAGCAAAGGGTATTGTTATTGCAACTGGAGACAGAACTGTCATGGGCAGAATTGCACATCTTGCTAGTGGACTTGGCGTGGGCAAGACACCAATTGCAAAGGAAATTGAGCATTTCATCAACATTATCACTGGTGTGGCAGTCTTCCTTGGTGTCAGCTTTTTCATCATCTCAATCAGTATGCAGTATGAATGGCTGGAGGCTGTTATCTTTTTAATTGGTATCATTGTTGCTAATGTACCTGAGGGTTTGTTAGCCACTGTCACTGTAAGTACCATGCAGTTTACCTTAATTTCGATTATATCTGTTGCTGGTGACCAAAGAAAACTGGAAGCTCTGTCCTCATTCTGCCAATCAAACAACTTAGGTGACAAGTTGAATCCCTTAAGGATTTCAAAGCATGTGCCTTAAAGATGTGCAATAAGCTTGCTTACTTAACACTATAAAAAATTTGCTTCCTTTGTTTTTAATGTAGAAAGTGCTAGGGCAAATTGAATAACCTTTCCATACTTTGCCATTTGGTCATGGATTTTGAATCCTCTAAACAATTTAAGTGCTTCTAAGGTCACCACATCATTTTTTCTTTAAAACCAATGTGAAATTTTTTGCTGATTTCGATGAATTAAGCTATTTTTGACGATAGGATGTTGTAATCCTGTTTAAAGGCTCAGAAAGTGCCAAAACACAGAATAGAGGCAAAACAAAGCATGCCTCCAGTGACGTCAGGAGGTGTTGCTGATGTTGCTTGGGGAGCATGTAAATACAATAGGCCTAATGAACCAGCATGATAATTGTAAAGCGGAAGCAAAGTTTATGATGAGGAATATTCAGACCTAATACAACCAGAAAATAATAGTGTTTATTTCAACATGTTTTAGTTAGAAAGCTGCTGCCATAACAAACTGTCTGCTGCGATGATTTGATTTGGCCTAACCACACAGAAACAATTATGATCATGCTTACAGCTCACAGAGGGCGAAAAGTGAACTGGACATTATGTAGCTTCTTATTTATTTCAATATTGTTACCAAACAAGAACTCAGTTTGTTAAAATTGTTGTCAACTCCACCACTACGACTGTTAGAAGCACTTTAAAGGTATCCTATGCATTTCTTGTCAGAACTGTGTCATTTTTTATTAATATTTCTTCTACAAGGTCTGTCTGACACTTACTGCAAAGAAAATGGCTGCCAAGAACTGTCTAGTAAAGCATTTAGAAGCTGTAGAGACCCTTGGAAGTACATCAGTTATTTGCTCAGATAAAACAGGAACACTCACACAAAATCGTATGACAGTTGCTCACATGTGGTTTGATAACACAATTATTGAAGCTGACACGACAGAAGATCAATCTGGAGTTGCACATGATAAGGTGAGCTTTTCATTTTCACATGAATTCTCTGTTTGGTTTCAGTCAAGAGCTTTGATTGTGTTTTCAAGTCTCCTGCTTCACTGCAATATCTATGTCATCTTGGACAGTGATGACGAAATAATTTCAATGCCAAATGGCTCAGGCAGGAAGAAGCTTAATGTTTCAGAAACAGGGACCTTTCCAAAAGTTCGACTTATTTTAAAATGAAGCTATACTCAGTCATGCCATCCTTCTTTTATCTGGCTCCTTAATTTCATTGCATGATCTAGCTAATAATGTGAATCCTAAATATCTCAATACACTGTTTTACTTGCTTTGATTTGGGTTTTTTTATTGGCTTAAAGTCAGGTTTTACAGTTTGCTGAACAATATTTATATGATGTGTCGCAGGTGCAAGCTAAAAATTAAAACAAAATGTTTCATTCTATTGTCAAGTTGTGCAATCGTTGTAACTAAGACCTTAGAAAGCACAGCTGTAAACCTAAGCCGTCCTTCTTTTTGTACTTATTCATTGTCGCTTTGGTCAAAGATGAAACTTTCGGTCGATTCACAAGATTTTATAACTCTCCTTAAAGGCATTGAGTTATGGTAAATAGGCCTTGTCTATAGGGGGTCATTTGGTTCCGGCTTTATCGCTGCTGTTTCGTGTGATATTTGCATCCGTTGTTGAAAACTTGCGATTGATGGAAATTGTTTTGTCAATCAGTACGAGACTAGTTCATGTGACCAGGTCAACCGATAGCATCGCAGTCATGAAAACCATGACTCAGCTTATTTTGGCACTTAGGGTACACCCAATCCATTTTATCACGACTCAATGCCTTTAAAGATCCCTGAATGCTCATTCCGTGAATCTATAGGAGAAGGTTTCAATAGCATGAAGGCAGTGTGATTTCACTTGCCTTTTTTCAAACAAGATTGGTTGCACAGCATGAAACCATTTACATTCTCAAATAGCCCATTGATGAAGTCTAACGAGAAAGTGTTTTTTATATATTTTTAAATTAGAATCTAAGGCCATCTACCGTTGAATCGCCATATTCAAACGTAAATTGTACTTTATTCATAAAGTTGCTGTGCCAAATTTTTTTGTGATATTTTTCACGTCCTGTTTACAGCTATCTAGTAGCAAAGAAATGAATCGTTTCTTTGACTTCATCACTTTTACTTCATTTGTGTAAAAGTAAGATTCGTAGGGGCAGCATTTTTTGTCAGAAGCTATTATTTTTTTACCTTCGTATTTGTAAACAATAAGTAAAATCACTGCAGGGATCCCAAACATGGCAAGCACTTGCAAGGATAGGAACATTGTGTAACCGTGCAGAATTCAGGACTGGAGAACAAGACAAGCCAGTTTACAAACGTGAGTGCAACGGAGATGCATCAGAGACTGCCATCTTGAAATTCACAGAGCTGTCATTTGGCCATGTCATGGACTACAGAGCTAAAAACAAGAAGGTCTGTGAAATTCCATTCAATTCAACCAACAAGTACCAAGTTTCGATTCATGAACAGGAAGGCGATGACCAAAGATACATTCTTGTGATGAAAGGTGCTCCAGAGAGAATTCTGGATAGGTGCTCATCCATCTTGATAAACGGGCAGGAACAGGTACTGGATGAGACTATGAAAGAAGCATTCAACAGTGCGTACCTCGAACTTGGAGGTCTTGGTGAACGTGTACTTGGATTCTGTCATTACTACTTGCCAGCTGATCAATACCCACGTGGCTACGAGTTTATTGGTGATGACCCACCAAACTTCCCATTAGACAAACTCTGCTTTGTTGGTTTGATGTCCATGATTGATCCCCCAAGAGCAGCTGTACCTGATGCCGTATCAAAATGTCGTAGTGCTGGTATCAAAGTTATCATGGTAACTGGTGACCATCCTATCACTGCCAAGGCTATTGCCAAGGGTGTGGGTATCATCTCTGAAGGCACTGAAACCGTTGAAGATATTGCACAGCGACTAAACATCCCTGTTGAAGATGTGAACAAGAAGGAGGCAAAAGCTTGTGTCATGCATGGAAGTCAGTTGAAGGACCTCTCCGCTGATGAGCTTGATCAGTTACTGAAGCACCATACAGAAATCGTGTTTGCCAGGACATCACCACAGCAGAAGTTGGTCATCGTTGAAGGGTGCCAGAGACTCGGTTCCATTGTAGCTGTAACTGGTGATGGTGTTAATGACTCCCCTGCCTTAAAGAAAGCCGATATTGGTAAGTTGAAATTTTAACTAAAAGCTTTGCAGGATGATTGGTGAAGGATAGCTCTCCGAAAGCGACAAGGCTGCAGAATTTGTGGAAACAACTTTTCAGACAACTAGTAAATGTCTTCCGATCTATCCGTAACACATCACATAAGTTTTTTGCATTTGGTTCTCGTGCTTATAGCTCCTATGTAAAGACAAGGTCACTCTGGGCCACTTTGATTTTGATGCCACGGACTACGTTTAAAATGCAGTGATAGTGACCTTGCAACTCTGTTGTCTAATCAACATCTGTGTAAATCTTTATTGAGGAAGTTTGTTAATATTTTTCAAGGTGTTGCTATGGGTATTTCTGGATCTGATGTCTCAAAACAGGCCGCTGATATGATCCTGCTTGATGACAACTTTGCTTCAATCGTCACAGGTGTAGAAGAAGGTGAGTCAGCACTTATTTTAGTAGAAGAATATTAGTAATAGTAGATTACCCTCTGGATAACCAACCCCCCACTCTGGAAAGGGCCATTTGATGACTCTCCGAAATACAGCTCTGATAGAGCCGACTCTAAAGTCAGTGAATAACAGAAAACTCCCGTAAATTCATTTAAGGAAAACAGACACCTTTAAAATATCGATGAGTGCTTAGCAGAAATGTTGATGAGTGTGTCGAAATGTACTGATTGGGCTCCTTGTAGCCACAAGTGTATTGCCTGACTGATCAGAAATGTATAGAAGTTCCTTTGTGTATACGCATGTTGCCTTTTTATGTTGGGAATTTTTTGTTTTATCTGAAGTCTTTCATTGCGACCTTGCTGCTAGAAAAATTCCACTTTACATTTCTCTTCTGATTGCTTTTATAGATATCTTGTATATATATGTTCATGGATGTTTCTGTAGTTTCTCGTTTTCTAAATAATGCATCACTCTTTCAGGTCGTTTGATTTTCGACAACTTGAAAAAGTCAATCGCATACACATTGACAAGTAACATTCCTGAGATCTCACCATTCCTTATGTTCATTTTGTTGGCAATCCCACTACCTCTTGGAACAATCACAATCTTGTGTATTGATTTGGGTACTGATTTAGTACCTGCCATTTCCCTTGCTTACGAGAAAGCTGAAACTGATATCATGAAGCGAATGCCAAGGGACCCTGTTAGAGACAAACTTGTCAATCAGAGGTAAGAACCATTTCTTGCTGGTGCTGATTATAAAAACATAGCGCCATAGCTGGATGATCGACGTGCTGTCTACAAGGCAATTTCATGATTGAAACGGGCTTAATGATTTATTGATCATTTTTCCCCGTGCCTCCTTTATCTTCACAGCCTTGAGAAGAAATTAAAGGATTCAATAGTTGCATTCAATTCTGCTTGCATTTACTCTGCTTAGAATCAGGGCACTAATTACAATCGCACGAAATATAGACCCAAGGATACAAATTCCTAAAGATACATTCTGTCACAACTTTTCACGCAATATTTTGAGAAACTATGTCCGAAAGCAACTATGATACAAAGGACCATATACTGTTATTTCATATATCGACATCTGTGTTCTGTCTATTCTTAGTTGTAATCCCTTAAATGCATACATGTTCGTTTTTGTTTTGTAGGCTTATCAGTTTGGCTTATGGTATGATTGGTATGATTCAGGTATGTAGCTAAAACTTGAACTTAAAACTTTCTTTCGTACAACTTTCACAACTATGAATAGGTCCTTGTCAGAATTATGTTATTTATTAGAACGATAATTGTTAAATGTTTGAGTAATTTGTCTCTCCCCTCTTCTTATCACCCCCCCCCTTCTTATCAGGTTTTTTTTTGGAAATGATTTTCTGTATATATAATTTATATTCTAGGCCGCCGCTGGTTTTTTCACATACTTTGTTATTCTTGGCGAGTGTGGATTCCGCCCAAGCATGCTCGTTGGATTGCGAAAAGCTTGGGATGACAAAAACAACAATGCAGTCGTTGACAGCTATGGATCTGAATGGGTAAGGGCTATTGCAACCGGCGATTCAGTGTTGTCCCTAAAGCTGTTGAGAGAAACTCTTAAACGTGTCCCAGATATATGTATTTGAACGAAGAGAGAGGTGCTAATCTGATCACCATTGTGATGGATTGTATCTAGAGGTTTTATGACGAATTATTAAATTACTCAATGACCGATTTGCTTCTCGTGACACACTTTTGTTCAATCTTTTTCGTAGGTGAACTTGTATATTAATTGTTTTTCTACTTGCAATACTTTTTGGCAAACCGGGTTTCACTAAACACATTTAAAAATTTCTTCGTGAGCGAAGTCACCTGCTGTTCTTTATCAATAAGAAGCTTCACCAGCTGTCTGTCTTTCTATCGGAGTCCTTGCTTGAGGCTGCCAAATTTCTTTTCAGACTTTCCATCAACGTAAAGAATTGGAGTTGACATGCCACACTGCCTTCTTCGTAACTATTGTCGTTGTGCAATGGGCCGATTTGATTATTAGCAAGACCAGACGACTCTCAATCTTCCATCAAGGAATGACGTAAGAATTTTTCATCTCTTTGTTTGTATGTGTGTGAGAGTGTGATAGGGCTCCATTTATTCATAAAGAAAAGCTGTAGAATCATTGGATTTTTTTATTACTTCTTGATTTTTTTTCTATATTGAGTTTATTTTATTTTTACAGAAACTGGATGTTGAATTTTGGTATATTCTTTGAGACAATGCTTGCTGCTTTCTTGTCATACACGCCTGGTGTCCAACTTGCACTTAGATTGAGACCGCTAAAGTAAGTAAACCTTCGAAGATAAACGTTGATTTCCACCTTCACAAAGAAAATCGCTGATGAATAAGGAAATTGATTATACCATGGCCAATTTGGAATTTAAAACAACCATTGCCTTATCAAGCCAAAAAGGTGCAAGATGTTTGAATGCTTAGAGAATCGCTCTAATCTCTTTGCCTGAAATCTCCTGTCCTTGATAAACTATCCTGTCTTGATTTATTAATGCCATTTGTTCTCAACAATGTTGGGTATCTTCGTAGTTATTCCCAATACTCGCTTTATTTCAGTGCTTCCTGGTGGTTCCCTGGATTCCCATTCTCACTTCTCATCTGGATTTATGACGAACTTCGAAGATATTTCATCCGTCGTTATCCTCACGGTATGTGTCAGTTCTCGCTGCTACTACATCACTTACTCTTACTTATATGTCTTTAAAAATTACTTAATTATTTATAAAATTCTTTTGGAAAATTACTTAATCAACTTCTTTGTTACGAGGTCGGCTGCTTAGTTGTATAATTTCTTAGTAGGAATATGTTGAGTCGTTGAGATTTTCAAATCATTTCGCTATTTTTCACTCGAAATAAATTTTCCGTCAGTTTTTCGAGATTCAACGCGTTACTTCTCGAATTCGCCTTAGAAAGCTGACTTGTCAATTACACTTGCTCACTTTCTTGCTTGCTTGCTTGCTTACTTACTTACTTACTCAGTTAGTTACTTACTTAACCTAACTTAACCTAACTTAACTTAACTTAACTCAACTTAACTCAACTTAATTTACTTCTTTTCAATATTCCAATGCGATGTATGACCAACCAGTAATCGTTTTTTTCTTCCATGCAGGCTGGGTCGAGAGAGAAACATATTATTAAGTGCTCATCAACCGTTATCCTTGGAACTGTATAGAGGATGTTACAGACCTAAGTAAATTGATAGGATGTTCTCGTGTGCTTAATCTTAAATCTGATTTTCTAACTAGATCAAGTTGACTATAATTTATGAAAACAGACATTCCTCTTCATTTATTAAAGTCCTTTACTTTTTTTATGATAAGGCCCTTACTTTCGTCTTATTCGAGTTTCATGTTTAGCCAAAGTTTTTAATTCTTTGATTCGCAGGCCATTTTCGTCATGAATCATGCTAGTATTTGTACAGAAGTTGTTTGCATAATGTTACCTAACCTCACTGAATTTTCCTAGTTAGTAAATTTTCACCAATCGAATTCCGATCTTCAGTAGTATTTCTCGGCATGAGAATCTGAACTTCGAAATATTTAATTGCCATGTTGTTCATCTTTGTTCCTCGAGTGATTTTAAAATCGAATTTGTTAATTTGTTATATTTTCATCTTGGTTTAACTACGAATTTTATCATGTAGATGGATTTCTTAAGACTGCAATAATGTGTATGTTTTCGCTTGCATCCAAAACCGTATAACAGTTGTTTTGTCATTCGTCAAGGGCTGCATGCTGAAGGTTGTCACGAGGGCTCCTCAGCGCTCGTCAACATAATCCTGTGGTAGCGCGAAAGATTGTCAGAACTGTCACATTTCCTGTCGTCCAATCGATGCTTTAACCTTTTTTTCCTGGGCAAGTCTACTTAAAAGAACCAACACCGGTGGTGTGTACCCATTTTCGCCCCATATCTCTTTTGTCCCCTTATCTGTTGCCCCTCGCAGCCCTGATTTTTAATGCAACCGCACTCGCTCGGTTTAACCCAAATTGTTATCACGCCTCTAAAAGAGTTTCTGATTTTCCCATTTAGGCATCCATGAAAGAGCACGGAATGCTTTAGCACGCTAGGATTTAATAATAGAATAATTCACGAACCAATTCTAGTTCGGCTTTTCCTTAGAATTTAATCAAAAAGCTGCTCAGTTACCGAGAACATTTATGCTTTTATTTTGACAATTAGTAAACCCCCGTTGGAGTAGTGTCCCAAATCGGTTATATTCAGTAGGAGGGTTGTTCTTTCGCACACAATTATGAGGAACACATCTACTACGCACACAATTATGAGGAAATGTTTCATGATCTCGTTTTAATTTAAATACTTCGTTGTTACGTTAAGAGTACTAAGTTTCCAGTGTGACAATTATGAGAATGAGAGGATAGGTTTGTTGATGACACTAAATATTACACTGTTGTTGGAAATTCTTGTTTTGTTGTGTACCCACCTAACTAAATATGTGCTGTGTAACATCAAGTATCTCTTTGTGATTGCCAAGGTGTCGCTAGAATGTATGTTTCTGACGACACAGGCTACGAAAGGCGAGATATTATTGTCTGTTTTTTTCATGTTTGCTATTAGAGCGCCGAAACTGAACCAGATGTTTCTTTTCTAATGGCATTTACTGGACTGGACGCCCCCTTGAGGTCGTCTTTGCCCATCATCATGACGCTTGATGATCAAAATCTTTCATCAAGCGTAGGTCTAGGAGCTCTTCATACATGCAAATATTATTGGTTCTGTTGTTATTTCGTAACGCAAGTAGAGCTTGATACGTAGAGTAACGAAGGATCTCGAAGGACAACGGAAGGCTTACGGGTACAATTTGCCAGCCCTCCTCTCATTTGGAATTGCTTCGTCATTGGTTTATATTAGTTTACTCTAGGGTGTAAAAGTTTTAAGACGTCTTGATGTCTGACTTGGGTGTCAGCCCGTCACATTATGAAGATGATACTATAGAAGGCAGGGTTTCTTGTTTTCGAACACGAAAAATAATTTATGGGTGTGATTCGTCAAGCATTAAGGTTAAAAAAAATTCACTTGGTTTCGCTAAGGCGTAATTTTTGCCAAGGGGTTATTACCTCGGAAGGTGACAATTCATTTTTCTGGGCGTGACTAAATTGAGTGGCATTTTAAACCATTGTGTGAAGATTATGGAGTCGCATCGTTCGCCAAATGACGACCGGCAGATTGGATCGTACCGTTAGATACCCGTAGATCGTCCCGTTGCGTCACGACACAGTCTGAAAAATTTTAGGACTCGGTCAACTGCATCGTCCTACGGTCCACCAATCATATACACGGGGGCGTCGCGACCGGGGGGTGTCACACCCCCAATAGTATCTCAGTAGGAAATTTCAGGTAAAATCCGCTCGGTGGAAGAAATGCTTTAGGTATTTCAGAAAACTTCATGTCATAAAATCAATAAATGATCAAGCAAAGGTAGTTGCTCCGTTGGTTAAATATGATATTCCTTGATATGAATGTAGGTGAACAAACTAATGATTTGAAGATTGCTTGTTGGCAATAAATCTAAAAATCCAGGCCCTCTTTAGGTAAAATTGTGCCTTGTGTCCATTTCTCCTAAAGCTTCTCAGTAGAAGCATCAACTGCAATTCACTATGAGCTCCAGATTTTCTTTAATATTCAAAAGGCATGCTAAGATGGAAAGAGGGATCTAAATTGACAACCAGTGCTGCTTGTTACCTAGCATTAGAAGTAACTGACAACCTGGTATTTTTCAAGACCATGGCGAAATTGTTGTTTTCATCTGCTGTAAAAATTTTTGCAAAAAAACAATAATTTTCAATAGGATTAGGAGGATTGCTTTAGTGAAATTTGCTTCAAAGAGTGCATTTTCCAATTGTTTAATCAGGTAAATTTGTAGTCCACATATGATTCAAATCTATTGAAACTAAATTTTCCCCCGAAATCGAGACTAATTTTTGCATTTCTTTTGATTGACTATTCTAAAACAATTTCTGTATAATGTAAGCCCGGAATTTCACTAAGTTATTTAGGAATGAATAAATATATGAATTCAGCATACTTTGTTTGCAATCAATTTTAACCGAAACTATAATTAATTCTTCAAGTTCGTTATTTGAAAATAGATATGGCTTCTTTCAAAAATTTTATTTATTAAGAAACTTTAATTACAGAAAAAACCCCCAATTTGAGTCTAAAAATCAAGAACCCTACTAGAATTGGTCATTATACCCTATAAACAAGAACCTATTTATTAAGCCTAAGGAATTTTAAACAGGTTCCTATTTCTAAAATCGTACTAGTACATTACAACTGTGTTTTAAATGTTTTTTCTCAAAGATTGAGAACCCATTTTAAGAACTTAAATAGTCTAACATACTGTTCTCCCGTTTATATATGTAAGAAGCTGTTTAGGCTTACTCCTAAAAATGTAGGCTCTTACTTTCGGTTTGACAGATGACTTTCATCTCTATCACAACCCATATCTCTTTTTAATAAATGACGAAAAAGCATGAATAAAAAAATTGTTTTTTTGTCCAAACTTTTTGTCCTACAAGTACGGGCAGTAGTGTATTCGTCTCGCAGAATTTCGCGTTTTTCCGAGTGTCATCCATCTCAATGGAATTCGATTCAAACTTTGAATTCAGTATTACCGCCAATTGAGGATGTAAACATGGCGGTTATCAATAATCAGGTGATTTTGGATGACGATTATGATGAAAACTACGAGCCGACCGAGCAAGGTATCATAAAAATTGATTTGTTTGCCTTATCTCAAAGCATTTTTTGGCTCATCAGAGCCACTGTTTAGAGGTATCTTGCTCCAACAGCCTTTCGAGAGGTGGCGATATTAGGCCCAGATAGGTCGATAGGTCCAGCATGATGTCATTGTTATCCAACGTTGTTATTTGCATACACATAGGGCCTATCAATAGGTCCCATGTGTATGCAAATAACAACGTTAACTCTCAAAACATACAAAAAAGCTATAAAACTTTCGAGAATGCAAAGGTATCCCACGACTGTTTTTATAAGTCAGTTAGCTGCAGAGCAGATCGAACATCATTTTTATTTCCATCATGTCATTGGTGTCATCAAGATCAAAACTTAATGTTTAGGTACTGAATCGCAAATGTTTTTCGAAATGCCCATGTATGGACTGGAATGCTCTTTCCTTACAAGGAAGTTTGCCTTTTGTGCATTTGATTTTTATTTTCAATTTGAGTGTGGCTGTATCACTAATCAGTGGGCTTATAGTTACAGAGTACTTTAAATTTTTAAATATGCACCAAGAAGTTAGTAAACATCATTATTGCAAAAGATAAGATTGATTGTTCAGCGGTTTGGTGAAGGCAACAACAATGGTTGTCAGCAGAAAAAAATTTGCAACCATGATATCCAAGGGATTGCCAGAATGGATCAGAATGGGTCAATGTTTACAACATTGATTGAAAACCAAGTGTAGGAGGCACAACAGACACATTCTGTCATAAGAACTGGAAAAATTATGACATAAGAACTGGAAAAATTGTTCAGCCCAAGAAGTTGAACATGGCTTTAACTAAGGCAGGAATTCAAGCACAACTTAATGGGTAGCCTCTATTTTTCCAAAGCATGACTTTTCCATATGAAAATGTGATCCATTTGCATAATAAACAAGTTAATTTTGAAAACAAGTTAACTTTGATATAACCCTTGAGGTAAATTAACCTCTAGGTCTCCAAAACTTTTTCCTTTGATTCTCATTCTTGAAAAGGGTACACAATTTCCAAAAAGAGATGGTAGACTGACTTCAATTTGGCGAGGAAGGAGCAACTACCCCCAGTTCCCCTGATCTAAATCTGCCACTGATGAAAAGTTTGAGCCAAAACAGTTATTCAAAAAAATCTTTGTTGAATTATCCAATGAATTCTAGCAGGAACCAAATCTATTTAAGAGATGCATAATATTTGTTTATACTGGCAATAATAACCTTATTACGTTGCTAATTCTTGAAAAAGTCCAGATTTATTTTATATTAATTAATTGTCTACAAAGATATTGAAATTGATTTTTAGAAATTTATGAATATGCAACTGTAATTGGAATAGACCCAGACAGGGAACCTGATTTGTTATGGATTGCAAGGCAAGGAATTGTTGCTCCATTACCTCCTGATTGGAAACCTTGGTAAGTTTTGATATTCATAGCTAAAAGATACAGCCTAAATAGGTTCCAAGTCAAAAAGATTGAAAGTTAAGTTATTGTTGGATGTCTTGATAAAAATTGTCAATACCTGATATGCTATTTCTAAGCTTAGCATGTCCTTATTCTCTATAAAATATATCTGGTCATAAAATATACATGTATGTTAGTAAGAGGAACCAATAAATTGTTTTGAAATTTCATTCCTGTTTATTAATGTTGCCTAGGCTATGCATGGTCAGTATTTGACAAAGAATATTAAATAATCCTATGTTCCACTTTTCCTGATATCTGCAACTAATTCAGGCCTGGCCGTGAGCATTTTAGCAGGCAAGCGGGACATCTCTCTCCTCGGTAAAGTCTCTTGAAAATCTTCAATTAAAGTATATGAATAAACAACATTCTTTAACAGCTAAGTTTCCAAAACAAGCTGGCGATTCTCAGACAAAAATAAAACGATAGTTTCATATAATCGCAAATCAACAACATTCAAAATTTGTTCCATTGATGTAGGCTTCAACAGCCGCCTTTGCACTGCCTTTGCAAAGCGGGTTCAAGAAAATAGAAGCTTTAACTTTAGCGCAAAGTTTGCACCAAACGAACATCACCATCTTCTTTCAGTCTATCTCCTCAATTTTTCTTCCAAGAACAGCCCCGTTGTTGATTTTCCAAAATACTCGCCATGTTGAAATGATTCGGGTTTCACGTGTTAGGAATACCCAATTGGCCTTTGAAATGGCATTCTGGTTGAAATAAAACCATTCAAAACCAAGTCAAAACATAGGGGATCAAGTTACTATCAATATTTTAGTTTTACTTTAAGAGGTGTCGAGAAATGAAAGGAAGACCAAGGCGGGCGGTTAACGTGCAAACTGACATTGAGGCGAGCGATGAATAGCTCATCTTGCTTACCCGAGGCCAGCATGGAGGAGCATGCGGGCAATCGCCCGCCTCAAACGGCCAATTGCCTGCCTCAAACGGCCAGGGCTGCTAATTTCAATTTGTTACCAGATTTTTCCATTCTGTTGTTCCAGTTGCATCATCTTAACAAGTTTTTAGGGGTAGGTTTTGTGATGTTGGCTACTGTTCTAGAATAATAGTTATCAAACTTAAACCATCTTCTGCAATTTTATGATTTATAAGGTTTGTACAAGAGTTTATACTGCTAATGTCTTGATGAAATTCTATACTTGATTTTACATCTGGTTTTTTATAAGGTCATGTCTAAAAGAATACATTATCAGATGAAACCATTCTTTACTATACATAAAAAATACAAGCCTGTAAAAAGAACTTGAGAGTTGAATCATTCAAAAACAAAACAATATTTACAATGCATTGTTACCTTTTGGACGGTAGACCCTTCATTTTCATTATGAAGAAAACACAAACGTTTGAAAATGTATGTGGGTAGATATGACCTGATCCCTGTTCACAATATCATATCCAAGACCCCAGTTTGTGGTGCTATGGGTGCTCAGTCCCTATCAATGCCAAGAGGAGCCAATTTCTACTTTTGCTACCATTTTCTGCAACATCTTGCACACTTCCCAAAGATACTCTCAATGCAATTTTATTTAGAGGTGTAAAATAAAGTGCCTCAACATTCTTAGAAGCTCATTTTATGGAGCGCCTTCATTTTGATTAGAGCGAAGCTTGTGAACTTTGTCTTCATCTATTCATAACACCTGAATTTATTTCCTACATAAAATTGCTTTTACAGTCAAGATGAAAATGGGCAGATATATTACTTCAATTTTTCCACTGGTGAGAGTGAATGGGACCATCCCTGTGATGAGTTTTTCAGATCAATGGTCGAGGAAGAAAGAGCAAAGCCAAGATCTACAAAGAGTGCAAAAACAAAGAAAGGAAAGGATAAGAAAAAAGAGAAAAAAGACAAGAAAGAGAAAATATCACAGGATAAATTAAAAGTAAGCATAGATTATTCTTTCTGTGACCCAGATATATTTTAGATATTAGAAAGCATAGAATTTTGTCTACATTGTTTGAGGTATATATATATATGCAGCCATTCATAAGTCAGTGGCAGAAATTGAGCTTTTGGAGAACTGAATTTGAGCTTTTCTGAGTCGCTTGTTCAAGTAGCCCTTTTTACATCCCTGGCCAAAATGTCAGATTTTCAAAGTTACTCTTCCAAGTCATACCGAATTGAGAGCAATTGTCCTACAACCTTCAGTTTCTATGACATATTACCATTTTTATGTTCTCAGTTAGAAAAAATTTGTATTGCAATTCAAAAGCTTTCTAGATTTATTAGAAGGATGATTTGAAAATTCAGGTTTATTTGTCCAGAGTGTATCAAGGAAATTCTGTTAAAAAATGGCGACAAGTGTAGATTTGTTTTTAGCAAATATAATGCCCTGCATGAAAATGCTAGCTAGCATCAACAGAATGAAAACTCTGCATGCACAAGAAGGGTCCAATTGGGCAAGTTGATAAGTTATAAACATGCAGCCTAGGCTGTTTGCAATTTAGTTACAGAATTTTAAAAGAAATTATACTCTACAAATGTTATCAAATATCATCAATGAAAATTTATTCTAAAAATTCAGTTTCAAACAGGAGAAACTTGCTAGGCTTTTGACTTATGAAGCCTGTATAACTTTCTAGGTGCTTGTTGAGATGCTTGATCTCGCTCAAGTGCAACAGTTTATTGTTTTCTTGCTTAATGGCTCCTGTGCAACTGGCATGCTTACCAGCAGCTGCCTTGAGAAGTTGTTTATGTTTTGTATTTTCATGCAGTTTGATATTAGGTTGGTTTTGAAAGTATAGTCGCAAAGTATCCCAGTTGCACAAGAGCCTTTGAATTGCATTTTTTAGCTTGTATGTTCACTTTTTAGCTTGCAGTTTTTCTTATTTTTTAAAATGACATCTGACTTGCAACTACTTGATCATGTAGATACTATTTTCAAAAATAATATTTGCAGTTTATTTTCTTCATTAATACCAAGAGCATGAGAAAAACATTAGAAACCATGAGCAATTGAAAAACTGGTGTATTTCATTTTGTAGACTGAAAATTTTACAATGTTACACTAAATGCAGTATCCAGAATATAAGCTTTAATCTTTTTTTAAGTAGAGCCACAGGGAAAGATTCTTGAACTTAATTCTGTCACTGACTTTTAATCTTTTCAGATTCACAGGCTCTAAATATTGTAGTTTAAAGACCTCCCCTCCTTTTGAGTAAAAACATTAAGTCATGTTTAAGGTAGCTTACAAAATCAAGTGATCTTTTTCCAGACATAGTTTAAGTAATTTTTTTATCCTTAATTCTAGGCTCCAAATGATCTCCCAACCCTAAAGAGCGATTTTCAGAATACAGCTGGACTTTCAAGTTTATCAAGTGCTACAGGCCTTGGAAAGACATTAGGCTCACTGAACAACACCCTTGGTTCAACAAGGGACTTAGGATTTAAAGGCCAACTTGGTGACATTGGCACATCGAGCAAACTACAAGGTCTGAATGCTGGAAAGTTTGATGTAAGTTGTTTTTGCATAGTTTTCTTGGAATTTATAACAAGTACAAAATTCAAGATCTGGAGAATCAGTATTTTTTAGATTTCAGAAAATTGTTGAAAAGAAGATATTCACATCTTCTGTTATTTTTTAATTGTTGAACTTTTCGGGAAAAGTAATTTTTGATTGATTTATATAATTAGTTTTCCAAAGTGAACTTGAAAAAGTAAATAATCTTTGAAGGCAAGCCATTTTTTGGCAACTTAAAGTTTCTAAAAGCTCCCTTTTTTAAGACCCCCCCCCCCCCTCAAATATGGTACTTTCAAGAATATTCCTAATACATCTTTTCAACAAACTGCATCAAGTGGAACTGGGTGGAGATTTTGGGTGAAATAACACATGTATTATATTGTGATTCATTGGGAGCAAAGTGTGCTTTCTTTGCTTGAATTAAATAGAGTCATTGACATTTCGTCAAGAAAAAAGCTTTTTCAACAGCTAATCAATGGAAGTAACCTCGGTTACTGACGTTTTTGTCTGCCTGTAAGTCCATGTGACTGTGCTAATTCAAGGATTTACAGTATATACTGATAAATCCTGTTAAGTAAAATTTTCAAGGAAGTTAAGGAAATGATTTAACTTAGCAAATGTCTGAATTATCCAAGGTTCCGCATTTGACTTGAATAAAGTAGGAAAATCCAATTGGAGATCAGTCTAACTTATTGAAAGTCTTCTAGTTATCTAGGGAACACCTTAACTGGGTTTTGATGTGTATGACATAAAAGAGACTGAATGCAGTTGGGATTTTTTGTAAATAAATCCATTCTTTATGTAGCAATCATGTGGGTTTCTGCTCTTGCTTTTGTCTTGCTCTTTGCCTGGGTTGTTTAGTGCAGAGATGGGTTGTGACCGAACCTATGCTGTTTCTCTGTCTTGTAATATAGCCCTAATTTAATTCATTCTGTGTATATTCTTATAAATTTGTTTTTGTAGTAGTGTATCAAATGTATTTTGGTTTTTTATTTTTGTATTTTAGGTGAGTTGATGTATTGTCATTCTTAGATATATTTAGATATTATTTTTGTTGAATGATGGTTCTGAAAGTGATATAGTGCTATTCATTTGCGGTTTTGCATCATTTGGTGAACTTCCTGTAAAATGTTTCACCACTTGAGGAGCTGCTGTTTTAAGATATATTTTTGCAACTACTCTTGCTCCCATTTTAAACGGTAAAAATAATTAGCATAACTTCATGTGGAAATTTTATTTTAGCAAAAGTCAGATTCTGGCGTGAAAAAGACTGGGAAAGATTCAATAAATGCCATTGACAGTCTTGCGCTAGGAAGCAGGCTTGGGGAAAAAGTTCATTTCCTCGATGACATTTCTGACATGAGTGAGGTAAAGCTCATTGTTTTGCTTCCTAGAGGCTATGCTGTGGAATTTCTGAATAGGAATGAGAATTACTGGATATCAGAATGATGCGCGAAAATATCCTTAGATGCGCAGAAATTGATGACTGTGAAGAATAGAAATAAGATTTTTTAGTGAAGAATCTCTTCTAGACGTTTTTTATCATGCTAAATGAACATCTCCCTCTAGGTTCTGCAATATATTGTGAGATAAAGGAAACTTTATATTTTGAGATCATTTTCAGTTATTTCTGATTTTTTCTCATTTCTATGAACTGGCTGTTTACTCGTCTGTGTGCAATCAGACATTTTATTAACTCTATTTAACGTTGGTGCGCCGTTAAACTTTAATTTTCAATAATCAGAAATACAGCCTAGCTTGGAAATTTGCCTTACTTTACTAATTCATTCAAAGACTCTTTTAGATAAACCGATTTTGGTGCCTTTACCGTGAAAATTGCGAGTGCGGTGTTCGTTATGCATGCTTTGTGTCTGGGTCATGTCAGTCGCAGCTTTCTGTTCTTTGCCCACAAGAACCGTTTTAGGCATCCTTAGACACATTTAACATTTATACCGATTTACAAGGACAGGATTCAATATATTTGATTATTTTTGGTGCTGCAATGTTTGCATTTCTCCGTGCTAGCTTATCCTGGAAGCGGCCCTCTGTTGTTATTCCTCCCACCTTTTGCGCATCTAGCAAGGGTCTACTTAAACATTGTACGTCTTTTCTTACAATCACTCGCAATCCAGCCATTAAACCGATATAGGGTTACTACAATCACAGACGTTAACCAGGTGAACTCACAGTCAAAAGGTTTTGTTTTAAGTTTTAATCATTTTTTGCAGTACTCGAATGGCAAACCAAGATTTACCCTAGACTTGGATTCACATGATATTGCCAACATTGGATATGAGGTAAGGCCTAGTATTTTTAATCTACGTGCTAACAAGAAAAACAGGGACATGTTGTCCTATATATGTACACAGTCTAAAAATGTTGACTTGGAAAAACAATACGTTGATACGGAAGGCTGCACCAAAATTTTTCTCTTGGTCAATCCTAAGTAATAACCTTTAATAACCTACTTAAAGCAGCTTTTGGTAAAAAAACAGAGCATTAATTTCAAAAGACACGGAAAAGCGGCAACTTTGCGCATCCTTCCAAAGTTTTTTCTCACCCGACACTCTGCGGAGGATAATACCTCGGATTATGTAAAAAAAAGCGAAATGACTTTTGTATCCAGGTGCAGATCGAAAGAAACGCGAGAGAAAGAATGGCGCGTTTGTTTGGTTCTCTGTTTTTCATCAATCGGTGACCGCTGATTCCATTCGTAGTTAAAGATTTCAAAAGAGAAAACAAACTCTTTCTAATTCGCAAACCACGACTTCACCATGTAGTCAAATGCCAAAATGCCTAAATGAACATATGCGGTTTTGAAAAGCTTCAATGTCGACTTTTAACAACCTGCAATTTGTTATTTCCGTCTTTCGAATTACTGTGAATGTTAAGGAGACTGAGTCCTATATCGAAACGTATACTTGAATAGATTAATTGTAACCCCATCTTCAACCGATCAATTAAGCCGAAATGTAATCTCCAAGTAAGAGAAGCAAGTCATTTTTATATTTATCATTCCTTTTCAACTACAACAATGCTCTTGTTACTATCTATAATAGATAATCTTTTAATGTTAATTTGAACCGTAAACATAGCACAATTGACAAATTTTTGATAATATTATACCTCTGTAGGCGCCATAATATGTTCAAACGAAGTAAAGAGAAATTTTACAAAATTAAATAAGATAACTTTTACGTTATTTGTTAAATTTTTGTTTCCATTTGATCCATTCATATTGAGCAAAATATGCTCAAATAACCTTTCCCTACCCTCGTGGCAAGTATCCCTTGATTCCGCCAGTCGATGGTGGAAGTTTCTGGTTTGCACATTCTGGTCTGCCCTCAGTGACCCATCTATTGGTATATGCAGTGGCTTCAGAAACTCAAGAGAAATGCTTCTCTTCCAAGTCTGACTTTGAAAGGGACTGGCCAGACACAAAGTAGCTTTTAAAAGGAGCCGTAACTAATGCTATCTAGGGCTGAATGGCTTCTAAATTTCCCCATTTTCTTTATAAGCTAATTATTTTGTTTGTAACATATAAAGAAAGAAATGATAATTGCTCTTCATACAAGTAACAATTCTAATTGAATTGGATTTTCTTTTAGGAATCTGAGTTGTCTGAAAGCGCTGGGCGTCCTCCATCACCCGGGATAAAAGATGATCATTTTTATGAAGATGACGACGACGATGACCTGGTATGGACTAGTGAAACAACTTTTTTACCAATCCATTTTCATAAACAGTTGGTTTTATCTATCAGAGAAAAATTCTTTTAACAAGGTTCTCGGCTTGTAGCCACCTAAAAGGAAGGTTAAGGGCCTGTTTAATAGGAGGTATGGTAACCCTACTGCTAAGAGTGCCGTAGTGGGATGGTTATTGTAAATGGGTTCAGCTCCAGTAAATTCATTCAAGTTTACTTCCCATAGTCGTCTACAAGCTTGCCAGGGTAACCCTACCTCTGAGGCTACCCTAGTTTAGAGGGAAAGTTACTCTAGCAGCTGTAATGGAAAACTTTCCTGCAAGGTTGGCAGGGTTACGCTAGCTGTGAAATTGTGCTTATATACACAAACTATCGTTGATTGTACTGCTATGGTACCCTGCTTCTTTGTAAACACGCCTATATAAGTTTTTTCGGAAACTTTTAATATTTCTCGAAGTATACTTGATGTTTTAAATAGCATTTCTATTGGTTGGAGTTATCTTAACAGTTTTATTAGAGTTCCTCTTAGCTTTGTTCCAGTCTGATTTTGGGGAACTACATAGATCTTGCTCTTGGTAATATTGTGAACAGTGCCTTAAAGACCTTGGTTCTCAAACATACTTGCAGAGTTTGTTTTTTATTTAAAACCCATTAGGAAGCAACTTTTGTTTCACCACGCTGAAAATAGAAAGCTGACTTTAATTGAAGAAATTTTGTGTGTTTAAAGCTAAAATGTGTCCGGCTGTACAATTGACATTTAACGGCGCCAAATGTTGATTGGATTGCATTATTCATCGGATATATTGTCGTTTTTCTTAATTTTGAAGAGCCTTAATTATGTCTTATTTTCGCTGTTTTACTTAAGTTTACAAATCTTGCATTTAAACATGGCAGAGCAAGTGTTATTGTACCTAATGATAAACGAAAGTTAAATTGTTTGTTCGTCTAAACATGAAATTATTTTTTTTGGTGCTTGTTACTGCTGTACTTGTTATTGAATAACTTACGGAAACTCAAGCCTTTTTAAATACGTAAGGTTGTAAGAAATGATAAAATTGGAAACAATTAAGCCTTGCATAGGTAAATAAGGATTTTCGTTTATTGAGGTGAAAATTTATAATCATTGGTAAAACATATTTTGTTTTATATTTAATATTATAAAACTTAGTTTTTGTTATATTTCTTGCTGCAGGATTTTGGGATCAGTTCGGGACTTGTTGCTCGCCTCGAAGGAATGGAAATTGAGAACCTTAAGCCTGTCGCCGCAACCAACGATGTTCGTTCATTTTATCACATTATTTCTATCTTCTATAGTGCTGATTTTTCAATACAAAATCAATTTAATCATTTTCTCACCATATCAGTACATTTTATATATATGAATATAGCAATGTAGTCAAAATATTTCAGAACAATTTTGTTTCTAAATTTTTTCATTGTGTTTTTGGGACTTTTTTATCTTTTTGCATTTGCAATTTTGCAATTGATTTTTGTATTCTTTCCGCCAAATGTTTCTATTTTCCCTTTTTCTTCTTTCTCTTCTACTTCTTCTTCCTCTTCTTCTTCTTCTTCTTCTTCTTTTTCTTCTTCTAAGGCATTGACGATCATGCTCTTCCGAAATTAAGTCTCTTGTCGTGTTTGGCTGAGTTTATTTTCATTTGTCTCTGCAGAGTTTAAAGAGTGATCCAGTCAAAAAACCTTCGACACTTATATCAGAAAATGATAGTAACAAAAAATTGTTTGACACAAAGAAGGACACTTCTGCACTTGCTGCAATTAATTCACGCAGTTTTGAAGTCGAATCTAAAAGGTAAGTTAATTTTCAATGTTTACCGGAAGTAAGGAAATTCACCTCAGTGGACGAATGTTTATGGTACCCCCCTTTAGTGGATTCTTAAGTATTTCACCAATCACATTACTTAATCACATTATTCTTAAAGATGACTCCTTGACAATCACAAGTATTTTGACGACTCTTTCAAAGAAAATTGCCTCTCAGTTTTTGAAAATTTTGCCATGAAATTATATTTGCTGCAAAAGATAACTAACAGTGTATTCTAAATAGTTTAACTTTTAGAATTGTTTTCTGGAATAATTTTCTCTTGATCACTTATCGTAGGCTGGAGCAAGAAAACGAAAAAAAGCTAGAAATTCTAAAAAGAGGTTTAGAGGAAGAAGTAGAGAATCTAAAGAAAAAGTTGATCACAGAAAAGGAGACTAGGGTGAAAGAACTGGAGGAAAAGTTTAAAAAGGACGAGGAATTTGAGAGGTCTAAACTAAAAAAACAAAATGAAGTTGTATTAAAGACGTTGAGGGCCCAAGCAAGCGAAGAAAACCTCGATGCAGAGGCAAAAATACAAGAGGAAAAGCAAGATTTTATCAGAAAAATTAAAAGTGAGGTACAAAGAGAAAAAGATAGAGAAGAGAAGAGATTAAAAGAAGAGAACGATGCAGAATTAAAAAAGTAAGTCATCAATATTGTGCTGATAAAACTTGAACTGGATCTGGCAAGGGTGGATTGTTCCAAAACGATGACATATTTTCCGTAGCGCATTATTTTCATAGCAGGCTTTTTGTATTGCCCTACATTAATAAAAGCATTTTTTTAAATGGTTTTCTTCTAATTATTTCTTGTTTTTCTTTCATTGAGCCAAGAGGTAACTTAGTATTTCTTGAAAAAGGCCACTTACAATTTCTCTGAAAATCAGAGCAGTGCCACTTTTTTAAGTATCCTTTCTGTTCAGTAAGGCCTTTTATATGTTTCTTGAAAATACTTTGAAATCCTACGATTGCTTGCTAGACTGCGTGATGAAATGGAGTCAAAGTTTGAGAGTGAAAATGAAAAACTAGAAGCAGAAAATGACGAGAAGGTTCATGCCCTGAAAAACAGATTTAAAGCAGAGTTTGATAGTTTAGAAGAAGATTTAAAGGAAAAGCATGAAGATGAATTGGAAGAGTTCAAGCAGAAACTGGAAAAAGAAAGAGAATTGGTAAGTAAAATTATTTTTAAAAAACAGTGCAGCAACACTATAGGTAAAACAATCGACACGTGGATTGAAAAAAAAGAAAGTTTGGAAGTTTGTGGCGTATTCTTTAGTGAGGAACTTGATGACTTGGTTAGTTTGGAAGTTTGATGTCTGGTAGTTTTGAAGTTTGATGTTTGATGTTTGATGTTTGGAACGTTAAAATGTATCAAACAGATTACTTCTTGTTTTTTGCTATCTTCCTTTTTCAATTGCACTTGAGACTTTTCTTTGTTGCTATCTGTTCTCCGCTGTTTCATTTTGCTTTTGACATTATTACTGTTGTTTTTTTCTTATTATATGAAGCGATATTTTTGCACCCTTTTATATACAAAACTATTTGGCTGTAGTTGAACTCGATTTCACCAGGAACCACCCTCCTATCTTTGCTCGGTCCTTTGCATTAATTGTCGGTAAACATTAAACAAAAAACCTATTTGAATGCCAATAACTTACCTTATAAGCGATTTTAATGTTTTTGACATAAATTTTCAAGGCAATTGAAGAGCTACAACAAGAGCACGAGTACACTTTGCAGCAGCTTCGATCTGAGCTTGCGGAGGAGCGGGAAGAGGTTTGTCAGTTACATATTAAATCATTTTTCTCTTCTTTTCAAGTTAGAAGTTAAATATGCCTGTTAGTTCCCATGCCTTAGTAATAAAGAGGTGGTTATAAACTTCGTGACGCTCCAAAATTATAACACAGCGGATTTATATGACAAGCCATTTAGCAAGACACTACAAGACGAATCAGGAATATTTAGCTTTTAAAATAATGGTAAAACCGACAATGGTTGTGGGAGCAGTAAGCACAATGTATTAATGATACCCAATGGAAGATACGAAATATCATTTTTACAAGGCAAAGTTTTAAAGGACTGGATATGGATAGCCTTTTAAATATCTTCATAAGAGGAAGAGTTGCCTGTCTTTAATGAAACATAAAGGTATTTTGTTTGCATCCTTAATGAACAGATCTTCATAAAAGGAAAAGTTGCCTGTCTTTAATGAAACGTAAAGTTGTTTTGTTTGCATCCTTTATGAACAGAAATCATGCGACCAGATAGTCTTTTAAATATCTTCATAAGAGGAAGAGTTGCCTGTCTTTAATGAAACGTGAAGGTGTTTACTGAAAAGCACAGTTGAAAACAACTCCGTAACTTTTGATCATACTTGTTGTTGTTGTCTTCTGATTCTGGCAACATATTATAATTTATGTTAATCGTGTGTTAATTTATGCTGCCACTCGGTATAAGTTATGCTGTTTAGAGCTTGCTGCGAGCTCATTCATGCCATTCAAAAATTTTATTTAAACAGCTGGAATTTCAGAAGAAAAGCGAAAGTCGGCTAGAGTCCTTACACAAAGATGTTGAAGATAAGGTTGGTGAATAAAAGAAATTTATTGTTATTAGGCAGGGAATTTTGATGTGTTATTTCAAAACGCAACGTTGTTTGCATATTTGCTTGTTCTAATTTCTTAGATTTTCTATTAATTTTTCAAATACTGAGTGAAAGTGAATTAATGTTTTCTTATGATTTACGCCCGTGCGTCATTAAGGTAGATTATAAGAATTTCACTTTGTTGAAAAAACAGAAATTTTCTTCTGCTTCCCAAAATGTACTTACAGACCGATCCGCCGCTAATTGAAGCCAAAACTTCTCTACTTTCCTTCTTTCGTCAGAAAATCAAAAATTTGTCCGTTGGTATTTTGGGCAGCTTTACTGCAGCAGCCTTCCATCTTTGTACTCGAGGAATTTGCATCCCTTTCCCCCACTTCACTCTGTCCTTATCATAAAGTTGCATTGGAATTAGGGGGGGGGGGGTAGATGTTGGAATTTACATGCTTGGTACCCGACACGTGTTTAGAATATTTTCGACTTAAAAATTCTTGGGGATTCTCTGGAGCTTAATTGAATTTCCAAAGCAGATGCTTACAAGAATTAAAACGCTCGCTTTATAGCTCTCCAGAAATGTACGGATTTACTTTTTTATTTCATTTGATTTTTGCACAGGGCTGAATGAATATATATATATTTATGATAAGGAATGGGACAACAAAAGAGTCTGATTAGGAATTGATATGCAGTTATATAAGGACTAGTAACTGTTGGATTTTTTGTAAATGACTAGGCAGATATTAAATTGAAACTCGTCGCCCCCTGATCCTGATTTTTATTTTGTTGAGCCTTACTGCTCGTTTCATCTAGTTCCATTATTGAATTTCAGGAAATTCTTTTGGAGCAAAGGAGGAAGGAATATCAAGAAGCCATAGACGAATTGACGAAAGAGGTGTTTATTTCAAGTTTCATCTGAAATGATAAGATTATATGGTAATTGTTTTTTTCAAGGAAGAAGTTGTTTTGTCATGTATTATTTTTTATATCATCAACCACCAATTTGCCTTGTGTTCTCAATTATTTTGATGAATTCACCTTTTTCTTGTATTTCGTAGAAACAAGACGAGGTAGCTTCCAAGAAAACTAAACTGGAGGAAGAATACCAAAAAGAACTGGTTGGTTTTGATTGATTTTATAATTTACTGACTGAGTTAGTTGCTGAAGAGAAATTTTACCCATGTTGCAAAGTCGGGGAGGGCGGATATCAAAGACTCATAATAAAAGATTTTGCGAAAAAGTGGAGAGGGTATGTTCCACCTGCCCTTCTTTGTTGGAGGCCTGGAACAATTAACACCAGAAAGAAGTCTTTTTCAATCTTTCTGTATCTTGCTTTTGTGCTTTTTTCAGCAAAACTAACAAGAATTCATCAATTCATTTGCAACAGCTCGACGTGATCCGTTAGTTTTCTAAATCCCATTTTTCTCCTAGCTTTTATTTGTAGCTTTGCAAAAATCACTGTTTTCTGTAATTAAAATAGCTCAGAAATGCATATATGTTTTGGTACCTAGCTTCCAAAGGTAGTTTTTAGGACACTGACAAGCTATGCTTATCGAGAAGTATCCTGGTTCTTCCTCTCGATGTGACCACACCTCCTAATTCCTATGCCTGGAATTGCAGAGAGCTGGCGACTCTCCTCACTCTGGGTGAAAATTTGGTCATGCCAGGGACTCGAACCACAGACCCTTGGGTCTGTAGTCAGCGACCCTAACCACTCCCCGCATCCTCGTACATATAGCTGAAAATGACTACATTAGAGAATTTTTTATTCAGAGAGTAACATCGATAAGAACAAGAGTTGTTGCAACTAAAAGACTGCAGCGATCGAGGATAGTGACCTACGCTGCTTACATGGACTAGTAGTCTATTCTTTTAGTCAGCTTAGGTTTAAAAAAAGACTTTCAGTTTTATTAGAATGTCACCTACTTTAATCATCGACAGATAAGCAAAACCTGCAGTAATAATGGACTGATACGATGAGAAGTCAGGATGAAAATCTTCACAATAAACATTAAGTTTTATGATTTAAAAAGTCTTTGAAAATCACTGTTTACCGTTCTGTCATAAAGTGCTCGACACCTCGAACCGTCCTGTTTTATACAACAAATAGCGTAAAAAAGAATTTGATGTCAAGAAGGTTGTAAAATTCTTGACCACTGCCCCTTCTACATGTCATTGATTCCAGAAAAAAGTGGTCGCTGCTCCTTTTCACTGCTATTTTTGCCAGTATCTATTATATATTTTTGCTTTGTTACTATTGTTCGAAAACTACGACACTCGCTGACAAGAGTTGAATTTGTCCTTTCAGGAAGATCTAACTAAAGCGTGGGAAGAAAGGATAAGAAAAGCGAAAGAAGACTTTGAGAATGAGGTAACCACTGTTAGTTGATAATCGAACAAATGCCTCTTTTTAGAAACAGTTTGTAGTATTAAAGACAAATCTTTAATGAGATAGGAAATGCCAAAATATTTTCTGCAGGATGCTTTCTACTTTATTGTCCTTCTGGCTATGTTCATTTGTTTCTTATTGGCACCCAAAAGGACCTTTATCTTATCGATAGACTTTGCTCACCGAGTAGTGCTCTGTTCTTTCCTCGTTAATCCTTGATTGCTGTGTCTGGGATCTCTGATGAATGGTGACTGCCTTTGCTCAGTCAGTTCCATCGGGGCGGGTATCCGAATCCCTAGCCAAGCAGACTGAAGGTGGCCACAGAGGTTTATGTAAAACTCAGATAATTTTGATTAATTTAACTGGCAATGGATATCCAATTGACACAAAATCTGTAATGACATATTGTTGCAGGAACAAGAGCTGAGAGAACAAGAATCAAGTGTATCCGAGAACATTGCAGAACTGCAGCGTGAGGTATGCTTTACCTTATGTTAATACAGCTGGTACTATTATGATTATTGGCACGGTAGTGATGTTTGCTTCTAAAGCAATATGTCTGTATAAAGGAGGAACGTAAAGTACTTTTCCTAATGGCTGAAATTTATCGACATTATTAGCATAAATTGGAATAAATCATTCTTAGATCTTCATACATTATGTTGCAATAAATATAAGAATCACAATTCTAGCAAAGTGATTCTTACATTCATTATATGATTCATTGTATTAAGCGGGGGTAGGGGATGTGGGGTTAGGGGGGTGGTAGGGAGGTGGGGGTATAAGGATGTACTGCCTCTACTAGCTAATCTTGATTAGAGAGATACTTAAGAACCTTTCCGAAATTCTAGAAGCTTCCAACAAAGTATTACAAAAACTGATTTACATCAACGTAACTACTGTAAAGCCAGTCTTTATAATGGATATACCATCTTGCAATCGCAGCCTCCAGGAAAAATTTTCTGAAGGACCTTAAGGCATCTATTGATGGGATTGTTTATGTATGCTTAAATTTCTTTGTTACTCCGTCTGAAGATATCTTTTAATATTTTAGAGAGAGCTGATCCAGCTTGAAATTCAAAGGGCAAAAGAAGAGCTTGAAAAGATTTCTGCTGAGGTATGTCGAAAATATTCCGTTACGATATATGGATAGTGGGAAGCTCGTTACTGTCGCGTAGGATTTATAAAATTATTTTTCTGTATTCCTTAATAAATCAGTCTCCGTCCTACCATAGCGTACCGCAAAGTTGTCAGCCAGTGAGCAAGAATTCCATGACAAATTATCGACCGAGGTTTTAGAACTTAAGAAGGACATACAATCAGAAAATGAAAACCTGGAGCAACTGAGATCTGAGATTGCCCTTGCGGAGAAAAAGAAGCTAGCCGAAAAGGGGACCCTAGATGGACTGGAAAAAGAAATTATGGAGCGGAAAGATGTTTTGGATAAGTTAGAAAGGTGGGTTATGGCTAGAAAGAAAAGGTTTGATGAATTTTTTATATTTATTCATATGTCTGAGAAGTTTAAAACATTGGAGCAACAGATGATAAGCTTAGATTCTATTTTTTTATTTGTGGAAAAAACCCTCCTTTGGCTACGCCCCTGCAAATCATTTATAAAAGAGGCTGCTAATTTTATTTTTGTTGAACCTCGTTGATGTTTTGTCCATCAAGTTCTTGGTTTCATTCAACCCCTGGTTTGTGTTTTTGATAGTGATAAATTGAGTGCAGAAAAAGAACTGAAGATCGTTTTAGAGAAGAAGAAGCAGCTTGACTCAGAAATCGGGTAGGTACTGGTTTATATCTGGATAAATATTCATAGTTGTTTTTTGTGTGGCAGAAAAGGCTATGTTCGCAATAAGTGGCGAAGAAAAAAAACCTAAACACAGCTGAAGATATTTTTAAAATTTGAGTTTTGGGTCAGTTTACATGGTATATGATCTATATGTTGCGAAATTTGTCGGCTGTGAGATTCGTAATGTTCTTGTCCATTAACCCCACCTATGATTTTTGGCACAAATTTTTGGCACAGATATCATAACTCAAAATTCTTTTTTTCTTCCATTTGCACTCCAGCTCTAAGGAGTCTGTCTTTTAATAGAGAAGGTGTATAATAATATCAACAGACACCTCTTTATTTCCATGGAGTTAGAGCATCAGCTCACACATTCGATCAACGATGCAGTGTTTGATTATGCAGATAGTACATGATTTTTGAACGTGTCAGCTAACATTTACTTTCGATCTTATACGACGATGCCTAGAATCATACTTTCAAGTAACCAAGGAGAGTTTTGAAACAACAAATGTCTTCTATCAAAAATTGCATTATCAACTGTTTACATTCTTTAAAGATAACTAAATTAGTATTCTTCTGTGAAGTATAATGGAAGCATATAGCATAGAAATACTAGAGAGATGGCATTTCATCGGGTCAGCGTTTGTGTTCAGAATTTGAAAGGGTAATATAAGGTGCTCAATGGCATTCCCATTTCTGACTTTAACTTTAGTTTAAACCATAGTTGTTTATTTGTCTTTTTATTACGTGTGTATTTCCAGCGAAATGCAAGGAACACTGAGCGAAGATAAAGCTCAGTCGTATGAGGAGAAACAACAGTTGAAGTGTGAGCTTCAGGAACTGAAAGATCTTATTAGAGTGCATAAGGAGGAGCTTGAAGAAATTATGAAAAAGAAAGAAGCTGTTACAAGGCCTGTTCTTGGAATCGAGGGAAATGCAAAATCGGATTTGGACAACAAGGAAACAGACAAAGACACAACGAAAGTCGACAATCACGAGGATGCTGGAGTTAAGAAATCACAGTCTAGGGATATGAAGTTTGAGGATCTGGAAATCACAAAAAATTCTGGTCAAGTAATGGTTTGTTGTTTTTAGTTGTGAAATTTTTGTTGGAGAAATAGCTGATAAACCGCTAAACAGAAAGATTTTCATCTCTACCTTTTAGATCACTTGAATCAGTTTGCTGTGCCACTGCATAACAGGAGAAAGATTGCAATTGAAGTCAATGTGACTTCAGTTCTAGCCTTAGCTTTTTACCGTATTGTGTCTTTATATGTACACTTTAGATGTGTCAGTCAGGGCATGGAAAAACTTTAAATGTGGCATATAAATAATTTAATTTGATTTTCATATAAGCAACAACTTCAATAGATGTTTTTTTGTCTTGAAATAGAACCGTGCAAACTTGTTTCCGAAAGTTCATCCAAGACAAAACGAAATTGTGGAAGGTGGGTATCTTGAGATCGCACAGTTCGAGGTCTACATATTTCAACTTCTCCAATTTTAGAATTATTGCTTAATGTGTAGAATTCATGAAATGGGAATTGCATGAATGAGTTTAATTATTGTTTGCGCACGATGTTTAGCTTGACATCATGAAGCACTATTAGTACGAAATACATATTAATTTTAAAAGCCATTTTTCATTGTATTTTGAAATGCTGAATGAGCTTCTTTCCCGGCCGAGTAAGCCCTTTCTTTATGTTCTTATCTTTATGATCAACACTTCAGATGTGTTGTAAATCTTTATTTTATCAGACTATCGTACCACCAAACGACATGATAACTCTTTTGCAGATTCTGCCTTCTCCAGTGACGAAAAAAATGATTACGATGACATAAGAATTTCACAATCGCCAAGAATGACAAAAATGTAAGTAATTTTGCGTACACTTACAAGCATTTTTTTAAGGAATGTTGATAACTTCTTGCCGGAAAGGATTTGAACAAAGCAAGTTAAAATGTGACCACCTTAGACTTTACCTCCGCAATTTCTTTTTACAATAATGAAACTTCGGGCAAGTGGAAACAACTTTTGTAAAACTCTTAAGATTTTGTGTAGGTGTTGTAAATCTCATCTTTGTATACCTTTCTACAGTTGCTGATAATCGCTGAAACGTGGAACTCGTGTTTGTAACTTAGAACATTCATATTGAGCACACCAAGGCGCCGTTGCCTTTCTGTATCACAGATTCTTTAAATTTAGCTTATTTTTATAGTTCATCATAAATTTGTATATTATTCATGACTATTTGAGTCTTAAGGTCCTTTGCAAAAATGGTTCACTCTCATGTTTATTCGTAAACTGTTATTTTTATACCAACAATTACTAGTTTCTATGTTTCCCTTTTCTTAAAACCTGATTGAAGATCGTTAGCGTACCACAGCAAGCGTGAATAGACTTGTGCATTTTGCAGGAAATCAAATTTTTTAACCGTGTGCTTTCATCCTATGGATATGCTTGAATAAAAAGGGGGGTATCCTAAATCATAATTCATGTAAATATTTCTCTAGTAGACAGTGACATATTTTTATTTAAACAGTGATTTTAGGAACCATCTTGCCACTGAAAATGAAGCCATCAAGCGAGCAAAAGACTTTCTTAAAAAGCAAAGACGGACTGTTCGCAAGAAACAGGTAAGAGCGGCATTTTTAAATCTTATGTCCCTTACTTCTATTGCTTTGGTTCATGTTTATTGCCATGTCTTCAAATAAACAATGCTTTTAGAGACGGGTGCTCGAGCTTCAGTTCCCTTTTCTTCAATCCATTCCAAAATAATATTATAAATCGGGTAGAATTTATTGTTCATTGAAAAAGCTGACCAATCAGAGCCTTACGGAAAACTGCCTAAATGTGTGATAACAGAAAGAAATTTAAAGAATAAACTGGAATATTTCTGTAGATAATTTTTAATGAATTATCTTTAGAAGTCAGTTAGAAGTTATTACATTTGTATTGGCAACTAATTTGAAATATTCTCAATGCTATTCAGAATGTGTATAAAACTTAAGTAAGCCTTTGTTATCGCAAAGTTTACAGATAGCACGGAATAGTGAAAACGGCACACTCCAGTATTTTTGTCCTAGGTGAGAGACTAGCAGCCACCGATTGGTCGAAAACAATGAACATAACAAACGCATCATTCTTCCTCTCACGTTACTTTTGATCCTCCTCTCCATATAAATTTCTGCTTACCTTGGATCATTCTCCAACATTTATACTCTGAGGAGTGTTGGACAAAAAACACTCCTAAGCATACTATGTTTTTGCTTTTCCGAGCTACCTTCAAATGAAATGTTTTGCATGCATTGATTTTTTGTAGATAGACCTCTTAGCTGCACACGATGAATGGACAAAAGATGTATCGCAAGAGGTACTTCTTTCGCCTATTTACTCTTCATGTTTAGCTTTTTGTAAGATTGTACCTAGATGTGGATCATTGTTGTTCTTCTCTAAAAGGACATTCTCGACTTCTTTTGAAGAATTTTACAATATTAAAGTTCAGGTAAGTCTTTAGGGAAAGAATGTCAAGCAAATAGTTTTATAATTGCTTTGAAGCATGCTAAAGCTTTTCGTCTGACACTCTTCAGTGTATGAGACGTCAGAACATAGGTAAAAAATTCTAAGCTTTGAAATATGCATAACCAGTTATGGACTTAAATAGGCTAGATTGTAATATTTTGTACCACCAAGTATTGTTTGCAAATGATTTTATCTTTAAACTATTAAGCTTAAGATCTGGTGAAGATTCTTAATCTCAATTTTCAATTGATTTAACACCAAGCATCTGGAAATTTTCCCCCTTCTTCTTCGCACAGATTAACAGTCCTGGCTTTATTATCAGTACGCACATTGGTGCCATACGTGAGCAGTGGGTATCAATGCCTCTATTCTCTCTTTTGTTTCTGCTGTTAAACAGAATTTTCTCTTCTAGGATTTAAGTGAAAGAGATGCTGTACTTCTAGAACAGGTTAAATCAAAGTTAGTCGAGGTTCGTATATTTTATTTTTGTTTCGATTCTTTATTTCTATAGACCCTAAAAGTTGTCGGGTAGATAAACACACTGGTCTTGTCAGCCGTTCAAATGTTTGAATCTGTTTCACTAGAATGATTTCCGATATCTTATATATCCAACTTCAGAAGAGAAATGTAAAATAAAAACAGAAAAGAAATAAGAGCTTCATTGCAGAGAACCTACCATCCCTCCCTATCATCCCCCCCACACAAGGAAGAAAGGAAAAGGGGTGGTTTAAGTATTTCCTAGATCTCTATTTTTTGGGCTCGAGAAGAAGGGAAGGAAATTTTATACTATGTTTGTGAAGTGTTGTGCAATGATAAGCCGGAAGTGTTGTGCAAAGTATCTTGTTATTTTCAATGAAGGTTTTTGGACTTTTAGCATTTATTAAAATTTGCAGGATGAATTACAAATATCTTCTGCCATGGACAAAATTCGAGAGGGACAGGAGATGGTGCAACGTCAAGAGAAGAGTGTTCAGTTTCTGAAACGGTCCCTTCTTGGTGACGCAGTACGCAAATACTTATTAGTTATTTATAGTCTTACATCATCTTCTATTGTCAGTTAATTGTTTCGTTTAACTGTATGGATAGCCACTGAAACTCTTGTCTCAAATTCTCATTTTTGAATAAAATTGTTGTTCATAACCTTTTTCTTTAAAATTCTTTACAGCGTATACTTTTTTCATTTCCACAGTCTTCTGACTCAGTTGAAAGTGATGACCTATTAGAAAATGGGAATGAACCATTTGATCTCGACGAACAGGCTGAACAAGAAAGCAGTACACAGCAGCTGGTAGGATTATCACGGAATCGAGAGGAGGAGCTGCAAAGGCTTTTGCATAGTACCCCTATAGATAGAAGGAAGAGAAGGCACATGCCTGTCATTGTTGACCAGTATTCACGTGATATTCAGAGACCTTTGCATGAGCAATATGGACTATCACGTGACTCTTATAGAACTTCACGTGGGCATAATGACCCTTCACGTGACTATTATGGACCTCCGAGTGATGTTGTTTCGGGCGTTGACCCCCTGAATGGAGGCTCCAGTTACAACCGGCCTAAACATTGGGATGACAGTCCTGTGAGAAATGATCAAAAATATACCCAAAATAGTTGGGAGCCACAGAGGAATGAAGCTGACACCAAGGCAGACTTTTACAACCCGAATACGCAAAATGAACAGCAAAGCGAAATGCTTCCAGTTTTAGCACGTATCAATGGTGAGATATCAGTTTTGATGTCACGAATGCAGAAAAACGCCCAGGGGACGGGTATTTCGGTCGGAACTCGCGGGCAGACATCATACACTCGGCAAGTCAATGGACCACCACCGAGAAGGGAGGCTTCATATAGGGGGGACGTACCCTATTTTCGGCGAGATGCACCTTGTGATCAGCGGCCATCGCACGATGCTATTGCTCTAAGGTTTGTTTTATTCTCCAATGTAAGCAGGATACTTAAATCCCATCCTAATAACACCTACAGACCTTTCTGTTTATTTCAAGTTTTCAGCCCGATAGAAATGCATTAGCAATTAATTTTTGATCAATCTTTATTTCTTTGATAAATCTGTCTAACTTGGAAAGTATATTGGTACGGTCCAATGTCCCCTGTTGTTCTATTTATTGGCCAAAAATCCCTTAAAAAGATAGATAGATAAACGTAACTTGATACATGATGTTGACAAAAACTGCTTATCCTGCGTGAACAAATTTTTAAACCCATATGAGAATAAATTCAATTCAAGAATCTATTTTTCCATTTTGCTGACGATTACCATCTGAAACCAAAAAGCGGGTTTTTAAAAACTGCTGCAAAAGGACGCTTTGAATGAGACTTTGTGGCCCGTGAATTGCAACGGCTAATTCTTATCATTCAGTGTTCATAATGAGTGGGATGTAACGAATCTCAGTTTGGCTTTTTTGCCACGAATTGAACTGTAGTGATTTTTTCAAACCACTTTCGTTTAACTTTGTAGTAGCGCAAAATCTCAACCGACCTCATCACATTACAATAGAAACGAAAGAAGCGAGCAGAGAATTCCTTTAGACAAAGAGCTTCAAAGCAAATGGGAATCTTACTTTGGAAGTATGTCATTAATTGTCTCATGAATATTACTTTATTTGGTGTTAATGTATTTTGACGTTTTACCGTTGTTGACCTAAGTAGTTTGTAGTTGCCAGCAACCAAAAATCAATGCTGATTTGCATTTGGTGTGGCCAATCATATTGATAATCAGTAATCATCGCAATCAATTATTATCATCTTTATCATAATCGTCAATCATTATCTTCATTTTGAATACTTATCACTATGATCAATCATTATTATTGTCATTAACATCACCAATCATACACAATCACAAGCAATCATAAGCAACCATAAGCAATCATAAGCAACCATAAGCAATCATTGGCAATCTACCGACCATTGATTAGATACGTGTAAAAAGAGTAATTTAAGAACGATCGTCTTCTAGAGTAGAGCTTGGCTGTTTTGTTTCAATGGACAGCAATATATGAGTTGAAAATCCTGATTAATAAATTAACTAAAAGAATAATCTCGACTTTTCGTTTTATCAGATCGCGACTCGAAGTTACACAATAACTGGACTGATCCGAAATGGGGATATCAATCGGCAATGTAGGTCAAATAAATCAATGTCTTAACTTAATTTATTGATTAGATTTGTAACCTTTGACAAAGATTAAGCTGATGCTATTCAAATTAGAATCTTCATTGGAAGAAGTTCCACTTCAAAATTGACCCATAAAAAACGTCCAGTGACGGCAAACTCGACAAATATACCGCCTATTACTTAGGCAAATGCAAGCACATTTCGAGATTCTGATTTTAAACCCCAGTTGAGGTCTACATTGTTAAAGCCCTCTCAAAGCCAATGTGCAAAATACAATGTCATCGCCTGTATTTTAATGAGAATTTCTGTTTATTTGCCTGCTTCTCAATGTTTAAAACCGTACAGAATAAGCTATGATGACGTAACTAGTTGAGCAAGACGCGGGGATTTATAACGTACAAACTAGTAGGAAAATTCCCCCATTAGGCCCTTGGATTCCCCTCTTAGCTGCTCCACAATTCCCCACTTAGAAAGAATCTTTTTGTTTCAAATTGTTTTGAAGATTAATTAAATGATCTCCGTTTACTGTTGTTTGTGTTGTTCTGCTTTTTCCTCAATTTTGCTCTCAATTGTCACAGATTCAGAAATAGCCCTTTCCTATTAAGTCCCCACCAGTGACAATTCCCTAAAAAATCCCCTTGCAGGACATGACATTATTTGCTGACATCTGACAACAAAACGAGACCAGTGCTCCTCTAATGCAACCAAATGAAATCGTCAAGTTTCCCTTATCATTCGACTGTGACAGGCCTTTTGAAAACGTCTGTAGGTTTAATGAGAAGCAATGTAAATTTCTCACCAAGAAATGATTATGTAGCTAGAGATATCGGGCAATGTTTGATAAAATTTCCGTTAGCCAGTGGGGAGGTAGGGGTGTGCAAAATCTTTGGTAATCAACCAAAATTCAGGCAAAGGAAAAAATTAACCTTAAGAATATTCTTTGATAAAATTTACTTTTGCTCACTAGTCTTTTTATTTATCCATTCGGCATTATTCAAAATATTAATGCGAAAGTATCTGTAAAAGGTCTTTTTTGCGAAAGTATCTGTAAAAATGTCCGCGACCTCATTTCTGTCTTAGGCAGGTCCAATCCCCTTCACAATCAATTCCCTGTATCGAATCTATTTCTCTTAAAAGGGACAGCTTGCGAAGGTCTACTCAAGGCTATGGCATGGCAAGATCGCCCTTTGATACATCACAGCGACTACAGAGCCACCAGGAATGGCTGAAGCTTGTTCGAAGAGACCGGGTGAGTATTTCTATTCATTTGCCATATTTGTGTCAGTAAGTAACCTTACTTGTGTCAAACAAATATTTTCTGGAAAGCAATTTAACAGAGCCATATTGGTTGGCTGTTGTAATATCATTGTTATCATAAAGTTAGTTCAGTCTGATCATCAAGAGTCTCTCTTTATAATAATTCTTAAAATATTTCTACTTTCGTTTCTCTTTATAACTCATTCGCTAAACTGCGCACAGTTTGGCCACCTGCACAACATTTTTTGCCAAAAAATTACCATTTTTCAATTACGTACCTTATTAAACTCGTCTTACCAATAAACACCGATCTTTGATATTTCTGCTTTGGCTGCCAATCAGATCTCTATAGGCAGTTCTACTTAGGTATTTCTTGCTGAACATTTCATTCAAGGTCGTCCTCTTCCGTCATTGGCGAGCATTTTTCGGCCATGTGTTGCTTCTTACAGCATGTAGAAGTCATAATGCCATCGAGCTAACGGTATAAAATAACTTAAATAAAAATTCCGAATACGCAGTGGAAAATACACATTATTCTATGCTTTGAAGGTAGCTATAAAAAGCGGCAACAATCATGCAAGCCGGCGCATGTTCACCCTTTCTCTAAATATGCACGCAGATGTCGGACGACGATAGGGAAGCCCGTTCCATCATCTCTTTGGCTTGTTTCTTTTTCTCTCTTTCTTTTTTACCGTTGAAGCCAATCATGACCTGAGCCTGATTCACTGTCTTACTTATGAATAGTCAATGTGAAACTTCTTTTTTGACTCTTATGCAACATGGCTAGTAAATTACAAGCTATTTTACCGTAAAGAAGTTTGTTATTAAATAAAAACCCAAAAAACCCCGATTTTACCCCTCTTCCATATAATCCCCTTCGAATTATTTCTCACCCTTGGAGCAACAATCGTGAATAAGCCCTAATTTCGAAGATACCCCATCCTAACATGACAATTCTGCAATATATGAATTAATAAGTCTTTGATAAATCGCATACTTAACGGAAAGTAAGAAGCTGAATTATCTATTTGACATTTTTTTTGTCAATACTAAGATAATTTTTTTGCCAACATTGATTTCTGAATTTTCTTTTTCTCCAAATGACCTTGAAAAAACGCCAAAGCTTGAAAAACAATTTTAGTATAGAGACTTGACATATATTCCCATCTCGTTGAGCTTGAAGCCTCGAAGCAGCCCTATCCGAAGCCTTCAAAAGCCCCGAGAAAGTAATTCGAGGATTTGCTGTATTTGTCTAAAAAATTACTTGTGACAGTTGATCATTGTGTTGTTTTATTACGTAGTAAACACGCAGGGCACCAAAGCGTCTTTATTTGTTTCATTTTTAAAAATAATTCCAACCCTGAATTTATTTTCATGTTACATTTTCAGTTCCTAATTTTTTGGGGGATGATATTGTAAAGCAGCTTCTTCTTGTTGCATGTCAAACCTTGCTTGGCTTAGAATAGAAAAATTGGATAGAATAGACCAATGCTTTCATCTTCCTGATGCTGACAGTGTAACTATATCTTATATCCTAATACCTTCACCGATTGTCTTTTGAGGTATGCCTTTTTCTCGTAACAATGGTCTTCTCTACCTCCATTGTCTGCTAATATCATGCATTGAAGGCATTGCAGCGAATGCAACTTTTGGATTTCAGTATGGTAGTAGAAGTGTTTATGTTTAATGAATGGTAATCGAAGCTAACAGAATTGCAAGCAGAATGTATGGCATTGAAGGCATATGCGTGAGGAAAAATGGCGTCTTTTATCATGTCATCGCATCAAGTTGACAGCTTGAAAGTAAAAGAAGATGCATTGGTTGGTTAACCGCAGCTGCTTTTAAGAACAAAAATCGATGATCTTGTCTCCCATAAGAAAAGCTATCCTCACATAGCTAATCAATATATGCAATGATTAATAAAACATTGCCTTTCAATTGACACCAAAGATTGTTTGATGTTGCTTATTAAATGCATCTCTTTCCGTTTTTGTTTTTGTCTGTGTTTGTAATTAAATGTTCGCGCAATTCCTTATTCATATCTGTATGCTTTATGTAACAGCTGGTGCAAGGGAACGATGCTGAAGTTGAAAAACGAGGCAGCAAAAAAACTAGAAGGGAATCGCTAAAATGCAGACATTGCGTACCAATGTCTCGATGATATCAGGGTAGCCTAATGCTATTTTACTTTCATGGTAATGCAAATTGATTTTATGTCCTTGTACTAAAGATCTCGCTTGCTTGCTTGTGCTAGGTTTGCTGTCGGCAATGCCAAGATTGGCCTATTAACAGTGAGTCGACCGTCGTCTCTATGCACAGATTGCATGCGCAGTAAGAAGTGAAGTCGATGCGCTAGGGTGAACTATATTGACAGGATATATGGCACAAAGGAGCTCAAGGGTCGGCAAAACTTGTTGTTTGAAAGTCTTCAGGATCAAGTGCCATCGACTGGATCCAGCACAATCTTTCGCCAAATACTGAGTGTACTGTAGATGTACAGAACCTCTGTTGCAGACGTAAGCTTGCCCTGTTGGCTAACATTGAGATTCTCTATCCGAAACCACCGTTAAGTCATTTCAAATCGTCTGCTTTGTCAAGTCAAGGCTAGTCTGCTGTGTTTCTCCATGGTGTATCCGTACAAACATGATCAACTTGATTACGAATTCAATTACGGTCACAGAGTGGTTTACGAAGGCCAAGGCGATTAGTGATCTTCGTAGTCTGTCTGAGGAGTGGCATAATCGTTCTGCCTTCACAACTTCAGTTGTTATTTCAAATTCGCTAGACTCAGCTTTCAGTACCGGCGTCTTTATCGCTTCCTTTTCTTATGACTTTTTCTAATGTTCACACCCTGCATTTCTTTTCGCATCCTCATGCTGTTTCTTTGTTTGAAGACAGATTTATTCGAAAGACGGTTTTTAATCCTGCTTAATTGCACAATTGCAGTTAAAGCCGAGAGAAAATGATATTTTACATCAATCGCGAGCATTGCAAACCTCCATTTCTGGTGGCTTGTTGGCATGTGACTTTTAAGAACCTATAAGAAATTTAAGGATTTTTCCGCAGCTCTTACAAATTACATCTACATTTCTTATTACAAGGCCCCCCCCCCCCCCCGGAAAAAATATTGTCGGCAAATCTGGTCGGCCGTCGGCAAATCTGGTCTGCCATCGGCAAATCCTGTGATATGTCGGAAAATCCTTCAGACCAAAACATCCCAGAAGGCAAACCTTGCTCGCAAAACAATATAAAGTGGGCGTGGCTTGGGTGTGCCATGGAGCTTATATTGTTTTTCATGGACCTTCCTCCGGTCAGTAACCGTGCGACCGTAATGTTTTCCTGACTCTGGGCAATCACTGCCTTCTCTTTTTATTTTCTCTTCAGATATTTCCACTGCCATCGCAGTCTTTCAGGACGAGCGTCGCATCCCCTATCAAGGCTGTGGCCTAAATTCGTCCCCCTGCGCTTTCTTGTAGCTCCTCTGTGCTACAGTTTCTTCATTGATGCTTGATGATTCTTCTTTCGCACGAAATTCGTTATATTGTCCATAATTAAGGTGTAACTGATTGTAGGCTAACGCGATTGTTGAAACGAACGAAACCAGCCCAAGAAAACAACAACGATGCGATGATTGAATTTTGGCGCTCTTTAGCCAACTGCGCGTGCGCAGAGCCAACAATGTTGGCTAAGGTGGTCAAACGATCTAACATTACGCCCAACGTTGGGTGAAATGTTGGATCGTTTGACCAAGGCTTAAAATCGAAAAAGTATCAGCTGAAAGCATCCAGCAATTCAAAATAGGTACAGATGTCACAGAGGGGCAAATGTCCCCCAAAAACTTTCAATGACTCTCTGTCGGCAGCCGGGGTCTAGAACCTAGAAAACTGTCGGCATTTCTAGGACCACCTAATTTCCACCTAAAGTTTCGGGAAGGGTCAGAGTTTATATAAAAACTCTGAACGCTGTTCCTTGAGGTACTAGAGGCTCCTGTGGGCAGGGCCACCGAGAGGGGGGGGCAAGGTACAGGGGCCTCATAAAGAAATGAATTCCATTTTAAGAATGGAATTGAGGAAATGTAGCAAAAGTATGCCTAAAAATAGTAGAACTTTCTAAACGCTTGCAAGAAGTATTCTATAATGCATTTTAAGATAATTTAAAAGGCGTGGTTGCAAAACGTTTCTTACGGAGGTCACGTCTTTCGGTTTTGCTCCAAGGCCTCCGAAACCTCTCGGCGGCCCTGCCTGTGATCTCATTGCTGAGAACTTGACTTCTAGAGTAAAATCAAAGAAGGTATTCAGGCAAAGAAAAATTACAACGCGAAAATCGGAGCGATGATTAATTGACAAGAATATACTCTTTTATAAATAAAATCAACTGCGTCAAAATGCCCCACCAAAACATTGATATATTTTAGGCCACGCTCCATTTTGTTTTCGCAAATTGATGACTGGCAACCACCCCACCCCTCCCCCGGCCCTGCTTCTTACCCTTTGTGTAATGACTTCGTGACATATGTTGCGAATCCCGCGTTAATGGTGTCCACCAAAGTCTTTACCCATCAACATTTGTTTTGTACATTCAGTTTTTGCAGCATTCGTATTTACCTTGTGATCATTGATGTCTTTTCAGAGAGATTTCAAATGATGATTTTTCAAAGATTGCAAAAGGCAAAGAGGACCCCCATCCACAGAGAACATTTTTAGAAGTCGAGTCGTCACCTAAACCCATTCGATACAATAAAGATTAGTTAATAACATTTTCTATCAATTCCAGAAATACTGCGATTTATTATTGCTTGGTTGTAATATAGAGAGATGCATTTGTAATTAGTTTCAAGAATATTTCTTAATGAAAATATAAAGGTATTGACATCTTAATAGCGAAGTTTTGAAACCAGAGAGTTCGAATCGAAAGGACTTTTTTCTTCTTCGATCTCTATATTCTGCCACTATTAAAACGCTCCATCTTACACTATCGCAAGCACCAAATATTTTTAAACTATTCTTACAAGCAATTTTTCCTTAGGCAGCGTCTAAGCTCATTTGCCATACACCACTGTTTTCCTATCACCTTATTTGAACGACCTTTACGAAGAGAGAAAAATTCAAATTCACAGCTCTTGTTTCCTAAAATATATTAACTCTGTCGCCTTTGAATCAAAATAAACGATCGGTCATTTCCTTGTGTGACTATCTTGGTTTACTGTTGTGAGACTGCACATCGCTGTTGGGTGGCTAATTTATCGCCACCTGTGAAAAGCGATCCAGTGTTGATCGGGCATTGTACCAAAGATTCTTTTTAACGGCCTTTTCACCTCATTGTATGCAAGTTAGATTCTTTAAAGTGGCGTTTTTGTGAGGCATTAGAAACAGTTGAAAAGAAGTTTGTGTTGCAGGCCTAGTTAGTCTCAGGCAAGAATTAAAATTTTGAACCATCAAGTGCCTACTTGTGCCCGAATGGAACTTACTTGTGCACGCTGAGCAAAGTTGGAAGGTGAATTAGGCAAGCCCACAAACAAGCATCCATCTTGACCTTAAGTATCATCTTATAGGTGTGATTAAGGCGTAATCAAAGGGATCACGATGTAATCACATTGATCAAATCTTAATCAAGTTAAACAAATCTTAATCAAATATATCAAATCTTAAATTTTAATAGAGAATCAGGTCAATAGAAATCTTAATCTATTCGATCCAATCTCTACCCGTAAGGTATCTTCCTTGACGTCCTTTTATATTAGCCTCGTTGTAGATCAGTTAAAGAGAGATGGCCATTGTAACTGATACTGACAAAACAACTTTCGTCTGTTTACGCTCATTAACCAGAACATCTGAACAAATTTCGTTCAAAAGTGGAATATTCTTCATTTTTATTTTGGTTGGATGAGTTTTTTAAGATGTTGACAGTATAAGCTTTAATTCAATTTTTCTCTTTTTCACGGCCTTAACTTCAAGAGCTTGTATTCCTTATTCTTTGCAATTCGATGCTATTTACAATCAAGATGGATGATTTAATTTAATCTCTCCAATGTCATCTTTAAGTTAAAATCAATATTTCGGTTTTATCAAAAGTTTTTTGTCCTTTTGGCCCTTCCATGAAAATCTTCTCTTTACGATTTCCTTAATTCCAAAATATTTGTATTTCCCAGAACATGTATTAGTCAGATCTCAACAAAACCATTCAGCGTCATTGGTGCATGAACATGTCGAGGTCAAATTTGCCACTTCAGTTTCTTGGCTTAACTACGTTCCAAGATAAAGTATTAATCTTATAATTTATTTGCAAGAAGCCACACTGACCCAAATTCGTTCTGACACATTATACCTTCTTTCAGTTCCCTAATCCACACCCCGTACTTGCTACACTTTCAGATTACCAAGAAGCACAGCAAAATGTTTTTTATTTCAAAAGTACAGATATCCGTTTGTGTTATTAAGGACTTGATCTGAAGGGATCTATACTGCCATTTTTTTCTTTTCAATCACTATCATTTATTATCTTCAACGTTCATTCGTTGTGAAGTATTTTATGGTTTTAATAAAACATTTAATTTGCTTTTAGCGACGTGCCTGTTGATTTTTCTTGATGTTGCATCTTTGTACCATTTTAGGTGGCAGGGAACAGTTTTTTACAGTAAAGAACAGAGAATAGCTCTTTGTATGTTTTTATCGGGCTTTTAGTTTTGCAAGGGAAAAAGATGATGATTTGGGTGTTTTGTTGGCATCTTGATTTTCTGAATGGTCACTTTTCTAAGTATACGTATTTTTTTATGAAACAACTAAGGTGCGGTGCTGGAAGGCAGTTTCTTAAATTTTCAGGCAATTTTGCTACCAAAAGTTCTTCCTTTTTTCTTAAATTTCTTAGGTAATGAATTTTTTAAACGTGCTTCCATGGTAAAGTAAATAGTTACTTACATTCAGAGAGCCTTTGGGCAATCAGAGTATATCGCAACCCGTATCGTCTTTGTTATCTTGTATAGTCTATTTTTTGTACGCAGCGTTACTAGTAAATCTGTTTTCTAAATTTTTATAAATATTTTATTAAAAATAGTTTCTATCCAGCTTTAAAATGGGCTGTTTTGAGGTTCACCTCGCTAAGTAGCACATTATCCATATTCTAGGGTAATCTCTTTTCTGTTTTCAAGAGCCAGCTTTATCAAGACAACCTGTGCATAGTTTCAATTTTTTGCTACCACTTTATGGAGGTGGGTGCAGAAATGCAGGGCAGACTGGTTTGCTTTTAGTTATAACCCATCGAACCTTTTCGCTCATTTTTTAGTACTTTCCATTCTTAACTTGTTATTGAAATTAATTTTTAGACAAGCAGTTTTGCCTTATTCCTGATAATTCACAAGCATTTTGTATTATAGTATGAAAACAAGTATGAAAACAAGAATTTATATGGGCAAATATTTCAAAATGCATTTTCTGTCAAGCCTGGAGGCATGTTTTTTGTTGTTTAGTCCTGTTTAAAAAAGGCTTGAAATTCCTGGTAACTAAAAGCTCTTTCACACGATTGTCTGGAAAAGGATAAGTTCACTTATAGAGCACGTCCAGTGTTATTTGGCAAGCCAATTACACGTAATAAACGATAGATTGACGTGAAAATGTTTCATAAACTGGCCGTATTTGGATCAACCTGGATTTATAAGTGATATTATTCATTCTTTTTTCCTGGGTGGTTTCGTTATTCAGACATTCCTGCAGGCGTATCTTCGTTTCGTCTAGACGTTGGTTAGACCGAACGTCGTTGACAGAACCGTTGGAATAAGCTGACATAAGCAAGAGATTTCGCCAGCCTTCACAATTTCGCAGGGTATCGCAAGATAGGTGAATCTCCATTTTTAGGCCCTATGTCTTTTCACAATATACATAACTTCAGCTTTTTTAAATGACGTCACTAGGTTTCAATCTCAGTTATCAGTTCCAGGCCCCATAAAAGTTTTCAGTGGACCCAGGCTCATACTAGCTTTTTTACACCCAGGCTCATACCAGCTTTTTTACATTTTGAAATACCTATTCTCTCCCATAAATGATTGCTTGGATATAATTCTCGTAAATCAGCTTTAAACAAAGATATAGCAAAGTTTTTTTACATTTTAAACAGGAGATTGTCAAATATGTTTGTATTATTGGCTATTATAATCCCCAATGCTGAAGATTTTAGTCATTGACGATATAATGTTTGAATTGGGGTTGCCTGGACTATGCTTGGCCACCATTTTTTTTCCTTTAAAGAGATTCCGTACTAGGGTCCTAAAATAAAACAATAAATTTAGATGTGTTTGAAATAAGGACAGAATGCATTTGGATTCAACGTCACGCAGCAGTAGAACCCATGCCTCTATGTTAGAATCTCCCTGTAAAAGGCTGAAGTTGCTATTTCGTAAAGATAAACAAAAAAGGACAGTGTTGCAGCACGTATATTTGTCATGTCTAGTGCGAGCAGAATAACCATATTTCTTGCTTTTTGCCAGAAGTTTTCTTTTTTATTATACCTTTGTTTATTAATTATATTTGTTATTATTTTTAAAACTAGGTCTTTGCTCATTAATAAAGGAATATTTTAAAAACTTGGAGTACATGCCTCATAGAGTTGTCCTGTGTGAATGGAAGCTTGTGCTGATTCAATATGAATAGTATAAGTAAATCCTGTCAGCTTTGCTTTTTTCTAAGCAAACAAGATTACATTCTCCTTTCTCCCTTGATTAACGTACAAATCAGAATTCCTTTTCTTACGTAAATGCGACTGAGCTCTAATTGTAACGTGGGCAATTAGCTTTGTTCCTTGTTATCAAATTAGAACCAAAGAGGCAATGTAAATTTGATGCTATTTCTCTAACCCGATATTGACGTAACCATTTTTTTGTGAGTGAGGTAAGCAGCTACGATGCCTGACTATCGTACAAATATTTGCTGCAATTGCAAATTGCGATTTTATATTTCAATGACATGATAATCCAAGCAAATTAAAAAGATTTAACTGGATTCAGGACCTTTAATTCAATAAACAACTTTATATAGTTTTATATAACCATTTATCGTGAAAATGTTAATGTATTGTGCACTATCGTGTCATCGTGTAGCTGGAGATGCCCCGTTTTTCCTACCACCACTAAGTTTTGTAAGTCACGTTTGAAATGCCAAAGCAACATTTCAATCGATGCCTCTTTCTACTAGTGCCTCTTTCCTATGCATAATGCAACAATATCGACAGGTCATCTTCGGAGGTAATTTTTATGGGATCCTATTTTAAACTGATCAGATGTACTTTTTTTCTTGAGGCAAAATAAATGAAAGCCCAAAGGATTGACTTGAAGGGCAAATGACAATGAGGGATTTCTTTCGTTATAGGTAATGCCTTTCAGTCTCATAGATTTTTATAGAATGTAACTGGAGTAAGTAGAATGGAAGACAAAGGCGTCCGGGAATGAGGCAATTAAAGGTGACTCGGATTCGGGGTGCTTCTAATGCTGTGAAAGAGGCATGCTAAATAGGCCTTTCTCTTTAAATGTGGTTGAAATGACGTCGAAGCGCACTGGATAGTTGCAGCCCACTCGTAGCATGTTGCCCAGTTGATTATCTATTTTGTAGAGACAAAGAAGGGTTTCCTGGTTTTCATTCGCACCACAAAAAGTTTTCCTCAAATTTCGGAGAGGCTGGCCGCTTCTATTGACCCTGAACTAGAACAAAATAAGATTTTCCTCTTTGGGCAACCTCAAACCCCTCAAACAAAACTAAGTTGAAGGGCCAGATGATGGTTGCCGAGGCTCCAATTTTTGGATAATCTGAGGCTTGCGTGTTTTTATTTCAACATTGCTTATTCTTCAATTGCATGCTTATGAATTATTTTTAGGGCAGTCAAATAACAGTTTACATTAAATGTTTTGGAAGCATAGTCGATCAGCTTTGAAAATTTTGCTCTTTTTGTTAACAAGAAAGAGAACTTTCAAGAAAACTTCGTTTTCCATCCAGTTGTTCATCTGATGAGGCTTGGCATGTTCAAACGTTGTTCTTACTTGTTGGCAATTCAAGCCTAGGTCTTCTTATAAAGTTTATTCTTATAACGAAAAAAGAGTGCATCATCGGGGAAGCCTGCGCTCAAAGAGGGCAACCGGGGGCAAAGCGCCAAGAAAAAGGGCAAAGCAATTGTAAAACGAAGGAAAATGCTCAATTTGGCAAGGGCAAGGGTACCACTGCCCTCGCTGCCCCTCTGGTGCAGGCGTATTTGTTTATCATGCTTATGCTTGAATTCTGCAAAGATTTTCGGTTGCTCCCTCCTGAAATGTATGACATCTAGATGGTATCGGTCTTGGGGATATCAAGGTATCGTGCTGTGCTCAAGATAACCTCTTTCTACCTTTTTGTTTGTTGTGAAAAATATTGCTTATCTTTTCTAAACCGAAAGTTGGTCCTTTCATGCACGTAATTGGGAGCCCTTGAAAAATTGAAAGTTCTAATTCAGAGTCGTTTGTACACGAGCCTGTTCTTTACGCATCCAACTGAAAACGGTTTTATTGTACGAGACAATCCTCCACTGTGGACTTTTGTTGACGTCATATTGTTGTCAATGAGTTCAGTTGTTCAAAGCTCTTCTCTGAAGATTCAGCCACTGACTGCACCTCATCTAGCTATCAGTGTGGGATAATAATTATTATAACAGTCCTGTAACAACATGGTTTCGAGACTACCTGACCTGTGCTGGATAATACAACTCTTCGTTTGAATAGTGCGATGGATGTAATTGCCGATCGTAGTCTTGCTAGATGCACTGAAAAGCCAACAGGGGCCGTTAATGGCATGCATTCAGGACAGAAACTTGCGCAGAAGAAATTCTTGAACTACATTTTAGAGGATTTTGATATTTCAACAGTTATAGGTAAGCAATTTTATGTTTTTTTATGTATCATATGCTTTTGTTTTTGAACAGTTTTGACGCGGAAATTCTACCGTCGAGTTTGTTTTTTACCTAACTAATTTATGTTCGATTGATATTTGTAAATATAGACATTTCTTTGGTTTTGTAACCCCAAATCGTACTTTAATTGTGTTTCCTACTTCAGGGTAAGCCTACCGACTTTACTTCACGCCAGACGTCTTACATTTTTCACGCGCCCCCTGGACTCTCGCATTCCTGGGTTCGTTCTTGTGAACCCTGTTAACGGAATATTTAATAATGCTGAGAAACAAAATGAAGGCTTAGAGCCACTTCTTATATTCTAAAGCCCTAATTCCATGCTTGACAAACTCACATTTTCTTTAATTAAACAACTTCATAATTACCGGCAAAGACCTTGGATTAAATACATCTTTCTTTATTAACTTCTTGTGTCTTCTTTATTAAATTTCATATGAGATAATATCAATTTAATCCATAACTGATGTTAGTTTTGGAATTGAGTTTTAACTTGACATGCAGGTTAAGTAAACCTGGTGGTCAATTCAGCAAAATAACATCAACAAAGCTCTCGTGCGAAAAACATGACCTGGCGATAAACTCCTTCTATGTTTTGTAATGTTTTGATAGATAATAGAATCGTGTTTGATTTTTCTTTTAACGATCTTTGCTTTGAGATACGTTGCTCAATAGAACTGAAAGAAAAATTTATAAATTTCATGAGTTAAGCAGCTGTTTTTTTTGAAGACGGTCTTTAAAGAACACCAAACGTGGTTTTGGAAATAACGATCTAATGAGAAGCCTCGCGTATTTAATACCGATATGACGAAGAATGCGAATTTATCCAGGAAAGTAAAACAAGTTATGGTATAAATGACATAATAAAAACTTAAAAAATACGATGAAATATTCAGTCAAAGCCTGTGAACCCTCTTCGTTTTTGTTTTTTTTGTATCTTGCGATTTTGTCCCCTTATTTTTAGTTTTTATACATATTTGTCATGCTGTCAAACATTACAAAATGAAGCTCGAAAAGAGCACTTTTACCTAGATTTATAGACTGCGATTAGTAAATAATATAGTTATTGTTTAGTTAGGCTAGCTACTGTGTTTGATTCCGTCATTATTATCATCATCATCATCATCATCATCATCATTGTTGCTATTTTTTCGATGCTAAAGTACTTTATATCTGGTTTTTAGGCCTATGAATATTGCTTCCTTAAGGTCGGCATGCATACAGCATATTAAACCCTGTTTTTTCTCGCTCGTCGTCATATTCTTTATCGTCAATTTCCTTCTATCCATTACCGTGTCCATCGCTCTGCTAAATTGTATTGAAGTCAAGGACCAAGATACAACGTTTTGTTTGGGGGCCAACCCTGATAAATAGGTGCAACAACAGCCATATTTTACAAAATAAAAGGTCCTTGATTGAAGTGGAATGGAAAAGAGAGAGCCAGGGGCCACTGTTAATGTCTAAATGTGATGGCTTGTTTATTTCAAAGCATGACATCCTTGCTAGCATGGACAGCAGTAGCATTTCAAAGGCTCGGAAGAAAGTGGTAATTTTAGAAAAGATCTGAAAAATGTTTCTTCTTAGAAAAGGAAAATTTTGTTAAAAGTTTGGGTGATGTGCTTCTGCTGCATCCCTAGGTCCAATGTCCTTCCCTGCTAGTGCCCAGAATAAACAACTTTTTGAGCTTCACAGTTTTAGACATTTTATGCGTGGGGTTTTACCATTACACGATCATATGGTACGGGAGAGGGTTTGATATTTGATGATCGATTCTTTTAGAATCTCAAATTTCTTGCGAATCCTATACATATGATTAATTATTCTTCGCAAACCGACGTCAACACACTAAATAATGGTCCCCATTTACAGCTTAAAACTTTTTCATAAACAGATCTACAGTTTCGATTTAAGAATATCAAAAGGGAATCAGACCCATCCTTCTTTTAGACCAGGCTCCTGTTATATTTTTATAGTTTTATTTTTGCAAATCAGTCAAAAAGTATGCATGTTGTTTATTTTTGCATAGTAGAACCATAGAACCATTCCATCTAGATGGCGAAGTCCATCCTTAGATCCGTGCTGTCTAAATCCATAACAACACAATAGAATAACTTCAAAATATATCTGGACTTAAGACAACACGCTAACCAGAGACAAAGCCCCAAATCCGTCGACTTGTTCCAGTAACCTGGAAGATTATTAGCCTAAACAAACTCATAAAAGAAAACCTGCTCAAAGAGCAAATAAAAATCCGTTTATTGACATCGGACTAACGATTTACGGTTTTTTTGTCTCGATTTTTTGAAATTGAAAAGCACAGTTGAAGCTTTTTAGATAACATGTAAACATTTCAGACGATTGGAAAATGCTTCATACTGAATGTGACTTCACCTTGTATTTGTCAATAAAATGTTGTCTCATTTGACTGTTGTTAGATTAGGTGCCTTACCCTCCACTAAACCGTGGGCAGTGAATAAATTATATGCTATTTTTCTTTATCATATACACTTTCTTAATATGTTCATTTTCATAATTGTTAAATAAACCGTAGTCTCAATCGTTGAAAACCTTAATTCTTTCCTGAAAGCAAAACAACTTTTGCCATCTTTGGTTTTTGCTACACAGCATTTTAGTACTGATGTTGTCTTCATTTTCTTCACCAATCGAAATTATCTTATTTCTCGTTTGTTTCTTGAAGATAACTCTTTGCAATCTAAGGTTATACCTAGGCAGCCTATTCAAAAACTTTACTGTCTTCTGTCCTGTCTTTATTGAGCTCGAAGCTGTGAGATGGAAGATGTAATGTCATTTCATTAGGACATTTCGTAGCAAATACGCAGGCTACAGGTGACTATCAGGATGTGACCGTGAATTGCAACGATCTCGGTATCGTGGAGGCCTCGATTTCATTTCACTGCATTGAACTCTTGTACAAAGCAAGATGCGTTCTGTTGATTCTTATTTCTATTCTAGATGATACACTTCAGTCACTGGCAGTGATGTCAGCCGGCCAAATGCTTTAGCATATTATCATGGATTGCAGCTGCCACTCAGCGCTAATACAAACAATCAACTTCTACATTAAGCATGTACTCACGTTATTTAAAATGTTTTCTAAGTCAAGACTTTCCTAGGATTATCTATTTTGACTTTGTCTCCTTTAGAACCTGTGGCGCTACTGTTTCAAAGCTCAGCTTGGTTTTAGGCCATTGTTTGACCCTAGCCCTCTCTTGTCTGTCGTTCATTTTCCCACGAGAACCGAGTATTCTGACATTCCCATAAGCTGGCTATTTCTTTTGATGATAGTAGGTGCTCTGGTAAGTTTTGCGATCATTGGAAACTTCTTTGATGTAACAAGGGGAAAGGAGAACAATTTAAGTAGGAAGCAGTAATTTTAGGTTTTTCGGCAAAAATGCTTGATACCTTGTAAGATGATTTAACATTTTGGCATATATATGGTGCCTGATATTCGCATTAAACGTGAATTTCGTAGTTACAACTAAAAACTGTCCTGTTCATTACACTGTAATAATAATAATAATAATAATAATAATAATAATAATAATAATAATAATAATAATAGAAATATTTATACAGGGTAAAACCTTTCAGTGCCAAAGGCACTGTTATCAATTAGGGCCCTGTTATCGATAAGGGTACTGCTTTGCCTAAAGATTTCATTGAGCACGATATAACAGACCGGTAAACAAGAATTTTTATCACACATTTTCATTTACGCAAAGTTGTTAATAGTGAAGACAAATCTTCTAAAGTTTGCTTTGATTTGCTTTACAGCGCCTGCGTCAAAGTTCATCTTATAAAGAAAGGCAAAATATAGACATTTGACCACGCCCCTTTCATTTCTTTTCAATTCATTTTTATGAAACAGACTCACAAGGGTCTTAGATCTGTTTTATTGATGCTTTTTTCAAATCGTATCAAGTTAAAAATTTTTATAAAGATCTGAGTATACATCTAATGTTGATTTGATTCCATAGTCTGTTTTTTGGAATTAATTACCTGTACGGTACAACGTTCATTCTATCGATATCTCACTCAATAAAAAGCTTCAGTGAAGGCATGTGCTGATTATCTCTAATCAATTACTCTCAAAAATGTCCTTACATCATGGGCTCCGACAAAGGTTGAAAAGTAGGGGTGGGGCCAAGGGAAAATTTAACACCCATAACAAAAGATTTTGAAAAGAACTCTATTGTTTTTGCAGAAAAGTAGGAGGGCCAAGGCCCCCCCGGCCCCTCCTTCGTCGGAGGCCCTGTACATGTACATTAACAGTCGAAATAATTTCTTCAAAAAGTTGCCATGATTGAAAATTCTTATGTCCTTGAATTAACTCGTATTCGTTCGAATCATTTTTTTTCGATCCCATGTATCAGCAAGCAGTCAGATGAAAGAAACTCTTTGATGAGTAAAGGTTCTTTGCGTTTCAGAGTGTTAAGATCATGGAACTTCCGTGTTCGGCCTATCTTGAAGCGGCGCCTTTTCTATTGCCACACTAGAATCTCCGCGCCCGTTTATGATACATCAATTATGTCTCAAATCAAGACGATTGTTGTCTGTAATTTCCTCCAACCGCTATTTTGTTCCAATGACGACTTTGCACGCGGATTGTGGCATCGTTCTTCATAAAAGCCCACGATTAATACCCTAAATTAAGTCATACCTATAACCGAGATAAGGGCACACGCTTTGATCTATTACACGAAACTGTAACTAATTTGTGGCGACAATTTGCTCGTTTGTTTGATAATCAACCCACTAGAATTTCGACTTACGTCACGATAATGTTTCCTTTCAAACTTACAAACCCTTAGAACGTTAGCAATATTTATTATAAAATGTTTAAGGCTCCAAGACTTGCAGAGTGGGCTCTCGTCTGTGACCCCATCTTCAAGTGTTCCCTTTATTGAATATACTCCGTATTCAAATGTCTCCGTATTCATTTGCGTTTTCAAATGCATACATTTCGGCAAAATGTATCAGGGAAAGTAAGGCAACAACGATGACCAAATTCTAATCGTCAAATTTCAATAAAAAATTTGATAAAAATTTCGAAAAATAGATAGCAAAAACCACCTTCGTTTCGCGATTCTGACCCCATTTAACTTCTGAAGAACGTATTGAGCCTCGCTTGCATCAACACGGATTTCTGTTTGAGAAAACGAGGCACCGAGAAAACCAATATAATCTGCCGGTGGAAGTAGTTAACTGCTCGCATCAGCATTTATCTAAAAGTGCAGACTGCAGCTACCTTTTGAGATTTGACACTTTTCCACCGTTGTTTACTGCTCGTAGTCTCATCAGTACATTTTTTCTTTTAGGTTCTGGCACGTTTGCCCGCGTTTTTCTCGCGCAAGACACAAAAGACCATGCGTATTACGCTTTGAAAGTTATGAAAATAAAAGCTATGATTAAAATGAATCAAGTACAACATGTGAATAATGAACGGAGAATCATGATGGAATGCGATTGTCCTTTCATAGCAAAATGGTAAGATTGAAAAGTCTTTTTAGTTTCATATATTACAATGCCGCATTGTCCCATCCTCGCACCCACAGTCAAACTGTATTATTGATTGGCTGTTATGTGGATAACCATTGCCCAAAAGGCATTTGAGAATGGGAGAGATAGATAAGCTGCTCAGTTTCAATGCTGGCAAAGGAGGGTAAGGGGCAGAGTATATGGCTGGTTTTTGGAATTCTTCCTGCTTAGGATTACTTAAGTCTCAAAAAATTCCATGGAAGGGTATGGAAACCAAAGATATTTTAAGTAGTTGTTACAAAAGCTAATGACAAAGGCTTGAAATGGGTTTATCTCCTAATTTTCCTGTTCCTTGATCGGGTATGATAACAGTTTCTCGTGCTGCACGTCCTTGTACGCAAAGGAAGTCAAGCCTTCCCCCCCGTGGCAAAGCCAAAGGATTTAACTGATTGGAAGTTTACTCTGAAGTGCACGGGGGTATAGGTTAGGGTATCTCTATCGATGTTACTTTATATGTATTTTGTGCAAAGCAAGAGTTAAATAACATTGTTTTTGGTATCGAAATGCTTTTACGTTGACCCTAAAAAGGCGTGGCGAAGATACTTCCGGCTCTTGTTTTTCTCAATTTCTCTATACAGGCATTGCCCTTTAACTACTTATTGCCAAGCTTCTCAAAATCTCAAAGCGAGCTTTCAAGCGACAATCAAAAGAATAATTCTTTCTGAATGATCCCCAACTGTTGAATTATTGTGTTTTGCAAAGGAAAGCCACCTGTTTTCTACTTATTCACATAGTTACCAAAATCCTATCTATTCATACCAGCATTCCTCTCCCTTTTATTAAACATGGGATTTTATTATTTCCACGCGTGCATTCTTCCTTAACGGATCCTCTTCGTTTCGAGATATTTGTAAACATTTTGTCGTTTAAAGGTCGCGTTTTTCGAGTATTTGATAGAACAGGTACACTTTACATAAATTGATATTGTCAATGGATGGCTAAAACAACATCCCCCTCTTAAAGTCTTACAGTATCACGACTAAAATAGGTTTAAATTCGGTCTTTTTCCTCCCAATGCCATCATTAACTTGATGGTCATAGAACAGAGTGATGTCTCGTAGTGAAGTCTCAATCTTATTTGTTTCCCAGCCCATAAACGAGTTACACGAAACTGGCTTAAAAAGCCTATATTGAAGGCTTTTGAGGTTTTCTTTAGAAATTATGGCCCTCGAAAATGAATGTGTTTACATTTGTAACTACACTCTTTTTTTATAAGAACCAGTAAATTTAAGTTCAGGCTGACTGTTTCTAATTTTTTTGAAAATCTGAGGCTAGATTTTTCTTAATTTATTCTTAAGTTAATAGGGTGTAAGCAGTGTGAATGCTAGCTTTTTCGCTCTAGGGAGGTGTTCAGGCCTCATTTGTCAACAGAGTGGGCGAGACAACCTTCATCTCCCTATAAGTTTGAAAATTCACCGAAAAAGCATCCACACATGGCAAAAAATCTTTGCAACATGGATGAAACGTTGCTAAAAACTACATTTTACAGTAACTCGGCCTCAGCTTGTTATTAATTTGTTCTTAACTTTTGACCAATTTTGAGGCTCGTGTGCTTATAAAACTATTCTTATAAAAAGAGTGTATTTTATGGTACTTTTAATTTAGTTGATCTACCTTAGTTTATCCAGACTGAATTTCACCCTTACACGCTAAAACAAAATACTGAATGATAAGAAATGGGTTCATCTCTGGGGTGTCAACCGCTATTTTCACCTCGAAGGAGGAGAGAGGGAAAGAAAAGTCTGCACGCAGGTTATAATTCATACTGAAGATAAAAAATTCAAGAGCTTCTTCGAAATTTCGATATGAAACGGGTCTTATGTTATGACATAATAATTCTATTGCATATGTTCATATAACTCTCTGGTCTTTGAAACAATGAACATCTTGTGGTGGTGGACAGAGTTACATCATAATTCGGCTTGTTTTGTCTGGTGAATCATTTTATCGTAATTCACAAATCCAATTTACCAAGAAAATTGGTTCTGTTTAAAAAGGCTGATTTGCTTGTAAAAGGCCTTTATCGAGAAAGGTTAGATAAGCCAGGATATGAGGGTCAGAAGCCGTTTTACTCGGTATGGTCAACAAATTGCATTGCGTTTTTGGGCGTATGGATTGAAGACTAGGGCAGCCTTTTCTGCTACAGAATTCTCACATTGAGCCCTATCTCTCGTAATTAGGTTTGTATTCCTTGAAAAGACAGTGACTTGAAAATCTCATTAGGAACTGAAAACCAGAGACTATGATTAAGCTGATTACTGAATGGAAGGCCAATCAATGAATGGTTAAGTGAATAAACGAAAGTTTGAAAAAAAATTTATTGTACATAGAACAGTGTTTATTCACGATCTAAAATCAAAATTAAATTGGGCTAATGCAATACACTTCTACCTAGCCTTTTTGATACAAATTCTAAAGCAATTTTTAACAGGGATCAAAAGGCTATCGGGAAAGCTTGAAAAAGTATTTTATTTTCATGAAATGAAAATTAATAATGATTAATGAAGTCTCTTCTGCTAGGTCATCAGTCACGACTATTTTCTATGTCTTCGACAACCAGGTGGTTTTAGGGTATCTCGTCGACGTGAATTAAAACTTTATTTTATCTAACCTAGTATAGTTGTTAATGTGTTTAGTATATTTACCAATGAACTTGAAAATCAATCTGACACGATATTTGCAGACAAAATATAATGTATTTAGTCTATTTAAAGATAGATATTTAACATATTTTCACTTGCAGTTGATTTATCGTACATATGTTTGTTTGTGTTTCCGTTTGTTTCATACATTTACTGCTAATATTGCCGTTTATAAGACTAGGGCAGCCTTTTCTATATGTACTAGGAAATATACTAATCATATTTGTATTTTTACCAAGGCATGATATATTTGACAAAGTTTGTAAGATAGAATGGTTGGTGAAGTTGATTGTTGATAGAATGTAGTGAAATAGCCCAACAGCTTACAATAATTTCAATATAAAAACAAATGTTTAAGCAAGAAAACATTTAGAAACAAAGATCAATACATAAAAATAACGGTTGTCAGCAATAAGATACAATCTGTTTCACATCATTATTCCAAAACATCATGCAGCTCGAAGCATTTTTTTACCTCATTAAGACGTTTATTTTATTACAAAATAGGCATTTATATTTATATTCTAGTTGCTCAACTTTCTTACTTCAACTGCCTTACTTTCACCTATGATTCTTGCCAAATGTTTTGGTCTGCTCCTTGAGATTTCTGCAAATGGTTGGTAGCAACTGTTCACTCTCCCTGCAAGCAATGTTGTTTCCTATTACTTTCGTCGCTTTATTGTTTTTTTAGTTTATTGCCATCAGTGACGATAGTTATAACTTAATTACTCTATAAACAACAGTGTTTTTAAGAGAGATGATTCAGTGTATGTTCCTGTTATCGGGGACTGTTAAAATTTTCACAAAAACTCTTTGCTAGAGTTCTTCCAAGAACTTTCTGCAAAGATTTAGATTTATACTTTTTCACCCCTGAGTTTTTTACCTTTTTCTCGAACATGGGCCAACTTGCTTAGAAAAAACATTGCCATCTTTGTTTAGCCTCGTTCGCCCTTGATGGTCTCTGTACTGGATCAATTGTCGTCGGTTTTTATTGCTTTTGGCGTAAAAGTGTAAACGGGGCCTAGTCATTGACAATTAATTACAATGTTCCGTGCTACCAATTCCTTGGTTTATATATTCTAAAAACATCAAATTTACATATGTTAACTTGTATCCTTTTATATGTTTCAGTTTCTGGTCATGCCGCTCAAATTCCTGCATCTTTATGTTATTCGAATACCTACCAGGCGGAGAACTTTTCACATTTTTGAGAAATAAAGTGAAATTCAAACCGGCAGATGCAAAATTTTACGCGGCAGAGACTACGCTTGCTTTAGAGTATCTACACGAAAAGGACATTGTTTATAGGGACTTAAAACCTGAAAATATTTTGCTGGATCATGAAGGCCATGTCAAACTAACGGACTTTGGATTTGCTAAAGAGCTAACTGATATGTAAGTATTGATGTAATCAGCATTTTGAAACTTGTTTGTATAGAATATCCCTGCGCTGAAGAGAATTTCCCTACATTTATTTCCTCTGAAAGATATTAGTGAAAGAAAACTTAATTTTACTATTTCTTGCACTGCTGTTCAAAAATTTTTGCCCTGCGAGTGCATTAAGAAAAGTATCACCCACGATACTAGTGTATCTGTGTTATAATAAAGGTGGAGAGTAGGACATGCCTCTTTCACTTTACTTTTCATAGAAAATAAGCAACTTTGTACAAAAATTGCCTTTTCAAACTTTATACTTTGACCGTAATTTTTTATAAGAAACAATGATCGATTTTGAGTACTCCAGTTTCTTAACGTTCTGGAAATTTAAATACTCATTGTTACATTTAAATACTCATAATTAAGAGTTTTCTTAATTATGATATCATGAATGATGTTATGAAATGTTCGTGACCTTTTTAATCACGTCAAGAAATTCGCTTCCGTTCTGAGGCTGTATTTAGATGTGGAAAGTATATTTTTATCCCTTGTGTCTTAAATTCTAGGCCAACAGGGCAACCATGTTCCTGGATTTTACAAAACTTCGTTGTTCTCAGTTTTATCACGATTTAATACTTTAATATTTTTGTTTATATAAAGGGGAGGACATTAGCCTACTTTTTAAAACAATGTAAAGTCTTTACAGTATGTTCAAAAAGGCCCTGTTCTTTTTTGTCAAGTACGAGTCTTCACATTTCATGTCAATCCGATTGCTCCAACTTTCTTTTTGGTTCACTTCCCAGAAACCCTGAAATGTTTATTTCGCGGCGAACAACATTGCTTCTACTCAAATTCATGATTTTGCATCTCCGCAGGACTTGGACACTGTGTGGCACCCCAGAATACATTGCACCAGAAGTTATTCAAAATAAAGGACATAGTTTTTCTGTTGATTGGTGGGCATTAGGAATCCTTATTTTCGAAATGCTTGCTGGGTATGTTACCTTGCTGTGTTTTGCTATACTTTGATGTTATGTAGGGAATTAGGGAAGGCAGAAATAGTCACATAATTTATCTGTGGAAAACGCTGAAAAGCTGCAATAGGCCAATTAAGGCCGATTTGCTAGAATCCTATATAAGTGAGGAAGTGAAGAGCAATGATAATGAGTGAATAGACGAATGATCCTTACCTCAATGGAATGCCAAGACCCATTTTGTCAAGAGAGTGAACGATAAATTGTTTTGGCTATTCATTACCTCATATTTTCATTGCAACGCGACAACGGTGGCTTAAACTGTAAAAACAGAATGCACCAATACTTATTACCAATACTTGTGAGGGAAAAAAATTGGTCTAAATTAGATGTAAAAAGAGTAAAAATAGGCAACAGCTTATCGGCCGAGACAAGGGCAGGCAATTGGATATGGATTGGAGACAATTTCACCAATAAAAAAGGAATTAGTCTGAATAGGTTTCATTTTATCCTCATTCACTCTCCTTTGTCTTTTTTCACGCTTTTTTACTCTATTTTACCTACTTCTACTCTCGACTAACTCTTCCGTTGCAAATTTTCCCTATCTATCCTGATTCTTGGTCATTCTCGCTTCATACATTAAACTCTAAAGCTTTGTAGAATTATTCCAAGAAACAGTTAACTCCAAAAAGACTTTTCTTGGCCTGCTTTTTCTTGCACTAATGCGAGTGTTTAACAAAACACTTTTAACAAAACGCTGTTGACAAGAATCTTTCCCATAGCGTAGATTTCAGTTATGTGCCACACATCACTAAATCTATGTGCAGACACATTTAATCAATTTTTCACTGCTAACTTTTTTAATAACATAGGTTAATTGCATTCAGTTTTCGCCACCAATTGTTCGACTGTATTCCTGTTTCTTAATGGTGATAAGCTATGCGAAATCTCTACTTAAATATTTACCGTCTCTCTGTTCGTTATAAAGAGATTTAACGTCGCCATTCTCAATTTTATAGGATCCCACCATTCACGGATGAAAGTCAATTTGGAACGTACGAAAAGATATTAGAAGGGCACATCATTTGGCCTAAAGCCTTAGAGGACCAATTAGAGCAGTACGATTCCTATTACTTATATTTGTGTCCAAAACGCTGCTCCTTGACAACAGCTCATTTCTATAAGAGATTTTTCTCTGAAATTGGCAGTAAATTTCAGTTAGACTTTCTTTCGGAGATTACCTGCACGAAGCAAATTCTTACTTTTTCATAAATTGCTTGTGTAGGTGCCACGGAGTTGGAGGGGATGCTGGGCGTATCCCGTAGTAAATGTTGGGTACCACGCCCTTTTATGTTACCCTTTGCCTCATTTCAGAGTTATGTCGCTCTAAGTGCTATTTTCTACAGGAAATATTTGAAATAATGTTACTTGCTCTTGATCAATACATTTATATCTATGCATTGACAAAAGTAAGAGATCCCCTTGACGTCGATACTGAGTAAAGTATTTTCAGCTGGATCCCTGAGTAAAGGGTTTTTGAGATTCTTTGTTGAAAGCACTAAAAAGTAGAATGTTTGAGTATCCAGAGAAAATCTCTTGCATTAATCACTGCTGCTTAGAAGTCTCTTAATCAAGCTATGTTAGCTTTTTTTGTACCGAGTGAGTGAATATTTTGACAACTTAGGCCACACAAGTTTGAAAAATATCTCGGTAAATAATTTGATAGAAATTTATGTTGATTTGACTTATATGCAAATTTTGTAGCAATTTTCTTCAGAAAAGTATTAACTCAGCACAAGTAAAAGAAGAAAATATATGAACAATCTTTTGACAGGCAAGCGGCACTGATTGGTCAACCTTTCATGTGCTCGCGTTTCTGATCGGCCTATTTCGATCCACAACTGGGTATATATATTTCCTAGCGTAGAGTTTTTGATATATGTTCTGACGCCTTATACTCTGAAGAGTGTCAGACGAAAAGCTTTAGTTTACTAAGATGTTTGCTTTTTTCAAAGAAAATATATGTGGAAAATTTAGATTATTGAGATACTTCTAGCAAGTGATGAACAGTTAGTGAACAATTGTTAGGAAATCGCCATTTTCTCATTATTATAGGTTCATTTCCCAGACTCAGCTAATCTCACCACCGTCTAAAAAGACAATTTTTTCAGATATCTTTATTTGCTTATCCATGTTGCTTGGATTATAATGAGAGAGATAAAAATTTTCTGTCATATTTTCGTTTCCAATAGCAATGACTTTGCTAATAAACCAAGCTATCTCTGTGGTTTTCAAGATTAGATTCATGATGTGAGATAAAATCTGATGAGACCAATGAATCGTAGTAGGGATGTGTGTAGCTGGATTTAGTAGAAACGTAGAGGAGCAGAGTTAAATGTAAGGGGAGCTAGGGATGACACAAGTCATTGGCCTGCCTCTAACTGCAATTAAGTTAAATTCATTTCATTCATTTCATTTCATAGGGAACCCTTCTGCAATGTTGATTTTTTTAGCCTATTTCTGTATAATGATCAAGTTCTTTGCTTTTTTCGTAAAATTCGTATGTAATTCATTCTGAAATTGCCCTCATTCACTGATGTAACCAAAAACCTTCCTTGTCGATTGCTTTTCAACTACAATTCTTCAAATGACCCTATATAACTTATGCAAGTTACGTTCTTTTCTCACGATATATCATTTCATTCACAAGATTAGCAAGAAATTCAAAACTCGGCCTAATTACTTGATTCATCTGGCTTGTTCGGCTAAGATCTGCATTTAAGCCGTCATTTAGATTGAATTTTTTGTAGGGATTTGATTTCAAAGCTGCTAGTTCCAGACAGGACAGCTAGGCTTGGGGGAGCCAAGGTAAATATATTTCAAGCGCCTTGAGCTGCATTGTTTCAAGTTCCATGTTTCTGCTCACGCTTACAAAAAGATGTTTTTCATGAAATCTTTCTTCCAGCATGCAGGAAGACACTGTCTTTTCAATTTAGGCCGTTATCAAGTTTTGTCACTACAACTGGCAGTCTCCAGTCATATTTAATAGTGTCACTGTTTGGTGGTCTGGAAATGGTTAAACCAGGCCAGAGGCCAATCTGTGAAGAGACCGCAGAACGTGTTGCAGAATTGGCTGAGCTGAAGCTTTCTTTAACATACTGCTTGGAGAAGAAGTGGCGCAGTAGATTATTAATTACTTTTGAATTTTTAATTAATTAAGAATGGCTATAGCACCATCCTCTCCTATTTCCACAATCTATAGGTTTAATGGTAATCTGAATGTGAGGAAGGATAGACAATTCTTTTATTCGTTCCCTGCAATCTGCTGATTTTATCAATCTTATTTTAACTAGGTCTCCATCAGATTTCTCTGTATATTAGATCATGTATACGGGTTTCTTTTTCATGCAGGGCGGGGCCGAGGAAATAAAAGGTCATAGCTGGTTCAGTGATGTCATTTGGTCAGATGTTTTCAATAGAAGAGTTAAAGTATGGAACCATTCATGTACCCTTTCATTCCTTCTATGTGGGTTACGTATTTTTCGATCAACTTGAATTTGGTTTACGTCATCACCCTCGCCTTCCCACATAAAAATGAAATGACAGAATAGTCTTTGTTTCAGCATCTCGCTTTGATCTCCACCTCGTAGTTAATCTGCCCTTTCCTCCACCAAAAGATCATAGTTAAATAACCTTAATTTAAATTATGTTGATTTCTGATCTCAGAAACTAAAGGCTGGCTACTTTACCTGATCTATAAAACTGGACATAACTGGAAACATAAAGTTTTAAATGTCTGCATAAACTTTCTAATTTGCATCCATGTATTCACCAAAGTTTCAAAAAGCGTCTTTATGTTTAGCCAATCTCTTTTGATGCTAGGCAATTACTTGTGAAGGATTTTGCTTCCGCACGGGATGTTTGTAATGACGTATTTTCTTTCTCTCTAGCCTCCAATTTTGCCAAAAGTGGCACATCCAGGCGACACTAGTAACTTTGATGACTACAGTGACGATGAATGGGCGGAGGATGCTCCGGAAGCTTCAAAGCAAGATATAGACCTGTTTCAAGGTTTCTCTTTCGCCTCGTCGATACAATGAAGAGCATTCATTTGCAGATTAGTATCTCGTTTATTCTAACGTGGGAAATGCATGAACAAATGAACTGTGCGCATTTCCTATCTGAAAGACGTCGAGATCATTCAATGAGTCTATTTCAAAATACAAGAAGAACTATCGAATGGACGTTAAGCGACCGACTGCTTTCGGTGTAAAGCCTGAACATTTGGTTAATGAATTCTTATAGCTATATCAATCATATAGCTTATAAAGTTCTTTGTGTTCCTTTGGTAAAGGGTGTCTCTCTTTGCATGACAAATTATAGTGGAAAAACTATAATTTGTCAGTGTAAAAAATATATGTGTTAGGGTTGAAAGCTCCATAAATCTGGAAATTGCGAAACAATAATACTTCAGCTAGAGTCTGGATAAACATTTTAGTCCGGCAGAAAATCAACATGTCACGCCACCCGAGTCTAAGAACCACTCAAGTCCAGGGGCGTAGTGCTAGGGGAGCCCCTTGTTGATGCCGAAAAGTAGCCATTTTCTACTATTGCCATTGTTTTTGCAGCAATTTTCAGAAGAGCTCCCCTTGTTATTTTGATAGCACTACACCCCTGCCCCAGTCTAAGAAGATTTAAATTTGTGATTGGCCAGACATCTTGCATTCTCTCCCACACTCTCTCGATCGCATCCTCTCTCAAACTCTCCCACAAGTAAAATAATGCCTAATTGTAGAAGATCCTCAAGGATCCAACGTAACAATACTAGCAAATGCCCTTGAAACAAGATAAAGTGTGAGGAAAATAACATCTAGGTTCAAGCTCTTCCAATATTGTTTATTGTAGAAGTAAAGCAGTCGAAGTTTTCTAAAGCATTAACACTTTTGACGAAAAGCTTTTTGTTACATATGTAATATAACGTTTTGCTCCACACAAATCAAAGAAGTATTAATGCATAGCATCTTCGTGTTTCTACATTTGCAACTTTTCTTTTGTAAACAGTCATACTGAAGCAACTACAAGGGCAATAGTGATGAAGTAGCTCCAATTTCTTTCTTTAAAGTGATGCAGCTGAAGTATGGACTGAAAAGAGTGTGATTAAAAACCGTTATAATTCTCCTTTAAGAAACTGTGTTATAAGAAGCCTTTGCCTGGTGTTTTTAAATGAAACACCTGTATACAAGAAATTCTCTAGGTTGATTCATGAAAGAGTATATATTTACATTGCATGATTCTTTATACTATGCAAAATGCGCTTCTAAGAAAAGATGTGCTGTCCAGTTATCACAATTTCGGCAAGTATATGCCTATGAGGAAGTTTTCATGATATTTACCAAAACTAAACTTTAGTCTAAAAACGAGCAGACGAAATCTGGTTTTTGCTAAACTCAAAAGGGTCCTGTGAAAGGATATTTTGATAGCAGCATGCTTAAATCCATATCGGGGGGCTACCAATTGCATTGCCTCCCACTCATTATATCACTATAAAGGATATAAATTACGGTTTGGTAATTCTTGGGAGGACTACCGTCTCCCAGCATAACCCCCCTCTCGCTTCTGACAGCCTTGAAATTTCCGGATTTTGGCTTCAAAAATATAAGCCTCGCGGCTGAAGTTTTCCGCAACAACAACAACTTGCTTCGTACATGAAGTAAAAGCTCTAGAGATGGGAAATGGCAGATTTTCAAGATGATTGAAAAGATGAAAAGCTTGAAGTCAGCTCAACAAAACAATGTCGAAAACAACAAGGAAAGTCACTGTTGATACGAAAAAGAAGAGTGTATTCGACCGGCTTGGTACTGCTGGGTCGTATGAGGTATGTTAAGCACAAACATTCAATGTTAAAGTTGTTGTTCAAGTGAAAAGCACATGGATGGCAGAATTATGGGCTGTGTTTAGGGCTTTCTGCATATCGACCAGGCTGGAAAACTTGCATATGCTTGTAGATCGACTGGATTTCTTGCGCTTGCTCCTGATAAAAATAACAATAAGGGCATGCATATGAGCGTCGCTGCTCGCATGGCCAGCGTTCAAGAATATTGGTGGCAAGGTCTGGCAAAGCCACCAACTTTGCCACCAATAAAGGAAGTTTGGCTACTGAACAACAAAGGGACAATTTACGATTTGTTGCTTGTAGCCGACTCTGTTAAGAAATTAATACGGAAAAATTTAAAGGAAAATAATTTAAAAGGATTTGACATCGAAATAATGATAAAAAACTAAGAGAAAGTATTTTCAAGATAAAGTTGAAAAATCAACAACGGGACTTTTTTGGTGTTTGTGTTTATCTACAAAGATGAAATCTTTTATCTACATAGTAAGTAACCATCTTAATACAAAGATTGCTCTTTCATTTTCTGTTTCCTGAAATTTCTAAAGCAATCTCTTGTTACTCGCATACCAGAAAGTGAAACAGTGTCATTTCAGTTTGAAAATGCACTTATCATAATATGTGCTGTTCATTAAGACATGCCTTACACAATTTTCTTATATTTGGACAAAATTTTGGAGCAAGCACTTTTGGTTTTTGTGTCTCTAGATTGAAAAATCTAATTTCCAAACTTTTGCTGATATATACAAAAATATTTCATGTTATTACACAAAGCAACCATTATTTTCAGTCTTTAGCTTAGTCATTTCTTGATGTTGGAGATGAAACTTTAGATCATATACCTTTCAGAAACCTGGCAGACCTGACTTTCTCATTTGCTAGGCATGGGAAAATCTTTTTTCTTCCTATGACTTGATGAAAATCATGCATAAATTTCCTGCAAAAATGGGATTTGTCAAGTTACAAACACTGTAATGGTGTGGCACCAGTTTTATGTAAATTAATGAAAAGCTCTTTTATAATGGTTAAACAATTTTACTACCACTTTGAAATTTTCTGTTCTGGCAACTGAAAATCATTCTTTGTTCATGAACACCTAAATTGATCTGGAACAGTTGCACTTGTCTTTATGTTTTTCCTTTTGATGAACATGAAAGAAACAAAGGTACTTCTTGAAAGAAAGTGTATTGTAAAACTTTAAATTTTACTTCAAGGATGTGCTTTTCATTATTTGCTTTATGATTTTGCTTGATGTATATATGTCCTTATCATAATGATACTGTATTCCCAAACCTCATTAATCTGTGTGAATGGCTTTCACAGGCACATAAGTTCATTCTCAGGAATTTCAGCAGGCACATTTCTGAATCAATTCTGATCTTTTACCACATTTATACATTTTGTTTTATTTGCATTTTTGGCTATAAAAGCAGAAACCATGCATAAATTGGGAAATTTCTAGTTCTATATTACTCATGTATGTGTGCTAATTTGAACATATGACATTGTGATTGTTGACCAGACCTTATTTATTTACGCGAGCAGTGCTCCAAGGCACCAAAGTTCATTCTCAGGAGTTTTTGCAAGCGCATTTCTTAATCAATTTTCATTTACTTTGATTGTATTACAGTCATGCTTTCTTTATACATTTTTCTTGGTATTGTAATTGAATGGTCAAAACGAATATAAAGGTAGTAGTTGCAAGTCTTTATTCCCAAAATGACAGGAAGTCCTTACTCTAGTTGGCTGTTTGTCTCTTTTTCTCTATTTTCTTGGGATGGAAGAGATCATTTGCAATTATTGCATCGCTTTTTTTCAGAAAATTATGTTATGACTTCTTTAAAGATGAAATTCTACATACTTCTTTGTTGCAGAAATTTATTGGAATGTATGTAATAGATATTACATTTTTTGTTAAACATAAATGGGTATCTAATTTAAAAGGTGCATCAACAAAAGTTAAGCCCTATCTGTTTTTAAGGAAAGATATCAAATTAATTTAGATTTTATATTGTTTTAGGGTGAGAAAAGAAGTTATGCCAGAGATAGTGATCAATATGGTAATAAACACAGGTATACTCACGACACAGAAATGAAGAAGAGCAAGAGAGGTTATTTGGAAAGGTTTGAAACTTTGATATTTTTAGCAATAAATGGATAATATAAAAATTATAACTTTGCTCAATACCGATTTTGTATTCAATATCATACAAACAAATTGATTCAGAATTTTTCAATAAATTTTTGTGAAATATGCGAATTTGGTCCTTCCAAAAAAATTAATGCACATGAAAATTGCAAAATGAATTCCATGAAAATCAGCTCTTGCAAAAATTAACTTCCTTGCCAAACACTTGGTAGGTAATAATCAATCAACTTTCCACAAATATGAAGAAGTTTGAGATTTTGCAAACATTTGATTGCACCAGTTTTAAGCTCGGTTGAACTTGGATGTTCTCTGTTTTAATTCATGCATGCAAATTTACATTTTTGTGAAGCAATTTATCAGGAAACTTTCCATTGTAGTAATGTGTTAAGAATATTTGTATGGCAAACAAAATGGGGGGAGGGGTTTGTTTATTAAAATCCTTGGAGCTAAAGCAGGTCACATCATCATAAAACTTATTATAAGCTAGACAAACTGTACCCTTGGAACAGGGGACTGTAAAGAAAAAAATCAGGAGCCAGAGTACATTTCACTAGCCTACGTCGTAGACCCCCACCACCTTCTTAATAAAGATAGGGTCTATAAATTAATGAGGCAAAGCTTGCTACAGGCCCTTCTCAAATTCTGGAACTCAATATATGCAAGAGCATTAATACTTGCAAGCAAAACAAATCAATATGACAGTACGATCAGGTGAGTTAGATGAAACGATATTTGCGTAGGCATTGGGTATTGCGTGTATATCTTTGCAAGTTGCGTTTCAAAACACAAGATACATCTATCAACATCTGCATTCGCCGCCATTAGTTCATTCATAATCAATAGAAAGGAGGTATTTCAATTGACTATGGTTCATTTAACATCTCGTTGAGCTTAACAAAGAAAGCCCCGATGGGGTCTGGGAATGATCAATTATTAAAAATATTTGTGCATAAATTTATAACGGCCTGTAGCAAGCTTTGCCTCATTAGTTTGTAGACCCTAACTTCATTCGGAAGGGAGGGTCTACGGCGTAGGCTAACATTTCAACAGCTATGAAGGATGAAAGAAGGATACAATGGCAACTTCACATACACTCAATCCTGTAGACTTTTATTTGCTGAACATATTTGTCAAAATGGAACTTTAGAAAAGATTTATAAAAAATTACTTGAAAACGGGAGGTTAGCTCTGAAAGCGGGAGAACATGAGAAAAACTCATAAATCAAGAGACTCCCGCCCAAATCAGGAGAGTTGGAACCTTTATGCCAATAAGAGATGAAATAGCCTGCACATTGGTTTGTTTTTATTGACTTTAATTTTGATTTTCAAACCCTTCTACAAAAAAATTTATTATAATAAAGAAATAAAGACATTACAACCAGATGTAAAATAATTTTTAAGGAGGGTCCTAGGGTCTCCCATCCCCTGTTGTATAAAAGAACCATGATTTCAAAAGCCATGCTAACTTTTGCTAGTTTTATTAATAAATTGTTGTTGAATGTATCAAATTAATTTTCATTTAGGCATTCACACGGCATTCAGCAACTTATGTTTTAATTTCTTTTAGAATAAAAAGGTAGGAGTAAAATTTCTCAGGGTAGAGTCTATGATGTTTTAAAGAGGTCATTCCAGAATTTTGTTGCTTTGGAGTGCAAGCAATGTTTTCTTTTGCAAAAAAAATGTTACAGAATAATAACTTGAACTAGCTTGTTTCATTGCGGTTAGCATTTTGTTGAGCTTCTGTTTTTGCATTTAATCATAAAAGTCTTTTGCAAAGATCTTTCCTCCAAAGACACTTACAATCATTAATTTTCGTCTTTGTATATTTCTTTCCATTTTGATAAATTCCTGTTCCAACAAGCTTGTCTATGTAACTCTACTAACAAATATTAGCCTAGCTGTCCATCTCTACTTTACTTTCTTAAATCTTTCTTGTTGCAATGCAATTTTATTTCCTTCTTTGCCAAAATATTTCCTAGAAACTATAAATAACATATTAGAAATTTTAGGAAAGTAATAATTGATATATGGCTTAATATTTTTATTCCAGTGATGATGGGGCATTTCATGATGCAGAAGGTTCTGAGAGTAAAAGAGGTTTGTATACTTTCAGTTAATTTATTAATATTTAATGGCTTTTGTTATGGTACATTAGAAACACACTGCACATTTGCTTGCTTAAATTTAATAGATAAGTTTTTGTTGAACGCATTTGATTACACTTGTTTTATTTTTTGTAAGCCCTGGCCAAATCTAAGAAATCACGATAGAAAAAACTGATTATACAACAACACCACTTTACAAAAAACCATTTCTTCTTAATTTGTTAAGGGCCATTGTTAACTCCCTTTTTCAATCTGAAAAATGTTTCTTTTTAGATAAGCGTAAGGTTCAAGATGGGGAAAAGTTGAAAATAGAATTTAAAAAGGATCCTGTTTTGAAAAAGAAACAGACAATTGCAGAGATTTATGAAGAAGAAGTTCCAATGAGAAAGATCAAGAAAGACAAGGAAAGAAAAGAGAAGGAAAGTCATTCACACGGAAAATCAAAATTGGGTGGAAATGAAGGTGTGATGGTGCAGAAAGACGAGCATGTTAGAAATATTCAGCTTAAAGGTATCAAAGATAATACGACAGTATCATCAAGTCGAGTATGATAGTCTTGTTGCCATTTCAATTCAACAAGCTAATATTTTTTGCTATCATTTCAAAATATATCATCAGTTTATTAAAGTCTTGCAACTTGCAGTCTTGCAAGTTCCCGAGAATTTCCCGATTAATTTTACGAATGCTTTCTGTTCCCGTGATAGGCCATAAGCATTTTAATGTGTTAATTTTAATGTAAAAAAGCCACTCCTTTTCTAAAAACCACTCGACTCTTCTAAATATTTTCCTCTGCTCCAATTTGTGCTTTTTGTGTACTTGTTTCTTGGTTTATTATGTTGTCAGTCTCAAATATTCGACAAGCATCGTTGTTACATAAATCATGCCTTTTCTGCCAATTAAGAGGAGGCAGCATCAATTGTTTTCATGCATCCATAGGTGATGACAAAAAGGATCGCAAACCAAAAAGTGACAATAGAGACGATGATGATTCGCAATCTGAGACCATGAATAGGAGACATAAAAAGAAGAGAAAATTAGACGATAGTGAAGAAGAAGTTGGACATAAGGACAAAGGAGATCCTGCATCGAAAAAGAAGAAGAAGAAGAAAGAGAAAACGAAATATGAGAGTTCGAGCAGTGAAAGTGAGGATGAGCGTGAGAAAAAGAAGAAAATCAAGAAAGAAAAACGAAGATCATACGACAGTGATGAATCTGCAACTGATAAAAGGAAGACGAAGAATTATGAACACGAAGAAGAGGAAGATAGAAGGATTGTTTCAGATTCCAAGAAGAAGAAAAAGAAGAAGAAAGAGAAATATGATAGTGAAAGTGAGAGATATTCTGACAAAGAAGAGTATTCAAAACGAGAAAAAAGTGACAAATCGTATGACGATGGAAAGTCAAAGAAGAATCGGAAGACATTTGATGAAGATGAAGGATCAAGAAAGAAGAAGACTGTGGAAGTAAAGAAGCAGAAACATTCTCCTGTGGCAAGAAAAGACTCGCAAAAGGGGAAAGACCGATCAAAACGATCTGCTAGTTATTCGTCATTTTCATCAGGATCTTCACTCGGTGAAGAAGATATAAATGTAGATTATCATAAGAAGACAAGAAAAGAACGAGTACCTGAGAAAGAGTATCGGGAAGATGTGAAGAAAGATAAGGAAAGAAGAAGAGATAAATATGATGAGCCTCGAAGTAGTCATTTGCATCCCCAAGAGGAAGCTAGAGACATGTTTTTGTAAGTAAAGAATAATTCTTGTGATTATATTAATAAGTGCTATTGGGGGGTTTTGGTACCCCAATCAAGTGCTATTTTGGTGCCATCCCAAGTTGTTGCCATACTTTGTTCGCTTTTTATTTTGCAACTTTGTCTTAATCTTTGAGTGCATTTCTTCCCCCAAAGGCGTTTTGATTTTTATTTGAAAAAATTTGTTCCGATAAACTTAATAAGTCGAAAGACGGGATATTTTCTCTTAAAATTTCACGCCTTGGATTGACATGAGATCTTGATTTCCTGGTTGCAACATTAGTTTCCCTGATTGGATGTATTGTTTTTACAAGGAAGGTACTTTATGTTGTTATTAGTTTTTTAAAGGCATTTGACATGCATAAGTACAGCGAATCCAAAAATAACTTAGGCCAAATTGATCAGAGCACGCGCACAAGAAAGGAATTGGTAACTGCTCACGTGAAACCACTGCGCGCTGCTCTAGGATTTCACCGATTTGCAGAAAGGCAAAAAGCTGTTCACGTGTTTTTGTCTGACCGCAATTTGATTGGTCAACCGCTCATCGTCGAGTTGCTGTAAGCCTTTTTTACCTGTGTCAAATGCCTTTAAAGCAGATAATTGTTTGTGTCATCAAGGGGTTTTAGCCTTTCCAGCCTAAAATTCAATTAAAAAATTGTGTACTATTAATTTAATTTAACAGAAAACCTGTTGGATATTTCTTATTGACTTTTTCAGAGAGGAGCGAAGGAAAGATGTTCCCTTGGATTCCTATTCAAGAGACCCCTACCCACATCAACAAGAGCCACGTCTAGAATCATGGGATCGTGACCGTGGTGGGTATGATGATAGACAGCAGACCGGCCAGTTTGGGTCTCCATATGCTTTCGGTCGCTCAAGAGGACCGGATCCATTCAGAGGACGCTATGAACCCCCCGTTAAAGGCGGTGGAGAGAGAGATAGGATGAACTATAGACCGTACCCGGAACAGTCTTACAGTGGAGATCAAGCTAGATATAGAGAAAGAGGTTTGTTTTTATTGCTTTATTTTACTTGTAAGAACCTCAGGATAATCTTTTTTATAATTCTTATCAAAGGGCTTTTAACTAGTTCTCTCCTATTCATATGACTCAAATTTCTTCGCCATTGACTGTTGTTGATTCGGGAAATATAAAACCTTGTTAATTATCTATAATTAATCGCAAACTAAACTAAGCCGTTGTGTTATTATCAAAACTGGGCCATTTGGTAGCCATTTGGTACGACCCTCAAATCGACTGGACCCCCCTGTCAGGCATAAATGGGAGTACACCCCCCTCTCGGGATTTCTGTCTTCTTTTAATGTTGTTTACGTAATATATTTCTAGGAAACAGAGAGCCTTATCCATACCAGCATGGCAGTGGAAGAAGAAACCCTACAGTTGATGATCCATACGCAGTTGGTCGTTCTAGAGATTCATATCAAGGGGTGCAAGAGCCTGCACCAGGTTACTCCAGGGACGAAAAACAGGGACGGGGATATCGCGGGGACTACCATCCGGTGAAAGCTGAACATGATGATTTCGATGACCGGGGTCGCAAGAAGAGCTCTCATCGCTCATCAAAAGAGCCTGCTGGTAGGTAGTGGGTTTGTTTTCATAATTTGCTTATTAACTTGTTGGTCAATTGCCATTATTAAAAGCCTTTCTTCAAACAGATGTGCCCATAACACCATCATAATCTCATAGGCAATTCCAAGTTATTGGTTTTTTGTCTCTTATTGTTATTAAACCACATCTGTGGAACTCTTCTTTTGTCGCTTTGAGTTAAACAAAACGTCTTCTTGTAGACTATGGCTCCAGAAGCCCGGTTTCCAAAAGAAGAAGCCACAGCCCAAGAGAAAGTGGAAGGGAGGACAGTAGAGACCGTTCAAAGTCAAAGTAAGTTGCATGCCATCAATTTCTCGTAGCAAATTTTGCTAATTCCTCTTTAGGAATTTACGAAAAAGGTGTAAATGTTTATTATTGTTTCGGGACCTTTTCTTCTTATTTATCCTGTTCCTTGGACCTCCTTTTTTATTTATTAACACTTCTCGGGAAGCATGGAAAGTCTACGGTAAATGCAAAGAAATGCATTTTCTTGCACAAATTGAAAATGGAAAGTATCACCTTAGCAAAGAGCTTGATCGAGCACTGCTAAGATTTCATAAAGATGCTATATTATTCTGAGAAAACGAGGTATTGGTTATGAATTACCTGGCAACTGATTCTTTTCTAAATCTTACATTGCTATTCCAACCAGTGTGCTATATGTCTTTAACTTTCAACATCTTTTTTCCTTTCTATTTCCTCCCATCCTCTCATCACTTTCACGCCTTGCCAACCTTCTTGGGAGATTTTAATATCAACCGACCACGCCACAGACTCACCAAAAATGAAGCACGAAATTTACCAATAGACCTAAACAGCCTTTGCCTTTTCATACATAGTTTTTCATAGTGGATACCTTGAGCAAACTTTTCAAATTCCGTTTTGAACTAAGCAAGACCAAGCTCTAATTATGATTTGCCTTTTTGCCTGCAAAATGTTTACACAAATGGCTCCAGTGACACCCCTATCACCCATTTCAAACGATTTTAGCAAAAGCTAATTTTATGTGAAGAAGAGCCCTCTAAACACTTTCTTATAGGAAACGAAAACGAGACGACGAATCGGTCGAGAAAGAGCAGTCAGTCGAAAAAAGAAGCAAAAGATCAAAAGGAGATGCTAAGTCGGAGAGCGAGGCAGAATCTGGTTCCGAGGCCGATCCGAAATCAGAAAGGGATCGAAAAAACGCTGATCACGAGAAAAAGGAGACCAAGCGTGTACATAGAGATTCGGAGAGCCACCAGCGACGAGGTTGGTATGCTTTGAGCTTTTCGTGAGAATTTCTTGAAGCTTTGTAGATAGGCTGCTGGGCTGGCCGGACTTTCACCGTGGCCAACTTTGAATTTTACCTAATCTTTTCCAGTTGCGTTTATATGCTGTTTTTGTTTTTGTTGATAATCTCCTTACTTGCAGAATTTTCACCTTTGATGAGATGTAATTTTCCCCGGACATCATATTTGTACCTCATTTGTGTACCTCTTATTTTATTAGCTTGTGTATATGCTCCACTTAATAATAACATGCCCAAAACATGAACAAATGGGAAGAAATTTAACTGGTTCCTTGTTTGGTTTCGTTGTAGCCATGTAGAAAACATGAAGTTTATATCTCTCAATGTTTTTCCTAAAGTTTATTGTGTATTTATATATTTTCTTTGATAAAAAGCCAATCTGTTATCTGCGCCACTAATGCGAATTTATTATAAGGGGAGATGTTTATTGTTATTCTTGCTTAGAAGAAAGTTAATCTGAAAGTAGGTGTTTGGTTAAGCATTTGCAGATATCCTAAGCTGTGAATAAATAAATTTCAATGCCTCTTTCATATTTCTAATTGCCATTAAGACCTTCAAAACATTGCTTTTCCTGTAAAAGTCACACGAAGTCATAGCAAGTGTTTTTCTCTTTAAAAATGAATGTTTCATAGAAAGACCCCCAGAGGAGCACAAACGCCTATGATTTTTCATGTCGATTTGTAGATGAATATGTGGATGACAAACGTGATAGAAAGTCTGACCGTAGCCGGGACCGTGATAAAGACCGGGACAGAGGTAAAGACCGGGACAGAGACCGAGATCGGGATAGGCGTCACAGACCGGGATCAAGTGGTGATCGGTCAAGAACAAGCAAACCGCAGCCTAGGCCGGAAAAACGAGGCGAATCAAATGAAGAAAATCGCGATGGAGATAAAGTTGAAGACAAAAGAGTTAAGGCTTTAAAGTCCTCGCACCGCCAGAGCTCACCATCACGAAGGAGCGATTCAGATTCTGGATCAAAATCATCGCAGAAAAGGGGAAAAGGTATGAGAAAAAGGCTAGTTGTAACAATTTAAACAGAACTGGCTGTTGGTTTTACCATAAGTAAGCCAATCGTAAACAGTCCTCCTTAAAAATCTTCTTAATTGTAGTAGGCCAACATTGTTATCTACAACTGAATCACCTGTGTGAAAACAAACAGCAAACCAGTATACACAACTAAGCCCTACGATTCTACTCGGTGGTCATTAATAAAAGCGTCTTCTAATTTCGAACCCCCCCCCCCCTTTTTCAGTGACAATAGCGTTTTACTAAATGTTCAAAATTCAAAAAGTGCTCGCAATCACTGTCAACAATATTAAATATCTATGAGGAATGACCACCCCCCCCCCTCCCGTTATTAAAATCCCCTGTTAATTAACTTTTGAGCTCGGTTGTGACTCCTTAGTTTATTTTAACCCATATCAGTTTATTTCCGACCTCGGAGTAATATGACACAATGACGTATGTAGAAGTGGAATCCACTTCACTACACCCCTTACATCCCCTTATCTGCGCCCCTTTCCGTGTGTTCCCTTGGCAGTCTGTTCGAATAAACACGTTTTTCAAAAACCTAGGCCGTAGCACACCACAAGAAGGGCAGGATGGAAACATTGACGATGTGTACGAGAAGATAAGTGACGAGGAGCTTGATTTCTTTGAAGAGGAGAACGCCAAAGCGTGCAAGCCGGCGGCGCTCGAAGATATAGACTGGGCGACACTGGCGGCCATCGCGCCTCCCTCGAAAACAGGTATTGTTAATTCAATTTCAGTTTTATTAACCTTTTTTTAATGTAGTGCAGCTTTAATATGCGGCTAAATCTTTATATATGTGACCAAAGAGAATCAGAGCTTATCGAGGCAAACCGCTAAAGTTGAATTTATAAAATTAGAACAGCAAGCTTGCAAAGACACGATATCAACCAAAAATTAAGAAGCCTCGCTTTATAATCTTTGAATGTATTTGCGGTATGAACTCATGATTATCAGGAATAAATTGAATGAGATTTTCAACTTAAATTTTGTGAGAAAGAAAAATGATTCGTACAATGATTCCTCGATTAACGAAACTTCGGTAAACCTGATCAATGGCAATAAGAAATGAATTAAAAACCATTTACCAAGCTATATATTTCTCTATGTGGACAAAGAAACAACCAATCAAAATAATTAAATAATGTTTCCTTTTTGACAAAAGAAGAGCAACAGTGATTTTGTAAGTTCAAAGCTCTCCAATCTAGGGTAAAAGAAAAGTACCTCACCATGACATTTATTTGTTTTTTGTAAGAAAAGATTTTGCAGAAAAATGGCCTAAAATGGCAGAAAAAAAGTCCAAGATAGGCCTATTTCGCAAATCTATAATTCTCGTGATTAAAATTTACAACGCTTTATACATTATTGATCAAGAAATATGAAGAACTGATATCCATATTTGTTATGACTGAGAATGGCTTTGGAAAAAGCAAACAATTCACAACGTACAAAGGCTTTTCGTCTGACTCTCTTCAGTGTATAAAACGCCAGAATCAGAGTCGAAAGGGTCAAGCTGGAAAATATATAACCAGTTGTAGATCGAAATAGGCCACTCAGAAAAGCGCGAGCACATCACTGCGTGACTATACTTACCCAATTAGAACCGCGTGCCTAAAGAAAAATTAACACGAGAGTCTAAGGGTGAAAACTAACTCCTTGTGTTATGATTATATCTAGTTATTAATATTAGGAATTCAACCTGTTTTATAGACAGTATACAGAGTTTTATAATGCTCTTTATTCCCCTTTACAGTCTGAGCAAGTTCTGGTATATTTTGTCACTGTTTGTCGCAGTTTGTTTCCTACGAATTAAACCTTTTCTGTTTCGTATCTGCTAGTTCTCACATTCGGCAAGAAAAGATATCGTTTTCGTTTCTCAAATTTTATAGCAAACGCTTCTTTCAGCAATGGTAACAATTATCATTTGATTCTTACACAGTTGCCAAGTTTATTTATGTTTCCCTCTGTAATTTACCGTCTGCGGCATGGCATCAAGAAGCGAGACTCTGCCCTGTTTCCAACACAGAAGCAACGAATTAGCCAGAGTCCTCTCTTGTATCCACCATCACTACTTTGCGATTATATGAGCTGATATCCACCACACCATCTCAATTTCTGAACAAAACCCCAAAACGACTCAATCGCCGGTTATCTACGCAAACAAATTTTGTCATTGACTCCTGTGTGCACCCTGGTAACAATACACAGAACAATGTGCAAATATGGATTTGATAGACGGAGCCAGCAGCCGTTTTCGGGACTGCAGGGCCCGGGACCAAAAACATCTACGGGGCCCTTGTCCTTTACACTTTTTATCTTTGTTCTTAGGTGTAGGCCCCTTTTGGCTACCATAAGCGCGGGGCCTGGGCCCATGGCCGCCCCTGGACCCCCTTGAAACCGCCATTGAACGGAGCACAAAGCGACTATCACCCTAAATGCACTCTATCAGTGTAAAAACATTCCAAGGATTATGACGATTCCGCTTACATGTAAGCGGGACTTCTAAACAAACGCCATCCATACTGCAATGGCTAAACAACACAGTATTTCAAAATTTATTTAAGATAAAACTTAGGCGGATATGTCTTAAATCATTAGTGGTAACACCGAAAGGAAAACTTGAATTGTTAAAAGTAGAACTGAGAGAAATGTCCTTCAGTGATATTTTGTTTTCCATAAAATCTTCTCCCAACATCCAGCTAACAGTTGAAATTTTATGTTTATTTGCTGTTGTTTTTTAAAAAGCATTTGGCTGATGTAAACGCTGCAACCTCCTTTTGACTATTTCCAACCCAGCACTCGATGTCCACCGGCCTGTTATAACGTGCTCGATACCGTATAGCCATGGCTGTACAAGTTATTTGGTGTATAGAACAGGACGGTTCTAAGTTGCTACTCCGAGTTTCACGCTTAATGCGAGCAACAGGCAACTGTCCCTGGTGCCTTTCAGGCACAGGTGGCTTATGATCTCGTTAAGCATGAAAGGGTAGCAACTTAGAAACGTTCTGTTCTATACACGAAAAAGCGTTGCTGGAAAATTACAAGATTTTTCACTTTGTCTCTGACTTTTAAAAGACCCTGACGATAAAATATAAGAAAAGTCGAATTTCTTTGTTTATTTTTTGCATTTTTTAAGTAATGACGTTGCTTGTCTAAATGACGTATCCCAGAGTTAAATCATATTTCCTTTTTAATTACGAAGGGATTGGTATTATTGTCTTGTTCAAATAGTTGCTAAATTTTTGCTGAACAGATTTGAAGCACTTGCCAACATGAGTAAAACGATACGGCTTTTTCGCTTTCATATCTGGGCCTTAGTTGACTGATTTTGGACAATCTCGTATTGCTAATCTTGTATGCCAAGGTAAACTGTCTTGGTGTCTACCAGTCTTATCTTGGTCTGATTTTGTGTTAGGCCACTATCTTGAGTTTTCCAGTTTCGATTTCTTTGAGACTTTAATTTTCTTTGCTTGATAAGATTAAGATTATGCTATCTCAGTAAAAGTAGTTTAGTTTCGATACAGTGGCGACTCAAAGTAACACTGTTAACTTTAAGTATTTCAACTGCGTCATTCCTTTCGCTTTAGAAAGTACACAAGGAGAATCTCATCGCAGTAAACACTCAGCTTTGAGTGTCCTCAAGAGTATTGGCTTCTCGCCTAGTTTACTGCGCAGTGAAACAATAAAGAGCATCCAGACAAAGTTTGCCGAGTCCGCGACAACTGGCAAAGAGCTGGAAGATGATTTTCTCGATCTTGACACTGGAACTGGAGCTTTGGTTGCGAACAAAATGAGGAACAGGCGGCGACGTAGAAACCTCGTTTCCAACCTTGCCAATCAAGGAACTGTTCTTAGTATGCGTAGAGATATAGGGATTCGAAAAGAACTAAGGATTCCCCCGAATCGCGTAAGTTGATGACGTCATTATATAGGAGAGTAGTTTGTCTGCTAAAACGGGACTTGCTGCCGCCACGGTAGTCTAGAAATGTTCAAACATGGTTTTTTCTGGTCGGTTGGGTGGGCCAAACTTTGCTGATGAAACAGTTTGATAAGTTAAAGTATCCAGGATTCCATTCAAAATCTTTATCTATCCACGCCCTTCAACTTACCTAAGATTATCGCATGAGCTAAACTCTCGTTATTTAGGTTTTTCGTAATTTGAGAAACGAAAAATTGTCAGTATTTTTTGCATTTTTGAATCATTTTATTGATATAAAATGGCTTCGGCTTTATAGGTAGCTCGGATCAAAAATCAATAATTGAATCCTAAAGAGTTCTCAGTGAGGTATTTTGTCATCAATACACTGGCAACAAAACGTTTTAGCATAAGCATTGACAGCCATCCAAACACTCTCGCCATGATTAAACCTTTTTTGATAAATTTTTGGTCTGTTTTCAATTGAATTTGTTCTTTCCGTTAAGCTTGAAATGACAGACAACCTGTTCTGCAATGCACCCTCTGCACCAGCTGACAGAGAGCTCTTCATGGCGAGTGCGGCACTGTACCAGAAGATTCCAGTTGGTGAAAGTGAACCATCGTGCAAGATTGTGCCATCATTAGTTGGCTCAGTTATTCAATGCGTCTACTGATCTCACTTGTGACAAAGTTTTTGCTTTGATATGTCAGTTCACATGTCAGATCACATGCACAGACTACTGGCTAAAACATTTCGGCCCAGAATTTTTTTGAGATTGGGCTGCTCTCTTGGAAACAGTGATCATCTCATGATGTCTTCAAATACTGTGAACCTGCGTAATTTTTTCAGCCATTTGTGTATCTGCTTTCAGAAAGTAACCTTTTTATTTGTACTAGTTCTTAACGACCCAAACTATCTATGAAAAACAGATTTTTATTTTAAATAAAGCTTTCTCTCTGTTATTGAATAAAGCTTTCGGGTCAACTTTGAAATCACTTTTGAAGTTGTTCGCAAAAATTAATTGTCTTGCTTTTTATAAGGTGGTTTGTTTGTGTCAGTTAGTCAGTGACAAATCATCCCAGTTGTCCAAACCACCAAATGCTGACTTATTACCTTGCTGCCTTCTGATACTTTACAATATTTACCGTTTTTTGCAAACTAACTAAGATATAAACAATTTATAAAAGTAGCGTTAAAATTTTAAACCAGAATAAACTAAAATATAGATAAGACTAACATTTAGAATAGCATATTAACATGAAACAAATGCACTAACAGCTGCTCAAATTGTAAGAATGACAATTTTGGTTTCAGTTTGCCTTTCCAAAAACCTCCAGTCAATGGTCCCAACCTTTAACAAACACAGAAATGCATCTCCAGACTGCTTATATTGTCTAGAATTTTATTTTAACAATTCAAGTAAATCAATTCTTCAATCTTTACATGGGAAGCAATTTTGTTATCTGATGTAAAAAAGTTCGTTATTTGCGTTGGCTGTCGGCAACACAGACGCCATGTTGTAAGTGTCTTGCTTGCAGTTGTATGAATGGAAATTAATTCCATTAAAATTCTGCCGAGTAGTATTGATAAGGCTACGTCTTAATAACAATATTCCTACATTTTATCTATTACACTAATCCTGGATTTCTATGAAGACTTGAAAATCAATCGCAAAGACATTCAACTCGATCAAGATTTTGTCAAGAAAAGTAATAAGCATAGAGTTCTTTGTGACATTTTGTGAACTGTTTCTGGTCTTAGTGTATGAGACTTGCAGGGAAAGGCGATTTCAGTGACAATGTGTCAATCTTACATTGTATAGAAAGACAGACTTAAGGCTAGTATATTTATCAGTGAATTAAGGCGATTTTCTCTCGCCGTACAATGATCTAGGAATAATGGCCACATTGTGTTGTTTCCAGGCAAAATATCAAGTTTGTTATCGTATCTGAAACTTTAAGTGATAAATTAATAATGATATACAATGAAATCCTAAGCTAATTTTTGCTCTAAATTACAGACCTTTAATGATGGACTTGGCAAGAAAAATTCAGAATTAAAACCTCCTGACTAGCCATGACATGTATCGGGAAACGTGCTTATTTTTCAAAGTGTTTCTATTGCGTATGTAGTAATCGGATAGACACTCATCTCAATGAGCTCGTTGTATGGTGCCTTGTCGCTCCAAGGAATATTTTGATAAACGTCCTGGTTCCTTACGGCAAATTTGAAATTTTGCAAAGATTGGCGCCACTCCTTTACAAGCTCTAGTACTTAGCCTAATGAGGAAATACTATTCCCACTCACGAAAACCAACATAAGTCTTAACAGTATGTAGGCTGGATTCATCTTTTCATTGTATAGCGAAACTTCTCTGCTTATTTTACGCAAAGCTCGTACGCAAAATGCTTTCATGCTGTTTGAATATTCAGTACTGCCCTATAATTCCAGAACACCTGCCCCTCTTTGCAAAACCAGTCTTGCTAGGTTTGCGGTTTTGGCAAAGCGAAACTGCCTTGTAGTTCTTAGTTAACCAGCTTAGAGTTTTCAGGCATTAATAATCTTTGAACTCTGGCTACAAGAAAATTGATATTGCGAGGGCTTTGAAAACCCAACCAACATTGCACCTGCGATATTAGAACAACTTGTCGTAGATAAAACGTAACATCGCTAACATTATTGCAATTAATTCGTTATCAGCAAATCATTTTTCATCGTTGCGTATACTCATATGGTCCTACTGCAGGAGGTAACCCAAGCTGGTCATCAATGTAATTCGCCAACTATTTGTACACCAAAACAGACCCACAAAAAGACATAATTGTTCTTTTTAATGCAGAAGGCTGGGATACCATTAGTAGACACTTTCTTAGAAGCTTACAGGTAGATTCACTACTCTTGGCATTATAAGTATTCCTAATTTCGTTGAAAATTGGAAAATTGGTCCTTGGTAAAAAGTGTACAGTAGACTTTTTAACTGAATATAACCGCCATCACAGCGTCAAACTATCAAACATTGCTAAATGACAAAAATGATTTTCGGATATTGTAAAATTTTTCCCGGTGACTACTGAAGTTTGGTATCTAATTGTGAAACTTTTTAGCTGGCATTTGTGTGTTTTGCGAGGGCAACATTTGGACCGGAGCACAAGCAATGGTTTACTTCAATTTATGGAAACCCAATGCCCATTGACTTTCCAATTTTATAAGTGTTCATTCTCAGTTCCATTCATTCATTAATCGCACATAGATAACCATTTTTTGATGTATTAATCTTTTCTGAATTACAATAATTCATGTGCTTACTTCTTTACGCTCATAAAGTGAGATGGTGGCTAAAGAGAAATTTGCCCCCAGTATGTGAAGCCCTCGAATTCAGCCCAGATTTCAAGACTCTTTTCTTCTACTTAGAAGATTTGCTGAGCGTCAAAGAGTGCTAGGACCTCTAGGCTATGCATGCTAAAGTCACGCACTGCAAGAACGAATTGTTGGTACATTTGGTACAAATTGTCCAGCAATTTACAACATACATAAGAATTAAAACATGTCTTATTCAGTAAACTCTAAAATTCATTTTCCAAGACGTTTTTTCAAGGCTTCTTCACCTCTGACGATAAGGGAAGTTTCAAAACATTTAATAAGTTTTACGATGATCTGTTACTGTTACTTCACGGCCAACCTTTGTCTATAACCAAACAGGTTGCGTCAGCATTTGGTCTCTGTGGCAACAACTGATTCATCCGGTACTTTACCTTCCAAAACAGGCTTCACCACCTTTGTTTCTTCCTCATTAGGTAGCTTTTCCCCTTTAAGCCAGATGTGCTCTTTGATTTCTGGTAAATCGTAACGTTTACGAACATCTGGTTGCAACATTTTGTTGATCAAATCCTTTACCTCAGGAGATATGTTTTTTCTTCTAGAGAAATGCACTGGTCGCATGACTTGCTCCAGGAGGGTTTTCAAGTGAGAATCATCAAAGGGCAAGCTCGCACTAACCATTGTAAAAAGCACAACACCCAAGCTCCATATGTCAGCTAGCATTGCGTCGTATGCAATACCACGCAAAATCTCTGGCGGTGCATATGCATATGAGCCACAAAAGGTTTGACTCAAAACGCGTTTATTTGTTTCCGGCACAATCATCGATGCGCGTGCAAATCCGAAGTCAGATACCACGATGTTGTAGTTATGGTCAAGTAGTAAGTTTTCGCATTTTAAGTCGCGGTGGACAATGCCCATCGAATGAAAATATTCTGTTGCGGCAACAAGCTGCGCAAAGAAGGTCCGTGCTCCGTCATCCGATAATGCTCCGTTGGATCGTATGTATTCTAATAAGTCCCCATTTTCAGCAAGATTCATAATTAGATATATTCTTGTGTTTGTTTCTATGGCCTCGAGCAGGGTAATGCAATGTGGATGTCGAAGACGTTTTAGGACTTGAATTTCGCGCGGCAAAAACTTTGTGAGGTAGTCCTCAGGCGCCTTTTTCTTTGAAATTATTTTAATCGCGACTTTTCGCTTGTGCTTTTTAGACTGTGCACTTTTCACAACTGCATATGATCCTTTCCCAAGACTGGGTCCCAATGTGTAGCCATATTGAGCTAGCAAAGCAGCAGAGGAATCGAAGGGACCAGAAATGGCGCCTGGAGGCAAGTCTGGCTTTGAAGATGGCGGTCGTGATTTTGGCTTCTCGCTTTGTTGTGCCGTTGTAGTTTCGGGAGCATCATCAACTCGCTTGTCATCCTCTTTTCCTTTACTAGCCATCAGATACCGAAAGTACTTTCGAAGAGAAAATGTTGTTGCAAAGAAACTAATCATAGATGTCCCTTTGCACAATAATGTCCATTATAGCTTTCGTGGTTATAAACTCTTCATCGACGTCTTAATGCAGAACCAGTCATAATTTCGTAGAAAACTTCATTTGACGTCAGAGTAAAAGGGCGAAAAATTGACACCGATTTGACAAGATTAAGTAACTGATTAATCAATGATTAGAATCCAGTCCCTTTCCAGGAAGCCATAGGGCAAGGAAACAGAAACAGATATTCTGAATACTTAAAAAGCTTTGGCTGAAAAATTTGAATGAAATATAGAAAATCAAAAAAAATGATCTGCACTTCTTACATACTTTTTAAAAACATGGCTTGTTTAGTTGATAAAAAATCAGTGAATTTGTTGTAAAATCTGTGAAATGTCTAATGGAAAATCTAATAGTTGTTTAATATGAAACATCTATATTTAGTAGGTTATATTTAATGTGAATCCAATTAAACTATTCAGTTAGTTCTTAGTCGAAATAGCAGCATTGAAATCTCGCGGCAGCATTGATTCAAAGAGTTGGTTTCCCATAGACGAATTTTACCAACCTTATAAACCCGTGGGGCTAAACCTTATAAAAGATTTAGCCAAAAAATGGCGAGTTTCGAAGTTTTGAACTTTGTCGATATGAAAATACTAGGGCAGGGTTGCTGACTCCTGTCTCTCCCAGGAATTACATAGATACTTTAAGAAAAATTGTTTTTCTCTTTGTAATCTTTCTTCTGTAATCTTGTTACATTTCTGTTAGAATTTCAGAACCCTCTTACACGATACGGTATAGTATTCCTTTAGCATAGCTTCGTTATCGATCCTTATCAAAATCTTGTCAGGTTTAGCTATTTACATGATAACGCCTTCATTCCCTCACAAACTGGCCTGCTACAAATAAGCCAGAAGTTCAGAAATTAAAGTTGCAAGAGAGAAATATCAAAACGACTAACTTTATTGCTAATCTTCAAGAAGATCGTTTTTAATTCATTGAGCCAATCCCTGCTCAAAAGGTACTTTTTTACTTTCGTTTTAAATAAAAGTGAAAGGAGCCTTTCTCTTATTATTCATTTCATACCATATTTTTAGATCAGAAAACAAACCCGACTCCTAAATATGGAGACTTTGTCATAGAAATTGACGGTATCATCCCAATCAATGTTTTAGGACGACCATGAAGAGGGAAACTGGGATTTCGGATTTCCTTATATTGGTAATAAAGAATGGGGTTTAAGCCATAAGGACCCGGAAAATCATTCTGGGACTGGGATGACAATTGCATTGAGTTTTTTAAACTTTTGCAACCGCACTACAAAATAGGCTTTAACAATACTGATTAGAATGGGAGGTAGGGTTGAGGAGCTGGAATGGCTGGATACTAGGAGCAGGACCATGTGTGTTTGTGTTGAATTTGAAGTAAGGACCTGGCACCGTGGAGCACTTTTTGCAAAAAATGCCAAATATTAAGTAATTAACTACCAGTAAAGCCTCTTTTTATACGGTTTTAGGCCCTCCCCCTCCCCACTTTTTTTAGACCTCCACTTTTTCAACGCTCCACGGTGCCTGCGGACAGCTTATTTGTCAAAAACATCTGCATTGTAATTATAGTTGCCTGGTAATCGCATTTTATAACGTTCAGCTCAAATACCAACCAAGTATGCACATTTACAAGAGATATTTTAGTAGTAATCTTCATGTGTATTGTTAAAGTCATCTTTACTTTAGTTTACTTAACTTTATTTTACTTTACTGAAATAATCGCCGTTGTTGCGTACAATTTTTTCAACGAAAGAGCAACGATGACTCAACACGTTGCAAAACAGTGTTACAAAATTGCAATATCTTGTTTTGTTAATGAATTTCCAAAAAAAATAGTTTTATGAAATTTCAACAATTATTTTATGGATTTTTGGTATAAAGGTTAAACACAATAATTTATGGCGTAGCTTTAGTATTTACAGTAATAACAATTCCCTGTAATTGTTTAATTTCATGCATTTTCTTAGATCGGTGGTTATTGACCTCTAGACGTATAAACATTAGACATGCCAGATTCTAGCAATATTCATAAACGAGGGACAATTCTTTCTTGCAAATGTCGTGTTAGAATTCCACCAAAACAAACGGATTTTCATGGATTCTTCAGCAAAAACAATGGGATTCACACCGAAGATGTAAAATTGTAAGATTTTCATAAGGTGATCTGCCTTTAATTCATAATTCATAACCTTTTTATTGTAATTATGCTTCATACTTTTATCTAGTTTGACTTGTACGTGACTTAGATAAGGCCTTGCAATTTTTAAGCGCAAAAAATGAAACACACTTTGCTAATAAACTTAAAGGCTCTTGTGCAACCGGCACGCTTTGCGGCAATAATTCAAAAGACCGGCCTAATATGGTACTGCATGAAAATACAACTCACAGTAAATTTCTCAAGACAACTGCTGCTAAGCATGCCAGTGACACAAGAATAAGAACAGCCTTTAAACATGAGAATAAGATCAGATTGTAGAAATTTTTCGTATTAGTCATTTTGTTTGTTGCTTGAAGTTAAGTCAATTCAGTTCATTCCTTATGGATATTTGATAAGCAGTTTATTACTGCGAAGGAGCCTTTCTACTTCTACTTAATGACCCTGCTTCGCGCCGTTTACAACAATCATTTGGCGTGCAAGCAAACGTTCAAATGATTTACAAGTAAATGCCTGGCAAACGTACATTACATTCGGCACGAGTCAAGTGGCGTAACGGAGGCAGCCGGGCCCCTAGGAAGATTTCAGTTCGGGACTCCCAAGAAGTAAGCATTTTCAATAAAAGATAGACAAAACAAGAGTTAATAGGCATTCAATTCAATTAAACTGATATTTCATGCAGTCTCGGGAGCCCTTGAACCCGTTCATCACATCAAGAATACCAGCTTTCTAGCAAAATAATAAAGAGATTATATTCGATGGTGACCCTAAAGGTTGGGGGCCTTCAGTTTTTGAACAAAAGGTAACTTTATGCAACTGCATTAGTCCTATTCATATTTCGATGATCCTTTCAGTTTCAATATGGAGAATATCATTTCAGAAATAAAATTGTGATCGTTAACGGGACGTCAAATAACATAAGAATGTTAGTAGGGGTTCAATTATAAATACCTTTACCCTTAATTCCCAGCTACTATTTAGATGGTGGCAATTCAAAATTTCTCCATTACTTTTGATATTGGAGTACCAAAGACATTGTAGCGGATATACCCTCTAAAAAGATCATGTGCTTTGTTTTGTGGAAAGATGGGACTGCGAAGTGACTAGCCTCAATGGGTTCCAGAGACGGATTGGTGCGGGAGGGTTTTGTTCACTGGGCTCCCGAGGATCCCATGTTGGTATTTACAGTAACTGATTCAACCAGAATTATATGGAACAGAAAGTATGGGATAATTTACCAAGTGACATAAAAACCGAAAAGTCATCACTAAAAAGAAAGTGAAGATGGAAAAACACTTACGCTGCAATTGCAGATTATGTAAAAATTATGTCGCTGGTGTGGAATTTTATTAAGGTATTATACAGTTTCAATTAATGTAATTGTACAATTTTAAATTGTTGTATTAACTGCATTTATGGTATTGCCTTAGTTGTAAGTAATAACTTTCACCTAATTTGATTAATGAGAAAAAATCGTAATTTAGTTTAACAGATATGTTATTGAAAAATTCAATATTTAGAATTTCCCTCTCACACTTTTCCGATCTTTAATGAACACGTTGGAAAATCTGCAAACACACGCTCGAGAACAGCAAGCTTCAATAAGTACCCTGCGATGGAGCAAAAATGAAGACCTCGTTATGATGCCGTGGTCACTGAAACAACCATATTTCTGGAGCTTGTAATTTTTGATATCGGTTAAAGTTTCAAGAATGACAGTTTAATTTCCCAATAGCAATATTACTTGCGAGGGCAGAGAACAGAGCACATGCATTTGTCTTAATGTCTTTCATGGATGATCAACAACTTTTCACTGTTTTTCATTCCAAGCTATTTGCATCCATGTTGCTAATGCATCTATGTTCAGGAAAGATAGCTCTAGAAAGATGCAAATTTAAGTTCTTATGACGAAAGTTGACGGCCCACATAAAAAAGCGCATGCACCTGTCTTAATTTCTCATTCAAAGTGATCAACATCTTTTCATTGTTTTTCACTTCGGGCTATTGTCACCCTGCATCCATGATGTAGGAAACCTATCATATCGATTTAATTTTTTGCTTGTGCTGCTGTTCAGAAAAGATAACTCTGTTTTTAAACTTTTGCACCTTTTTCGTTTGCAAATATGCAGCGGTCAAATTTTTTTCTGGATCCATCCCTGTGCTGAACTGCTAATTTTTCTTTTTCAATTTCATTTAGTATGTTGCAAAATCGTTGATGACGTTTGTTGAGCATGAAATTTTTGAGAGCACTTTTGAATCTATGACTCAGTTTCTTAAAAATAAAAAATTATAAATAAAATTAATCACTATTATCACTGAAAATCAAATTAATCACACACAAAATTGATTTAAAATCACAAATTAATCACTAGTGATTATTAATTTCGTACACCATTTTCAAGAGTGATTTGCCCCTCGGTAAAAGCTACAGCTTTCTGCAGCATTATCTACCTTGAGCTCATGTTGAGGCTAAAGCTGAGACTTTTTTGAAAGGGCAAAATATCTTCTAGTGGAGCAGAACTTTTACCCTCCTGATAATCCTATGAAATGATGTCCACGATGATGAGTAGTTCAAAATTACTGACAAATCAGGAACCCGGGAACTTCACTACAACTTTTACTAACAAGCCCAAAATTACCGACAGCTTCTCCAAAAAGTAGGGGTATGTAATCCCCTCATACACATCTTGCCATTTGATTGGATAAACACAGACATTCCTTTATAGATATTTTACGACTTCCCTAAACTATCATGCACTTTTGATTTCCGTATACCTTTGGTGTTTGGGTTTCGCGCCTTGAGATTTATTGAAAGGCAGGGAGAGCAGGAAAAACACTCAAAAGGTAAGAGGAAACGGGGAAAATCACAGAGGAACAATTTTCAATATGCTTTGAAATTAAAGGCATTAGTCACTTCCTGTTTCTGTGTTGGATGTCCAATCAAATGTCAGGGGATTCATATGGAAATCTTCTAGCAATTGATTGGTTGCTTTGCGATTTCGGAGCTTTTGATTGGCTAGTCTCGGACTTTGCGGTCATTGTGCCGCAAGTCATGCCTAAGAAGAAAGGATCGACCTAATAACTTATAAGTTTCGTCACCGCACAGTGTTGAATTTCAAAATTACAAGGTATTGCAAAAGGAGAAACCATATTTTATAGTACAGGGATAGGTTATCTTTCCAGGAGAATGCTGAAACCTATCACCATTTTTATTGCCGTGCTGGTAGCACAGGTAAGATCATTCGAACAGTGATCTAATTTCATTCTTCATTGTCCTCGCCATGTTGAAACTCGCTACGTTCACGATTTGCTTCTTAATAAATTTTCAGCGAAATTGTAATACAGATCTTAGATAATTCTGTGTCTTGAAACATTCAACTTCATTAAGGTTAAATAGCATCTATTATCTCAGAGAGCTGCTGTGCAAGGAAGAAATTCCTAAGTTTGAACAGTGGGAAGTTCTTTGCAGCGAAGTAAACAAGATCGATTGATATCACTTCAGCTCGAAGGAAATTTCATCCCCTATCGATTTCTTGCAAAGATTTGTTCTTAAAAGAATTTTAAAGTGTCTGTAACATATATGTTTCAATCAATATTTTGCTTTCCATAAGATTTACCTCAGAAAGGCAAAAAACAGCGCGTGAAGTTATTTTGTAGGTTAGTTGGTAATTGAAACTCTCTGTGGGGGAAATAATTATTATCAGGAACCAGTGAAGCGTTGTGTCGTTATATTGTTGCGTCAAAATTTATGACTCTGATAGTGGAGATATTGGCGTGTGTTCAATTAGTGAAATTGTTTCAAACTCTTGATGGTCATCGGCCTAAAGATTAAATTTTAGCTAGATACTTGTCGGAATTGATGCTTAATTCTAGTCCCAGGTACCAGGGTCCCGGGAAAACAGAATGCATTTAGTTTCAAGGAGAAAGGTTTTCGCTGGCTTTGTTTTCAAGCTCATATTAGTATCTTTATTCAACAAGACCTTGCCCAGCATTCGCGTAACATTTTAACAGACTGTAAGTTCTGGATGAACCTAGAGATAGAAATGGATGCTGGGGCAATGCTTACTTTTGGTTTTGACACAATTAAAATTGAAATATGTTGCATTAAATCAGTTTAGGCAGTATATATTTTGTCAGGTCGTGACATATGACATATCAAAACAAGTTTTCTACTATTCTGAATAAATCATCACGTTCTTGCTGGTACCTGCTTTTGTTGTTATGGTATCTTAACTGTGAATGGAACCATACTTTCAACATGTGACTCAAAATCTTTTTTCAGGGTCCTTTTGTTTAATTAAATAATCATTAAAGAAATATCATATGAAGAATATGCATTGCTGGATTATAAAATTTGCTTCCAAGCAGGCATATGATTTCAACAGTAATAACATGTGCTAATTAATCATTGATTATGATTTTAAGGTTATTTGAAAAAAGCTTGCTGAAGGATTTATCTAATAGAATCTAGATGTTTTGGAATAAGTTAAAAACATTAATGTATATATATAAATTCTGACCAAGAGGCTGACAGGAGAAAAATTATTTATATATATATTTATACACTTTATAAAAAAAGTTATTTTATTAGAGCTGTAAATGTATTTTTGAAGCAAGTTTGTTTACAAGCTTATGAAATTTCTGGAATTTGAAGCGAAAACACATTTTTTAAGCCTACATGTATTTTTTGGTAATATTATCTTCAAAACAGTACTATTGTCACCTTTTTTTACATACACCCAAATATTTCAAGAAAAGAATCCAAATAATCCAGCCTTGGGGTTTTGGAGAGCCAGTCTGAACCTCAGATTCTTGTAAATAAAAATGCACATATCTGTCTATCTATATAAATGGGTTTATTTGAAAATGCATTGCAGCAGTCTAATTAGAAAATGCCTTGAAGCTGTTACATTTTTTAATGACAACCAGGTTTAACTTATTACAATATGATTTTTTTTACAGCTACATTCTAAAAATGGTTTCTCAGACTTTGAATATCCATCAAAAAAGCTATCTTTCCTGAACAGTAGCATTAGCAAAATGGATGCAACTGAAGTTTTGCTTGAAATTTTTAAACACCATCATCAATAAGTTGCTAATGTTTGCTCTTTGTTATTAACACGATAGATACCTTCTAAGAATTCATTGCGTTTTCTTTTTTAATCTGTTGCTGGGCACCTTCTTTTTTCATTTTCTGACAAATTTGGCCTTGGGGAGTGTGTTGACGTTTGTGTTACATATGTACACATGAACTATAGTTTTTGGCTTATTGATCTGTATGGGAATATACTTAACAATAGGGATTAACCCCAACAGCTGTGATCATAAAGTTTACTGATAAAAAGTTCATTCATATGAATACTGTGTACATTTTAGTTTGAGGTAATTTTTTATTTGACATTACATAAAAAAATTGCATTATTATATACATTTAAAGAAATCCTCCCTGTGTTTAAGGACACAAGATCATTTGTATTTGAAGCTTCTTTTGATATTAGCAGAGTAGGTATATACTATAGATATACTAGCTTGCATGCTGTATCATGTGATAGAATAAAACTAGGAATGTAAGTGAAATTGTACTAGGCAGAAATTAATGAATTTAATAATGACAAGTGACTTGATAAAGGGCTATGCTTGAAACATCTTTAACAAATTTATTAACTTTTCTGAGTATTTGTATTTGTTGCTACCTAGCATCCGAAGGTAGTTTTTAGGACACTGAGAATGCTTATAGAGCAGTGTCCTGGCCCTTCCTCTCGATGTGACCACACCTCGTGATTCCTACGCCTGGAATTACAGAGAGCTGGCAACTCTCCCTACTCTGGGTGAAAGTTTGGTCATGCCAGAGACTCGAACCACAGACACTTGGGTCTGAAGTCAGCGCCTCTAACAACTGAGCCATCTTCGCACCTAATGAGTATAATTTTACTTCAATTCCTAGTTTTAAAGGTATATACTCTCTTTGTAAAAATTTATCTATGTATGTGTGATTTTATTTTTAGGCTTTTGGTAGTATTTTGGATCTTTTTGACCAAACTGGACATGAACCCAGAGTGGCAATTTATTGTGGACATGTGCCTTTTCACATTGACTTGAAAACAGGAAAGTGGGTTAGTGATCAAAAGGTTGAAGCCCAGTGTGATACCAACAAGGAAGATGTCAAAAGGTAGTTGTCACATTCAAAATTTTACAATGGTTTAATTAAACATATTCTTTCCCCCCTTTAATAATCATCTCATCTTGAAAAGGACATCAGTAAAATTGATTCCCCTTTTTGTTGCTATTGCTGAAACAAAAAATTTAGCCATTGATACTCTAAACCCTTTTTTGTATTGAGTATCTTTATTGTTGCTTTTAAAGGACTTTTCAGGAATCTGTTATTTTTCATGATGTCTTTTTATAGCAGAAGTTTAGATCATTTAACTATTTCTTGTGGCTATCAAATTTTGATTAAAGAACTAAAACTGAAGAATTTGTAAGGCTGTGATTTATCAATCTGTACATTCATTATGTCCTGCATTTCAGTTTATATTGTCATGAAATAGTGTATTGAAACATGCGTTTTTTTAAATGTACATTTCTAAGAAAAATTATTCTGAATCTGTCAACATTTGTATAAAACACCTGTTCAAAATTTTGAAAAGATTTTGACAAGAGAGTCTTTTTAAGTCAATTTTTGTTATGTAAGGTGCTTAATCAGAAAAGATTTGTACTTTTGAAAAAGTCTTTCCATTCACCTGCTCCTTGGGTCGAAATTATTTTGCTAAGAAATGCAAGGCCACACAACATGTATTGTTCTTGGTTCAGACCTTATTTGTTATCTTAAAACATCTTGGTTTTCTTAACACCTCATCAAATATGTAAATTGCATTTGTGAAAAAAGAATTCAGTGCACCAAAAGGCTTTGTTTTCAGAAAGATGGAATTGTATTATGTTACCAGTTGTATATTGATTTTCAAGAAAAACACTCACACATAATTCTTTTCGTGAATGTTTTACATCAGATTTTTAAAACACCTGAGGTCAGAGCTTTTGATGCTATATATGTGTTATGGGTTGTGGCATCTTTCAGATACTAATATTTACATTAAATCAGTATATATTAAGTTCAAGTTCAGTGATTGTATGATGCAGGCCTGGCCATTTTAGGAGAGCCATAGCTCTTGCTCCCCTCTAGGCTCTCTCCTCGAATGCTGGAGTGGAGTCATAGATTGCTCTCTTTGGAATCAATTTTTCCTTTGTTTATATTCTTATTTATCTAGAATTAGTTCTCCTTGAGGGTACTAGAATTGAGGTGTTGTTTACTGCTTCCCTGCTAAAAGTCTTAAAGTACCTCATCTAACAATTTAGTTTATGATTGTAAACATTTTGGCTACTGCTATTGTCAGTAATTATGGTAATTATGGTGACAGAGATTTGAGCTTGGTCGCCCAAGTGCCCAGGTACATGCCCAAAGTGAGTTACAGGCGCAATCAACAGTGGCCAAATCCAAAAGTGGTAGCAATGGTAGTTACAGGCACAATCTTTAGGTAGCAATGCTCTGCAACAAACATGTTAAAATGTGGAATTTGTTATTCTCAATAACAAAATTTAGAGTGAAAGCCAGGTTTACTGATTGTTATTGTGAGAAATTATCTTCAAAACCTGCCACTTTTTGCTAGATACTGTCAAAAAGCATATCCGAGCCTAAACATCACCAACATTGTTGAAGCCAACAAGAAAGTTAAAATTGAGAACTGGTGCAAAGTTGGTTCAAAGGAATGCAATGTTGTGAAGAAAGTTGTACCATACCGATGCCTTGGTAAGCTTTTCATCAAATTGTGTTTTTTGTTTTTATTGCAAAGCACCTTTAAATTTTCTAGTAATTTGTTCTGGTCTGGTCTTATATATATATATATATATATCCAAATAAATATTTAAATTGCATTGCTTCTAATGGTGATCTATAATAAGAAACATCAAGAGATTATATGCCATGCGGTTAAAAAATTAATTCTATGAATGTACCTAGTTCTATGAATGGCAATTTTTTTGTTTTTTTGGCTGCTTTGAAATTGACCATCAAATTATTTTGCAATTATGCAGCTGCCCACATTTTTGCCAAAAAGTGTTAAGCTCAGAAAAAACTGGTGCTGATAGCCTATCTTCTTTTTAGTTGATGAGTATGAAGCAGATGCTTTAATGGTGCCAAAGGGCTGCAAGTTTAATCACCTTCACGATGAAGCATCCTGCATGACTCACGATGAATGGAAGGTAAAAGCTAAGGCATTCTGTAAGAAAGATGACATGCACCTTAATGAGTATGGAATCCTCCTAAGCTGTGGCATTGATATGTTCACTGGTAAGTAGACTGCAAACTGGCTGCCATGGTTTCAGGACATTCTAGAAATTTATATAGAAAAGATTGCTGTGTAGAGAAGGATAAATCTTTTAAGGCCCTCTGCAAATGGACTTTTGTAAAATAAGTGAGGCAGTATCTCAATAAGTCAGAAATATGTGTGTCTCAGACAGATATAAAGAGACATTCCAGAGCAGCAACATTAAATACTTCTTAAGTGTTACCAATTAAACAACATTCAATCAAACAGCTGGATTTTTAAAGTTTAATTTTCTAAAGAAATCTATGAGAAAAGCTCCAGTTGTGACACATTATTTTGAATTGCCTCATTTTAGAACTTTTGATCACAATACAACATCGCCCTTTTACAGCAACAATTAGCCATTAGTGAGCAATATCTTACCTAAAAGGTCTCTAGTTGCTAAATATATATAATTTTTGAGCTTAGAAATCATTATTTTGTCACTTACCCATATCATGAATGAACTCTGTTAGTGGTATTTACTTACCCTCAGATGTCAAGCACATGGTGGTTAACCAATATATGTATTTAGTATATTATATAAATAATCATACATGGAACTCCAAGCAACATTTTATATTGCTTTTAATATTGCTGGAAAATATTGCCTGCCCACTCTCTGGAGAACAGAAAATTCCATTACAAAAAAAACAAACATTTTTAATACAGTTTACAAGAAAATATTATAGGTTAAAAATGCTTTTTCCAAAAGGTCCCTTCAAGCACTAAAAACTGATTTGAAAATCCTTGCTTGTGTGTGACAGCAATTTTTTTTCAAAACTCTTCATTCCCTGATTTTTTTTCATAGTTTGCTCTTTTGAACTTGGCATTATATTTTTTTCATATTTTTTTCCACTTTGTTCTATATTTTTTCCATTGTTACCTGAAACAAAAACAGGAGTATAAAATATGATACCATTCTGAAAATTATTTTCAAGTAGTCAGCTAATGGTTAGCAAGGTAATTAGATGGTGATGGCTTTCATTATTGATTCTCGAAGGTGTTGAGTTTGTCTGCTGCCCCGTTGACAAAAAGAAGGAGGAGCCTAAACGTTTTATAAAGAAGAAAATTCTCCCAGTTGATAGAATAGCACTTGAAGAGGCCGTAAAGGAAGTTGAGAAATTTCTGCCAGAGGAAACCAAAGGTACATTTCTGAGCTTGATTATATATACTGTAAACTTGATGTTTGTCTCTCTTTAAAAAAAATTTTAGATGGAGACTTTTATGGAATTTTGGTTACAAATATTTTTAAGAAGATAAATATAAATATGTAGACAAGAGATATCTTCGATGGCAAATTGTTTGTAAAAAGCCAAATAAAATTTGACTATCAAACTAATGTGTATTTATATCATTGCTCTTTGTAGGTTGTGACAGAGCCATGTATGAGACAAAAAGGCAGCAGCTTGAAGAGAGTCACCGAAGCAAGATTGCAGCTGTTGTTGATGAGTGGGATGAGGCAGAAACTCGATACAAGAAAATGAATGCAGTCAGCCCCAAAAAGGCACAGGAAAAAATGAAAAGTAAGCAAAGTTCTTTTTAAAGTTGTGAAAAGCTATTTTTTCTTGATGAATGATTGATTATAATGAGATCAAACAGCAAGTTGTCAATATTTTATTCCTTAATTACTCAGAAATTTTTCTTTTGCAAGATTTGAACACCTCTTGTTAGTATCATTTTGTGAATAAAGGTTTTTGGCTATAGATGTTGTGCAACCTGGTTATACATGTTTTATATGCTTTAAAAACTGGGTTTTGCTTACTTTCTAGAAACTCTGCAAGTGTTTAGAGAAACCTTGGCTGCATTGGAGGAAGAAGCAAAAGAAGCAAGAGATCGTCTCAAAACTGAACATGCAAAATGCATTCAAGTCAACATCAACAAAAGCAAGAGAGAATCAATGCTCGCCTACTTTTTGGCCATCCAGGAAAGACCACACTCAATGAAGAACATCATCAGAAGTGCCAGAAAATTCTTCCAGAGTTGTGAGCATGATCGCCTTCACAGGTAAAAGGCTTATTTTTTAAAACACATCAGGGCAAACATTTCTTCTGCATTGTGTTTATATTTCCATGGTTTAAAGGTTTTCAAGTTTAACATGTGTATGAAAGAAACAGCATCTCTGTTGGAATGAAATAAAAATAATTAAAATTCTTGTTTATTCTTTTTCAGTCTGCGCCACTTCCAACATTTGAGAAAGCAGAAGCCAAAGATTGTTGAATCGCTACGTAAAGATCTTCTTGTTCACCTCCAACAGCTGAATGACCTTGTGAACAAAAGTTTGGGTTTGCTTTCCTTCCTCCCTGATGTCGCAGAAAAGTTTTATATCCACGAAGTCTTCAAACTTACACCTGTAAGTTTCTTGTTCTTTAGATCTTTTTCTTTGGTCATTGCTGCTTTGTCAATTAAACATTATCTGTCTTGTGCCCTCCAATTTTACTTACTTTAAAGGAATTCAAAAGTGGCAACCAGGTAGTTGCTCTATACTTTATGTATTTTATAGTTGCCACATATAGGCATTTAAAGGGGGATCAAATGAAACTTGTAAAATGCAATCACTGAAAACATTTCTCTCTCATTCAGGAAATGAATTCCAGTCTTTTTGCATATCGCTCTTAGAAAGTGTAGTTTTCTTCAGTTAATTATTATCTATGTAGCTTTGAAGATTTCTTGAAGCATGAATCCTTTGCTTGCTGCGTGCAAAAAAATCGACACCCCTATTGGATTCAAAGATGGCTTTAGTCCTTTACTTCATTCTAGCAACGAAATAGATACTTATTGTCTGATGTAGAAATATATTGCTTATTAGTTTCTTGGGCGACTATGTGATTACTCTCCATTTTTCGGGTGTTTTGTGGATATTGGATTATACTAAATTCCATGATTGGGTATGATGCGAGTTTAAACGCATGGTGTTGATGGAACTCAAAAAATGTGTTCCTCTTGACTGGAATTCTATTTTCTTTTTGCAGACTCAAGTACCAGAGAAAATTTTAAGCAAAGCCCCAACTACTGTGGCTACCGAAGAACCTGTGACAGAAGGACTCCTTGTTGATGAACTAGAAGAGAAGGTACCTATTGATACGCTCGAGGAGCCATTTGACGGGCCATTCACAGAGGAGCAAGAATTAACCACAAAAGAGCCAGCCACAGAGGCACCTGTTGAAGTCACTACAGTCAAACCAGCGGAAGTTGCGCCAATCACTACCATACATCACAAATTCGGTGAGGGACTATTGAGGCTGATCAAAAAGAAAGGAAACTTTCAGATCCCTCACAAAAAACCACTGGAGCATCTTATGAAGATCGATGAAGAGGAGCCAAGGTCGGCAGAGACTGAGGTGGACGGACCTAAGGAAGTAGAAGTTAATAACGAGTCAAAGGATCACTTTTCTAAGAACACCTTGAATCCAACTGACCAGCCACCGAAAACAATTGACTCATCAGAGCTTGAGGAGCCATTAAGCGACCAAAACAAGCCAACCGAACCCAAGCCTCAAAAGAAACATCACCACCATGCATTTTTCAAGCATCCTCGCTCACCAGCTCTGTTTGCAGCTGTTATAGGTCTGAGCTGCGGCGCCCTTGTCATAATGCTTGCGATTATTGTTGCATTGGTGATGCGAAGAAACAGAGCCAACCAAGGTCGCCTTTTGGTCAATGATGCAGGACCCGAAGACCAGGAGCATCTTGTCAAAATGCAGAAGAATGGATACGAAAACCCGACATACAAGTTTTTCTATTACTAGACTGTATATTAAGATGATTTGATGATTTGTGCTATGCTTTTGTTACTTTAAATCTTTGATTGCATTTGCACTAGTTAAAGCCAACAAGACTTTCGATTTTCTGTCGATAATTCCATCATCGAGATCAACTCGCTGATACAGGACCTCGCCTGACCGTAAATTTTGTCTTTGCAAGTAGTGATGTCTTTCGAGCAAAAGTTGCCGCCAGAAACGCAAATCAAAACTCTTGGACTGGTTTGGTTACATAAAACGATTGCTGTCCTTAATCAATGAGTTTAAAGCTGCCCTTAACAAGTCTTCAAAAACAGAAAATTGTTTTCACGTACAGGCTTGCGATGTTATAAATTGATGAATTTATCAAGCTCTTCGTTTTGAAGTCTTGCATTTTTGTAATTTTAAGTAGACTTTTGCAAATGCATTTTTGGAGTAATATTTCGATTTTTTATGACTTATTTCGTATTATTTCATGTTAAGCTTCATTGTTTGAAAGGTGTCGTTAGTTATTGCCTCATGTTATCGTCATATTTGGCACAAATGCGTTCCACGATGCCACATTTAATCATAAATTATCATTAATGGATGTTATTCACATTGCACCATGTTTGAATGCTTAGGACACGTCGCCTTGTCAGTTAAAGAACATTCAAGTCATTTTAGCCTTGTGCTGGTGTGTCTAAATGTGGACAAAAAGAGGTATATCTGGGATTTATCTGTATTTTCTACCCCCGTCGTAATATACATCTCCTTAGATGATAATGTTCCGTTACCGATGTCCGTTGCTCATTTAAGCTCCAAAGAAGGCATATGGGTCAAAATAAAACATCTCCATCGGTGTTAGTACCTCCTGAGTGGAAACCAAATGAGATTTTGAATCCTATAAAGCCTTGTGTTTCTAACCTTATCAATTGTTTTACTATTCCAGATCGTTTATAGCGGGCCTAAACTTCCCTTTGCATCAGACCACCATTCTCTCCCTAGATATCTTTCTGTGGCTTTGCATTTGCCGAGAATAAACAAGTTGGTTTTTGGAGTAGCAGTTTGAAGGACGGGGGAGTGGGATTACCCTTGGTAACCTTGATGGGGATCCCGTGTTACCCAGAAGGCTATGCACCGCAGATCTCTAATCATTTATGGTTACAGGTTTTTCATAGGATTTGTCGTAATCAGTGTGACACCCTTAGAGCACTTACTGAGCTAGCAGTCTAGAGAAGCCCCTGGCAATCAATACAATCGCAGGAAGCAAGTCCAAATATATACATATATATATATATTGATAGCCAAGTATGCCAGCAAATGAGCTAGCCTTGTACAAGTTTGCCAAATAACCTAGAATAGCATACGCTCATGTTCTGGATATCACTGAAAGCATTCAAAGAGCATGGTTTTAAGTAACTGAACTTCCAGTTTTCTTGAAACAATAGTGCTTGATAGAATATTTCATTATTTACATTTTACTCTTGTGAATGGGCGCTCCCATTCTGTGTATGTAACCCTAGTTATTTCTCAACAGGTGCGTTTGAAGTAATTAAAGCCAGTTAAGTCTGTGGTGATCTAAAAGAACATTGTAACCATAAACCTTGTTTTTTGCCTCGTTGTCTTCTGCACCTCCAATCCTGGAAAATGCTGTAGAATCTGAAATTTAAAATCTACAAATACGGTTGTGTCTGTATAGAACTTTATGTCTCTAAAACCCTGTAAAATTCACAGGGGCGCCTCCCACCCCCAATATTTCCAAACAGTGGTAAAATTCGGGGTGTGATTCAGACACGCCCCTGTTTCATCCATGTGGGCCTTATAAAGAGAAACGTTACAGAATATCAAGTATAGTTGGAAAGTATTTCCAATAGATATTAGCTAACGAAGCAAAATTTTTGGCAAACTTTCAAAAATTCATTTCGAGGAAAGCAGTATAAGCCAAGCCAGTTTTCCATCTGATGGTAAAAAATGCAAGGCAGACGCAGGTGGTTCTCTTCTTTGGCTAGATCCTCAAAAGGGAATGGGGTTTTGATTGCTTTGTTGCGTAGTCTACCCAAAGCGTTTGACACGCTAGAGGACGGAGCATGTCTGTAAAATCTTGAGTTGCTTTAGTACACAACAAAATCATGGGATCGCAAAATCAGCCTCGCTTAGTTTACATACCTGTTTCAAATAAGGGAAGCTTTTTAGCTGGATTGAAACTGTCCGATCCCTATCCGCCAGCTTGGGGGTTCCTGGTGCCCAGTTTTGGCACCCATCATATTTTTCATGATTTTCAATTATTTTGAGGAATGCATCTCTTTTAGCAAAGCCATAATCTTTACAGGAGTACAGTGATCTAATGTCAACAAAACCTGTCGATGGTATTGGACCTTGCCTAGTAATCCTACGTACCTTCAACACAAAGACTTTGTTATCAATCTGACGAAAGAAAACAGGTACCATTAGTGTTTGTAAGTGAAACCAGGAGAGGTGATTGCCAAACCTTTCTTTAAGACCATTTTAGAAAAACTGAGCACAGTGTGGGGACAAGAACCAGCAGCATACTTTGGTATGTTCCTAAAGTTAAGCTTAATCTTGCCAGAAAATGTTTTTCCTCTGGAGAATAAATTATATGTGCTCCCTTGAGGCATCCGAGAGAGCAAACATGAATTTGCGAGTTCAGTCAAGCTCAAGTCATGGTGTTTAAAGCAGGGAGCGCGCACCAGTCTAAATGTGGGAGGGCTGAAAAGGGCGTGACAAAACTTTTTTGAAGGCCACGCCCATTAGAACGCCGGAAAACGCCCCTTTTTGAAAATACTGGCTTATTTCTACTGGGGTTTTATAAACAATCTGGTTTAGAGAAGATATCAATAGCTATAAAAATGGATAAAATTAGCTTGGGGATAATAAAACATCAAGAAAAACACCTAGAAAATGAACAAAAAGGGTTGCCAGTCAAGAAAAACTGCTACTACTTAGGAGTATACGATTCAATGTTGCGTTAGAGCATAGTTAGAGAAAACTTTCCAAAAGGTTTTCTAACCTATTATTGCAAAAAAGTGGCTGCGCGATGCCTGATTGAAAGCTTCACAAATTTTAACTGAAATAAGGGATTGGGACAACGTTTTATGAATTCAGAATTGTTTTGTTGATTTTCTTCCTTTCTCCCATCTTGAAGAATTATTATATGAAATGCATGTTTGAAAAGAGGTATATTTGTCTAGAGATCTTTACCCACTTTATAAAAAATAAGAGAGTGAAAATCTGGTACCCAGGTTAAGAGATCTTTTAAAAAATATTTTATTGGGGGAAAAAACCGCTGTTTTGGTACAGCTATGCGGAGCGCTAGGCGGTGCGCAATACAGCCAATGAGATAACGCAAGTGTAGCGACGCGTGTCGCTGATTGAAGTCGAGAAGGCCTAATGAAATGGTGTGGAAGGTGAGTTCGGTACAAAATCTCATATTCAGGTACAAATTATTGTGATGAATTGGAATAAAACTTAATATTTGGTATCAAAGTTTTTTTAAATAACCTCAGGTTAAGATTCTACCATGGAGTGACAGTTTTCGCGATCATGGTGAGCCCGCTGGTTTTTTAGGCCCAAATATCAGATCACTAACCGTGTTGTTTTTCAGTGCTATCGTTATATACAGAAAGCTACCCATTTTAAATTAATTGATTGTTCATATTTCTGTCTTATATAACTCGTATCTATATTTTAAGATAAATAAATGAGAATCTGATTGCTCTATCTTTCAACAATATGTGATACTGCCTTGCCTCATTGTTTCCATTCACAGTTGTGTCACTTATTGTCAGGGGCAATGCTAGCCTCAAAATAGTGGGGTGGACAATGAAGGGGTGGACCTGATAAAGGGGTCTGGGTAAGAAATCGGTGCAACACCATACGGGAAATCGCGCTCGTTATTGATGACCAAGTTTGACATATTTTGAAACCCTCAATAGAAGAGTTAAATTTCATAGGCAAAGGCTCACAAAGTTTTGGTACAAGTTTTAAAGTTAATTATTGCCAAAAACCTTTACCAAGGAAGGAAGGCAAAGACCACATTCTAAGAACCAACTGTTTAGCATGATAAAGCTGTGTTTTTCAGATCATCTTCATTTTAGGTTCTCACTATTTACGGAACTAATGATCAACACCCAATACTCTATGTCAGCTAAAATCTGAAAAGAACCATAACTCGCCATCAAAAAGAAAAAAAGTTCCAATCTCAGAAAAGAAAACTAACAAAACAAACAGAAACAAAAAAATGATTTTCTGTTCATGTATTTCTGTTCCTTTGGCTCTTTTCCCTTGTGGGTCTCTTTAAGTCCTCAACAACCTTGCTTTGATTTTAGCATCTGTTGCTTCATTTATTATTATTTTTTTAAATTTCTCTTTCTTTTTCCCATACTCTATCGACTTAACTCAAATGCAAAGAGAGACTGTTTGATCCCATGGCACAATTAAGATTCACTATTCGCAACCCAGTCAGAACCTGGTGAAACCTTCAGAGCTTCTTGGAGCTTCGTATTTCACAATCTTGAGTTTGAAGACTAAAAATAGCTTTGAATGAATGGGTGACTGGGTTAAGATTTTCTTCTGTTACACAACCTTAAAAATTCTTTTGAATTTCAAAGACACCTCTGGCGATGCTGATCGGCTGCATTGGCAGCAAGCGCGATGACACAAACAACACAGTCAATAACTTGATTGCTTCACAAAAAGTCACAATGTTTGTGCAATCAAGATGTTATTTTGTTAGTAAATGGCAAATAACTGAAAAGTGCAAATTTTGTGCCAGAGGTGGAGTGATGAAATATCTATAATGATGATGGTTAATGTTGCTAAGGTTAAGGGAGGGGATAAAAATAATCATATTGATAAACATTCTTCTCTCTATATTTACTAAAACATGAAATAAATCATTTCTAAAAATCTGACTGGGTTTTTTAAACCTGCCAACATGGTCTAAATCCACGCCTGTGTTTTCACATTATTATCTCACTGTCACTGAGGGACTGATTTTTAACTCATTTTGGCTCAGCAAAAACTCAGATAGGAGCTACAAATGACTTTTGAACTTTCACCAAATATGAGAAATAACATTTTATCAGTTTTATAAGAACCCTCAGACTTTTAAATCTGTTTGGTTTCTATTTAAACATATTGTCTGAGATTACTGGATTTTTTCCAAACCAACATGACGACTAACCCCTTTATTTTCTTTATACTCAGGGACAGTACTTTTATTGCACTTAAAAATGAAAATTGTTTTTGTGATAGCTCCTAAGAGGGGTAGAAAATGTCATCACCAGTGATAAGCAATCAGTCAGTCACAGTCCAGCTGCCTGCCACTGACAATGTCTCCAAATTAAAAGAGCTACTTGCAGAGGCTTTGAAGTTGCATCTTGATGACTATGATGTTTTCCATAATGGGCAGCAGGTATGAATTGGCATAAATATTATTTAGTCCTTGTCATCTTCTTTATTTACGCAAAGTTTAGTAACTGGCCATTCAAGGTGAAGAGATAATGATGACTTGGTAGGATGACTCAAATTGGCAGGCAACTGTCTACATCGCCAGGCAACTGTGGTGTTCTATGTGTGGAATTGTGCACAGCTCTGTCCATACATCGATGAACACACTGCAACCAGAAACAATAAATTATTTAAAAAAATCAGTTGACAGTGTTAATCTCTCTAATTATTGCCTCTGTAAAACGTTTTGCAAGGTTTATTCATCTATGCTGGTGATGCATGTACTTTTCTGACACCTTTTAACGACTTTTTTTAGTTGAAGCTAAACCAGTCATTTCAGTTTCATGGAATCGGAGGAGAAGGACTTGTTGTCTTGAAAGTTGATATAACCTTAGGTTTGTCACTTTTTTGGCTTTATTGCTCAATGTTTTTATGCAACAATATTATAACAAACTTCTTCACCAGCAATAGCAAATTTTCCAATGCAAACTGCAGTAGTCAGTTTTATAGTCACAGTCACAGTCATTGGGGTTATAGTCACACCAAATGTTGCTTGAAAATTTGTGACAACAGAATATGACTGTAAACAGCGCTAAATTGAATAGTTTTGCATATTTGGGTCTAAATTTAATGCAACTGTAAGCAAGTGGTGTAACTTCAAGCAAAATGACTATAAGCAAACTATTCAATACAAAATGTGCGAAATCTCAAAAACTGCCTTATGAACCACTTGTTATATCTTTTGGTGTTGAGTCAAATTTTTGACTTCTCCAAACTAAAAGCTCTGACATGGCAGTCAAGTGCCTTAACCACTCAGCTACCAGGGCACCTCTCCAAACTACTTTATATACAAGCTTTTGAATACTTTTCACTTGTTATTATCCTTTTAGTTGCAAATTTGCTGTAATGCTAAAAATAAATATTTTTCTTAAGGTACCAAGCTAGGCATGTCAAATGCATTTTACATATATTTAGCAGAGTTTTCCTTTGTATTATTTCAAAGAATATACAATGAGAAGCATTATTTCTGTTTTCAAATAATGGTCTGGTTATTTTTAGGGCCAATAAAGAGACTTGAAATTGGCGAATTTTCGGTTGTTATTGACACAGCAAATGATGACGGTGCTCAGAAGACAGCAGGTATTTTTTAGTTACACATGGGCTGCTTCAAATGGATTGTGTAGAATGTAAACTGTAATTATTGTCTTGGGAAACAATTATTGCAGTTCAATGCTTTTAAGCATCAAATGGAATTTTAATCAATTTGTGAAGTATTGCAGAAGTTTGTCAAGAATATGAGGTAGATTACATTAACAAAAATTTGATGCAGTTTTTAATTTTTGTAACCTTCACTGGGGTCGCAAATTTGAAGAATATTTTTATTTTTGCTGTTTTTTGATAACTTCTCATAGAGTTTCTCCCAAGTTTTTGGATTTCTCCTTCAGAAAATCTAAAAGAAAGCTCAAATACTCCTCCCCATAGACTTGATATGAGCTCATAAATGTTGTTGAATTGCTCCATTTTTAGATGGAAGCACACAGACTGGTAATTTTGTTGAGGAAGATGACCAAACATCATTTGGATCTGGTGAGCAGCCAAAAGGGATGAACACCTTGCCTTTTATAGGTATTGGCTATTAAATGGTTTATGGCTTATCATGCAGTAGTCATGTTTGTTGTTATAGTATCATTTTCTATAACAACTTCTTGTCATTTTAGTAAATTATTGGATTTTTCTATGGATAATGTTAAAACACATATTTTAGAAAGATTGTTGCTTTTGTGTTCTCATAAAAAATCCAGAAGGCAGATCAGCAGATCACAAGAGATATCCAAGTGGTATAGGAACACGACAAGTACCCCTCTCACCTCCCCGCAAACATCTGAAACCCTATATTGGCAATATTTTCATTAAGAATCAGGACAGGTATTTATAATTAAATACTTGAAAATTGCAAGACCACATTGTTTAGTCAAGTGAGGAGAAAGGACATCTCGATTGGGCAGTAAGACTAGCAGCCCGAATCATACTGTCCCATGCTCAGTAGAAATAAAAAGTCACAGAAAATTTTCCAAAAATAACTGCAAGGGAGAGGAATTTTCTTCTTATGAAACTAGAGAGATTTCCTGCTTTTGAAACTAGAGACACTAAATAAGGTTGATGGATTTTGTGGCTTATCCTCAATATAAGTCTGTTTGCATCTAGAGAATAGGTTTTGTCATTTTCTAGTTTCATTTCAATAAACAAGCTGTTTTCTATTAAGATTTATGTTATGTTATTCCATATCTTAATGTCAATTTTGTTGCATTGTTGCATTGTTGCATTGTATTTTGCTCCCATCTCTTTCAGCCTTTTGTTTAACAGATTTGCATTAAGGATTCAGGTGCTTTTGAAATTTTACAAAAGAAAGAGTCTACGAAATAAAAACAACTATATAAGAAACCCTTTTCGAGAATTGATGTATCACTAGATCTCCATAGGTCAGAGCTATATTTGGTGGCTTGGAATGCTGTCCGTAAACTTTTACAGCTTTTTACGTATAGGCCATGACCAATGCTATGCTATGCTTTGGGAACTCCGCAGAACTTCAAAGAAACATTTAGCAAGTTCTCATTTTTTAATGTAAGATGTTTTCTAGGCGATCATGGAACTCTTCAAAGTCTTGCTCCTGTCCTGCTTATCCAAAACTTTTTAAAAGTTTGTGAAGCTGAAATGAGGATCCCAAGAGGTAGGGTGCAGCATAAAGCAAGCTTTTTTCCAATGTAATTTAGTCTTAAAATTCAATGAAACTGTATAATATTGAAATTTAGTTGATTCTTTTCCCTCCAGTTTTTCGCTAATGAGACTATTGGACGGTAGCGTTGATACCAAAATATCTTACATGGATCTTATTTTTCTGGCGATATTCTGAAAGCGTGACACTACATCCCACCTAGCCTCTTCTTGTATCTCCTATTAAGATCCTCCCATTATCTACCCAGGCCCTGTTCTTTTGCCAAGATATGTTCTTGGAAGAAGAGTGGAAAATATCTTCAGTGGTCAAAGTTGCTTCCATCTTACATTTTTCGCACTCAGATTATTCAACTATTATATGCAATAGAAAAATCACCAGCCTAAGATCATTTAAAAGTTTGGAAGTGAGTAGGTTTTGTGTTACATTGCAGATCCACGAAACTGGACATCACAGCAAGTTTCTCAGTTCATTAACTGGCTAATTCAAGAGCTGAATGTCAAAGGAGTCGATGCTAGCCAGTTCAGGATGAGCGGAGTGGAGCTTTGCAACCTCTCAAAGCAAGACCTAAACAACCACTTTCCTGTAAGCCTTGTCGACATATTATGGATGTACTTAGAGACTCTTAAAATGGGTAAGTAATCTGTTTATTCTTCAGATTGTACGTGTTATTATTTTTCGGGTAATAACGGCGTGTTACTGTTTGGGAGCTTGGAGCCTTGTGAAATTTTACACATGCCTAAATCTGTTTACTTTCTTTAATTGAAGACCGCACTCACTTAGTAACTTAGTAATGCAACCAATTAAAATCTACTTCCATCAAACTCCTTGTAAATTTTTTTGAGCCTTTTGAGAATTTTTTCACCACCGTTTACAATCTGTTTCACCAAAAGCTCTACATTTTCTTCTTTAACTCCGATCTGAATTATGTAGAGTTACTATTATTTTCATCCAGGATGAACATATCCGAATATTTTTGCGATTAGACAATCAGAGTTAAAAGAAATATATACATGTTAAAAAGACGATACGGGCGTATAGTTTTTTGGAGAATGATAAATAGTGAAACTGGAAAAAAGGTTCAATTTGACAAAGTTGAGAATTCAGCCATGCTTTTACTTTCATTTTCGAAACTTTCAGCCACTGCCCACGGTGTGATAGCTGTCAATCAAGATCAGCAGCCAGCAGGTACTTGTTAAACTCTCTTACTGTACTGTACTTTCGATTTAACTTGACTGAATGATCAGGGTCTCCTTACAAAAGAGTAAGCTACAGAAGATCATAAAATTCCTCAGATCTGTTGTAAATTCTCAGACGTTGCTTGATCTCCTCTGCTTCTCATTCATTTACTTCTTCTTACGTAGAACCACGTTTCAATTTATTTTTGACATTGATATGCCAGTATTTTAATTTATATATGATTTCCTTGTATTGTCTTTCTCTACCAGGCAATGTATCATCGCATGTTCCGCTACAGAGCACTTCAGGAGAGGCTTCGCAAATGAACGGTATGCGACTTTTCATGAAGAAAGATTGATTCTGACCTGGATGCCAGGGTCTCTACAATTAAGTCTCAAAAGTACCATTTGAATCTAGTCTAACTCATCACAACTGTACCAGTATATGATACGGTATCGTCGGCTTGTGAGGCTCTAGTACCCAAGGAAGATTGCTTCATGCCAAAGAAATTCATTTGATTCTGCTCGGAATGTACTATATACAACAAGGAGGCACAAGCACTATGTTGAAATAGCTTGTTTTTCGTTTATTTGATTTATCAATCATATTATCGATACGCAAGATATGCAGAATACTTATTGATAATATTCAGCTTTAGAGCTCAGGTTTCATAGACCGACTTTACTCTTGGAACAACATCCTCTATGCAGATCACTGCTTTTGTCCGCAGAGCTAGGAAGTCCCGGTTCATCGCTGCGCCGAGGATTTATTCTTACAACCAAACCTAGTAAGCCAATTGCGACGGCCCTGTTTCTGGTAGCCAAGTTGTTATATATTTGCCCATTCCAGTGGCGGATTTAAGGGGGGCAACTAGGGGCAGTTGCCCCTCCCTCGACGAATTGAAGCAAGTCTGGCGCCCCTTTTTTGGAAATTGTGCGCCCCTTTTTGAAGAATGGGAATCAGGTGAAAAAGTTTCTGAGACTGATAGGTTAATTTGCTTCAAGGATTACCTCAAAGTTATGTTGTTTATTCCGAAAATGGACCTAAAATGTTGTATACAGCGTACTCTCCTAATTAATTTTTTGAAATTTTTCAGCGCCCCCACCACCAACTGCCCCTCCTTCAAGTTTGCTCTGGATCCGCCCCTGGCCCATTCAGGATTGTGTTTCTGTGTAAGGACAAATAAGAATTTTGCTGCTGCAATTTATTTATGGTTTTTGCCTCATTTTATGTTGAAGGTGTTTCGAAATCTGGTGCTAAAGAGATGCAATCTCATTCTGTTGCAAATTCCTTGAACAGATCAAGCAGTAAGTTGGCATAATTATCTATTTATATAACTAGTACATGTCCAATCAAATAATTCATATGGACTATTTAATACTACATAGCTACTACTGTCCACGATCGAGTGCAGTTTTAACAGAAAGACTTTTCTCGTGTAGACTAAGAGAAAATCTGTAGGAATGGGAAGCGAGTTGTTTTAAATAGTCAGTTAACTTCCTTTAGACTTGCAGCTGGGCTCTCTATCTTGTACGTTTTGACGTTATTTTTTCATAACATAAAAATTGTTCTTCTTACCTTTTGTGCCTTGCGAATTGCTTTTTTTAATTTTACTAGCTACAAAGAATCTTTACATCAATAGAATTGTAGAGCAATCTTTGTTAAGCACTTAAACAACCCACTAAAAGGTCTAAGCAAGAATCATAAGTTTTAGATTTGCGCGTTCCCCAGTTGATTCCCAATCGCTTATTTTCTCCTGAATTCATTAATGGATCGAGAATCATCGACTTTTTCTCCTATTCAACAGGCACTGGAGGCCAAATACAGCTTTGGCAGTTTTTACTTGAATTGCTTACTGATCGAAAGAGCCAGAAACTCATCAGCTGGATAGGAGACAAAGGGGCTTTTAAATTAATAGACCCAGAAAAGGTGGCGCAGCTATGGGGCGGAAGAAAAAACAAGCCAGCCATGAACTACGAGAAACTAAGCAGAGCATTGCGGTACTATTACGATGGGGATATGATTCACAAAGTCCACGGGAAACGATTTGTGTACAAGTTTGTTTGCGATTTGAAAATGCTGCTTGGATACAGCGCTGCCGAGCTTGCCAGACTTGTGAACGAGACTCCCGTTTACTCCTCCGCAGAAGATACCGACTGCTTAAACCAAAACTGGCCGTGAATGGCGCACACGCAATGACCTCCCCTGCGGCTGCTGCTCAAAGATGTGCGATTTCTCATACCCCACCATCTTTCTTTGCCCCATTATGGCGCTCTACAGATGATATTTTGATCATTCAATTCAAGCATATGAATTATTTGAAGTGAATCAATGTCAAGGAAAGTCTTTGGAAACAATTGAGCTTTAACTGTGAAATTTGATCCTTCCTTGTGTATGTTATTCAACAGCATGATTCGTCACTTGCTTGCGAGAACACGCATGGCCTGGCCTGATAAAAATAAACAAAGTCTTCAGTTGTGTATTTACCACCCCCTCTTATTTATGAGAGTTTGCTTCGGCAAGAAAACAAATTTATTATTGTAGCCATTTATTGTAGATAATATATTGTATTAAGATGTAATGCCTCGGGTACCTTAAATGTAGGCGTCTGGGAATAGCTTAATATGGGGTAAATTTAAGGTTGCTTTTGTACGGTGTTTTTTTATTTCGACTGAATGAACTATTACCTTATTATATTGTGTAGCAGTGAATCGGTAAGAGTGAATAGCTTTTATGATGTTGAAACGATCAACAGTTAAACAGTTCTCAAGACGTTAATTTTATATTTTCTTGCGTCGTATTGCCCCTTATGAGCATCGTGACATTGAATAAAAGTTAGTGAAAAGATTAAGAGACTTTCATGTGCTACTTAAGTTTTTATATTCTTAAATTATCCTTGCTTTGGGGGATGTGATGACCGAAGCAAGTGGAACAGTTTTAGAAAAGTATTTGATTCAACCTCTGATCTAATTTTTGGTAGATGTTTTCCAATTTGCGGAGGGAACCTTTGCATCTGCATTGGTTGAATCACATGGGCGTGGATAGAGTTTTGTAACTGGGTTGCCTGTCTCCCTTAATTATTTCCCTTTCAAAGATGCTTGTTGAATAAAAATGTCCTCTTGTGGTAAGGGTTTTGTTTGTATTCTTGAAATCGTGCATCCATAGCAATCCGACCCCTTCTGTATGTGGGTATACCGTGTAATCTCTTGTGAACGCTTTTTCGAATCCAAGGTTCGTTTTCAGCTCCTGATAAAGTGGACATTCGCCCTAATAATGCTTACCTTAATACTCCCTCTTTGCAATTCCGGTTCTGCCTTGCCGTACGAAAATCCCTTGCATGTTCAGCGTAAAGACTTTGGGAAACTCTCCAAAGACCTAAATACTTTTCCTGTCCTTATATGAGTATTACGATATTTTTTAGTAAAATTTCACGACCGTTATTCAGGTCATGTCATATATAAACAATCACGACAAATTACAGTCTAAATGAGATTTGTATTAAAACCGTTTTGATTGTCATTTCATATCAAATGTTTTATTGAACTTCTTTCTTTCTGCTTCATTATTTTTGCAAGTTGCATTTTTCTATTGAAAGGAGATTGTATTTGAGGATGAAGTAATGTATTTGATGGGATCTTTGTTGCAGTTTTGCGCGTCGCTCTTTACTTCAAAAGGCAGCAGGTCTTTATAAGAAGATTCCCCCTAAAGGCATTGATCAAGATTTTAACGGAGTTTCCCTGTATTGGATGCATTTGACCGTATTGGAAGAAAGTTACGATATTCAGGGATATTCTTTGATGATGAGCGATAATCAGATTTTAATTTCAGAATAACGGAGGAGATACTCATATAACAGTTCAGTTCAGTTTTATTTTAAATTCCACTGGATACATACACTTGTTGCAAATTAGAAATAATCCAAGCTTAAAAGTATAAACAATGTAAAAGGAAGTTAAATAATATAAACGTAACATAACAAATACAGAGTAGAGGAGAAACAAGCTAGTATTGTAAACAGGGAATTATTTAAAGGAGGAAACTTTCTCAGTAGTTTATAAACTAATCGAGGAGAAAGCACCCCCTAGTAAATTAGATGCGTTCTGCTATTACATAGAGCGTATTGCATAGAACGGAAGAAGTAGACATTTAAGATGCAAAGAAATATATTGTTCAAGTTTTATTTTAAGCCAGTGTCTATGTTTGTTTCAATCTAGAATGAAATATGGTTATCCTCCTCCTTGTAATATGGTGATGAAATCTGGATTTGCGCTGATGAAATCCCAATACAAGCAAAATTTCTTCTACCCAGTTTAATCAAGTGAAACTTGTCCAAAAAGGTAAATAAAAAATTTCGTACCTATTCATCAGAGAAATTTACGGTTGATGGAAGTACATTTAATACGTCACACATTCATGAGAATTGTTAGAAGAAATAGTTATCACCAGGAATCTAAGATCTAAAAGTCTGAAACCTGAAACTGTCACTTAAAAATTCCTTGAAGTAAAGCATTGACGCTAAAACAATTGCTTCGCAAAATACAGCATGAAAAGATGTAAATGTAAGGATTTCAATAACAGACTATGCCAAAAATATCTAGGGTTAAGGGTTTTCTTAAACTTCTTATTGATTAGCTTTACTCTTTGTAATTGACTGTGTTCTTATTTATTGATTCGGAAATATATAATTTATTCCCTTTATTTGCTGAATACAGTTGTCATCCACCAACTTGTATTGAGAACCATTAGCAAAGGTATCATTAGTATTTATTCTCTTTTTTCTCAAAATGTTTGACTATGGCAAAATAAAGATGTGCAACAGTAAAGATATATTTTCTTGTTGATGCATCGCAACATGTAAAGTTTGATGGGTTGAGAGGACGTCAAACAACATAACGTAATTTTCGTGATTTCAGAACAACCTCTTGAGTCTCGAGCACTGTCTCACCATCACGTTAATACCATCATATGCTATTGGTGTATTCTCAAGAGGTGGTTGTCTAACTCAGGGTTTTCTTGATAATTATTAAACAAACCTGCAGTCTCTTAACTAAATGTAAAATTTCCACGATTTTGTTTCGAGAGCTTCTTCTTTACCACGTGGTGGAAAATCTGTTAAAAGGACAGCACTGTATGTTGGATGTTTCATTCTTCATCAGTTACAAAGCCAAGCATCATCATGAAGCACGTAGCTATCGTCGGTCTGCTTTTGGCAGTAGTTGGTATGTAAACTATTCTTGCAAAGTCCAGCAACGCTATGTAGAAATAACACATGCTCCTTTCAATCTTAGAGCAGTTTAGTGCTTCTACCGACAATGAAGATTTTTCAAGCAATGCTGTAAGCAGATTTCTTTGTGCTTTGTATGGCTGCCTCCTTGTATGGCTGCTTGAGGCTTTGATTTCAAATATATTGTGAATTTATGGTTTTTGGTGCTGTGAAAACTCAGGAAAATGGAGATTTCGTGTCTCGTCTTTTCAATCAGTGTTTCACGCTATGAAAGGCGAAGACATTATCAAAAAGAAAGTGATACGTCGTTAATAGTTTCCTGTTTTAGATGACCCGTGTTCAAGATTGTGACCAGAAATTGGATCACCACTTTGCTACTTCCGGTTACTCATTTTTACTTTATAATTGTATTGCAAAGTAGTTTTACTACGATAGATGATATTTTATCGTGATTTCAAATCATGCTATAGCCTACATCTTCTATTCTTTTTAAGGTGTCAGTTATGCACTGAATGCTCATGATCGAATTCTCAAGGCTAACCAAGACGGTAAGTGTCGCCATTGGAGAGGCGAACGATCTATTATAGTATGACATCAACAGTAATAATCCCTTTGAAAATACTTTGAGTATGTATAATTTTGCACCAAAGCGTCAAAAAAATTGTTTAAAAATCTTAAAATATTGTAATAGCTGCTGTATATTCGGCGAAAGTTTCTTAATAACTAAAAATGTATAAACATTAACAAATACAATTCTCGAGTAATCTTTAGAAGGTTTTATAGCTTAAGTTTTAGGCGGTAATACTCAAATTGGCTTCTACTTTTCAGCAAGAGAAGAAGAGCTTGCTTTTGGTTTTAGCGGTAAGTTTGGAAACTTTTCTTTGTCCTTTTCATTCCATCAAGGATGCTAACTAAATATGAATGAAAACCTATGATTTTGTACAAATTACTCTGCGAAGAATATCCTCCAGCTCAAATATTCTTAGTGTTTCAAAGCACACCATCGTGGTAAATTGTAACGCAGGTCAATTATTTAAAACAATCTGTATATATTTTTCATTCTCTAGAACAACCACCCTTGATTGAAGGAGACATTGTAGATGATGTAGCAACGAGGCAGCAGATTGATGCAGAAGCGTATGGCATTGCCAGCACCTTTGATGCTATTGCAGGACGAAGGAAATGGGAGAATGGCGTTGTACCTTATGTTTATGGATCTGTTGGTAAGTTTTGAATGCTAAGTCGCTGACAGCCTCCATTAGAAGTATTTGGTTATTACGTGTTTTCCCAATAGCATGGGAAACCCATGAACCCCATGAAAAGATGTGCTAATTCACAATAACCCTTTATCGTATCTGTAGGCAGCAAAGCCATCAGCGCAATTGAGGCTGCATTCAGAGACTACCACGCAAAAACCTGTTTGAAGTTCGTCAAGAGGACTAACCAGAGGGATTACATTATTTTCAATGCCAAAGGAGGGTGCGTATATCAAATCTAAGTAGAAGTATGATTAATTCGTGGCTGCAGCCGATGGCACTGTGTCAGAGCATCAACCATTGAGTTTTTTGCTTTCACAAGGGTCAGTGTCAATTAATGAAAAATAGAGTAGAAAAATATAGTTATAAAAAATAAATTTGCTTTTTATGGGGAGGGGAGATTGGCGAATTATTTCAGCTCTTTTCAGGGGTTCTTTTCAAGGAGCTCTTTTTGCCATCAACATCACAGCAATTTGAAAACCCAAGACCTGTCACTGTCACAGCTCCATGTTTATATCAGACCCCTATCTCCTTCAGTCTCGATGCTAAAAGGAAATAGTCCCTATTCCGGAACAACTTTATATGTATTAGCATGGGTATATTAGTCTCGTTATTTCTTTAAACATTTTGTGCACATGCTTAGCTCGAACGCATTACCATTCTAGTTGCTACTCTCACATCGGACGCCAAGGTGGTCAGCAAGAAGTTTCCATTGGTAGAGGATGCGAATACAAGGCAACAACAATTCATGAGATTATGCATGCTATTGGATTCTACCATGAACAGTCAAGAAGAGACAGAGATAACTACATCACGGTCAACTTCAACAACATTGTCAAGGGTATGCTTGCATTTACTTTTCGCTTCACAGATTGAAATTGTTCCTTGGCCCTGCTTTACACGGTTTTGAATGGTGATAGAAGATATATCCAAAACTGTCATGCATTGTTGCCTTGATACAATGTAAAGTACCGTGGTCCTAAGTGCAATATAAGATTAGATTTGCAATTTGTTTTATAATTTTTATTAGACCCGTGATTTGGAAGCGAAGTGTAGGAGATTTCGCATCTAACACAGAGCGCCGATGCTACGATGGTCCAGCCCGATACCACTGCGACACGTTTCAGTAGTTCATGATACTATTTTGATCGGTGTTGATGCTGTTCGCAAATTATGTGCTATAGGAGTATTAATGATCAATAATTTACATGTATCAAAAACAGGTAATTTTTATACATTTTTCAAAGGCATGGAATACAACTTTAACAAGTACAGACAAGGAGAAGCAAGCACTCTGGGAGAACCCTATGACAAGAAGAGCGTCATGCATTATGCCAAGTAAGTTGGGCAGGGGGTTCTTACTTGTAATGGTGCTGTGTAGGAGGACTCAAAGGGCTCAGCTCTCCTTGTTAAAATTCAGTGAGATTTTAGGGGGCTCAGCCCTTCTTAACAAGTGAGTTCATATTTGGTTGGACGAATTCGGTGTTGGCAACTCTCTATTGTAATGTAGATTTCTCATATTGAGCAATTTCTTACCAGCCTTTTTGTGCCATTGAATAGAGAGTCTTTAACAAAAATTGATGCATATTGCGTGTAGTAAGGGTGTGGTCATAGGTGTGGCCTCTTGAATTTGCCTACAGCAAAGCTCCCCTTCCTAGGCTTTGAACGGCACACCTGGTTACTTAGTGCTTCAACCAACCAACATCATGCTTCTTCACAGAGAAGTAGCCATTTATCACTTATAAACGAGCACTACTTGCTCGAGTACTTCCACTCCTATAAAGCAGAGAAAAGAATTGAGTTTCTTACCTAACCACTCGTAAAGTTAGGTACAATTGAAACTATCGTTTTCTCCTTCTGAAATGGCAGTTGAAAAACTTGGGAGCATAGTGGGGAACAGAGGGGATCTGACACGGTACTAAGGTAAAGATGCTTGGTAGGGGAACATTTTTCACAAATATGTAGTCTGGTGAAATGAAATTTTTAAGTTACAGTTTTAATCTCTGTAAAATTAAACACAAAGTTGCTAACTGGAGCTGGGAAAATAGAGGATGACAAAACCTTCTCTATTGTTTAATAGAAAACTGATGTATCTCATTTTAAATCAAATGTCAAAGGCTGTTGATTGTTACTTAAACTTACTTGGAACTTCATGATGGTCTTTTTCAGATATGCATTCAGCAAACAATGGGGCAAATTACAAACTATTGTTTCAAAATCAAACCCCAGCGAGGAACTTGGAAACGAAGTTGGATTCAGTAGCATAGATCTACGTCAAATTAACAAGTACTACTCCTGCAACGGAGGTGGTGGTGGCGGGCCTAACCCTCCTGTTACACAAGCCCCTCAACCTGGATGTAAGTGTTTTCTTTCAGTGCATAATATCTTCACAGTAGCCACAGCCTTCTGATACAGTTTTTATTCAGGCACCGCGGAGCAGGGGGCTTGGCGGGGCTTAAGCCCCCCAGTTTTTGCAGAAAATGCAAAATGTAAAGTAGTGAGCCACTAGTAAAGCCTTTTTATTCGGTTTTAGCCCATGCACTTTTTTGCCCCCCCCCGCCATTTCGCCATTTTCCGTAGTGCCTATATTGAAAAGAATTTTAACTGTGCAAATTTGTAGTATAGAGAAGCAAATGAACCCTCGTTCGATTATAGATTAAACGAATAACTAGAAATAATCACAAAGGCTTTGTCCTTGAATTTCAAAAGTGCGATAAAAGGAATACAATAGTTGGACAGTTATCGTCCATTTTTTAAAGTAGCATTGGCTATCTCTTGGAATAAGTTAGAAGAACCTTAAAAAAGTTGAAAAGGATTTCTCAATATAGGATCTTTTCACGGAAATTTTTCACAGCAGTCCAAAGCTAGCCAAATTTTGGTAGATGTTAACTCTGGTTTGTTCGAGTTAAACAAATGAATAAATGATTTGTAGGGGGACACTTTGAGGGAAGGTTTTGTGTCAAAGTACAAGCAAAGCACCGAGCAGTCAAGATAAAATTTTCTCTAAATGTTGGAAATAAAACCCAAATATATCGAGAATATAGCAAATCTCTTAAACCTGTCTGCAATTTCATTAAAAATTAGAGTAGATGACTGTTTTGAAATTTCTTTATCGTTTTTATCGCTGGAACCCATCACAGAGTTTAGAATTTAAAATTTTGACACAGATTACGTCAATCAAATCTAAGATCAATCAGACTTATACAAATTATATTAAGTTGTTCTGAATTTCCAGAAATTTGTTTAACTCTAATCACATATGAAATTGCATTTTCTAGGCCACAAAGTTACTTTGTGTACTTATTGTAGCTATGGTAACTGGTGATAAGATAGGCTTTCAATCTGCTGTTGAGGTAGTGTTCAATCGATAAGATACACATCTGTGAAGTTTTGATAAAACCGATCTAGGCGACAGGTAGTCAAACTACATAGCAATTATGATACAAAGGCAATACAAACTTTGAAAATTATCTTCATCTGCCAAAGACTAGTCTGTAAGTTTTATATTGACATTTCTCATGTCATAACTCTCTAAACGCACAGAATGCTCCATTGGCCTATTTCAGGTTAACTCTATTTCAAGAAACTTTCAGCAGATCAAAATATTAATTAAAACTAGGAAGAAAATAGAAATTACTTTTTAAATGTCCTGTTTCTGAACCCTAGCTCGTTAAAACGTCACTGACTACACCGTTTTAAGGCTGTTTTGCATAAAGAAGGGTCTTGTGCCCTCTGCAAGTAAAATGAACTCTGGATTCAAAACGTTTTGTTGGTTCGAGACCTTTACTATCTTAAAGTCGATTGGGAGAGTGAACTGCAAGTGTGATTTGTTATTTTTATAAAACACCCTCAAAATTGGTAATTTGTGTTTCTTCCTCGCTAATCCCATTTATGTTTGTATCTAATATTAGTCGTGAATGTATTTACACCGTCACTTTTCTTTCAGCATGCTCTGACAGGTCAGAGAACTGCAGATGGAACCTTAGCAAGTGCAACTACAAGGGCTATGGTCAATACTGGTGTAGAAAGAGCTGTGGGTTCTGTTAAGAACAAAAAGTTCCACTTTGATCTTACTTCTCAATTTTTCGAGTAAATCGATATATTTTCATGATATGAGAATGCTTTAAATTTTCCTTTTCTGACTTAATTGTCTTCTTTGAGAATAGTCTCGAAACGAATCTCCTTACCACATCGGTGCACTCTTTATCAATTAAGATGCTGTTGTTTTTATATTCGTCAAGTACTTTTTGACAAGTGGGTGAAAACCTAGATTATGGTGTAACATATTAAAAGAAAATCATTTTTGATGACGGTAGCCCTTCATTTATAATGTTGACTTGCTAGGGGCCCTCCATTAAAAGTTTACAAAATAAAACGCTAATTCTTACCTAAAATCTTAAGCATAATTGCAATTTCACTACGAATTGTCATAAAATCAAATCGATATGAAAATAAGGATGAAATAAATTTAAAATTAGAAAATAATGTTTTGCTCTTTGTGAACTATATCACATAAAGTAATCTTATGTTCTCACATTTTTTTTCTACGAACCCCTGCCCCCCCCCCCCTTACTGTTTATTCTGTTGTATAACACCTTGGTTCTGACACTATCACTAAGAACCATTCAAACTAAACTTGCCTAGAGAGTATTCTTAAGAATGAAATGTTGATGTTTTTTGCAGAGAAAGAAAATTATTGTTCTTTCGGGCTTTTTTGTTTTGGGTGCTCTTTCGAGTAGCTTTGCTGGGTAGCACCATCTCGCAGCTATGCAGGGAATAACCTTCAACAAAAAGATGAACTTAAGAAAATTTTCAATAATCTTTCATTCTGTTTTCTGTACGAATCAAGTGTATGTTGAATGGAATTGAATTTTCTGTAAAAATTGGCGTTCAATGGCGGAAAAATCCTCTACAAAATTAGCAGTGGAATTTAAATGACAACAGAATAGATTGTATACGTGATATTTACAGTTGTTTTATGGGTTTCATAGTCTAGCTCTGCCTTTAGTGCTCCTGTCGATACTTGATCTAAACGAATATAAAAACACAAAAGATACGAAACACAAAAAACACAAAAATTTCACTAAAGATACCGCAAGTCAGACCATAGTAAACCGTGGAAAAACAACCGTGCTTTCTAATGCTTACTGTTTGTTCTTATCAAGGACCATCGTCTAATATCGGTTGTAAGGCAAACAACCAACGCAAGCTTTTCCTTTTGATTCAATGAAAATCTAAAAATAAAAATTTCATATTAATCGTTTTATTCGTAATTCGATTGTTTATTCCATAGCATAAACACGCAATTAATGAAACAATTTGGTAAACATTTGTCCATGCAAAACTAAATGGTGTATCTGATAAATGCTTTCCCAGACTACCATTCTCATTCGAAAACATGTATTCAATTTTATTTTGAATCTCTTTTTATTACCGCTTCCATTGGTACTCGCCGCGTCCAACTCTTGAAAAAATTCAATACACGGCGCGTATAAGAGGAAATAAGGTTTTGAAGAAATTTTTAGATCTTGATGACCGAACCTATGTTAATTTTATGACTATAATTTTCAAAGCTTTTTACGTTTCTTAATGTTGAGTTAGCTTTATTCTTTTTAACTGAGAGGGCCATTGCAGAAAAGGATATTGTAGTGACGTCACTCGTGGTTTTTACACCAAGTACTTCAACCAGCATTCCGACGCGGTAAATTCGATGGAATATTTACAACGGATGCGATCAATGGCACAATTCAAAAAGAGCACAAGGTCTGTTTGATGATGAATACTCCCCTGCTTTGTACTTTGTTATGATATCTATCTGATTATTAATTTTTTATAATTCGGTTAAAGAGAACCACCTTTAGTTGTTATTCTCCGATACTAGGCGTATAAATATGGTGCCTTGCTCACAATCAGCATAGAACAGAATTCAAAACAAAGACAGCTAGGCCTAAATTGATTTTAACCAATTCAAACCAAACGGATAATGCGACATCCTAAAACCCCATCACATTTTAAAATTGTATCCTGTTCTTCTAAAACTGTACTATTAGCGAAGAACTTCTTTTGCTCCAGTTTTTCTTGATCAAACAATGATTTATTTTTTATGAGGTGAATAGTGGTGCACGAAAACAAGACAAATGCCTATGGCCTTTCGATACCATCTTAAATTATAATAATTTTTCATAATTTGCATCTATGAAAATAAGCTAGTCAAATACATTTTCCACATTAAACCTAATCATAGCAATTACATTTACTCAATTTGTGAGTGTATTTAAAAAGTTGTACTCAAATTGTTGAATATACACTTACGTTCAAAAAGTATTGGGACACCCTTCGAAACTTCGAAGACATTTTATGCAACAAATTCGGAAAGACTTTTTTAAAATCTTTCTCATTAAAAAAGTACGGCAGTTATTTCCATGAAATTTTCACAAGACATTGTTGATATTTTGAAGCCTTTTATGTACGCCAAAAAATTAAAAATACATCTACCATAAAATTTCTATAGGTCTCGAGACGAAAACATGGAAGCTCTGAAAACTCAAGAACTGAGTTAAGAGAAGCGCTTAAAAATTGCTTTCTACTATAATAATGTAAATGGATTTTGCGATATTGCATCAATTCTCGGCTGCTCAATGAGTGCAGCTTTTCTGGTGTGTAAAAAGTTTTTCCGTACAAGAACAGAAAAAAATTTACCAAGGGTTTGCAGACCAAAGAAGTTTACGACGCCTAGGGACGACAGGTCTTTACTGAGGGAACTGCGAAGTAATAGGTTTGAATCCTTACTAGATATTATGTTGTCGTGTAAAAGGAAGCTAATTTTTGGAACATAAGCAAAAACATGGCTATAGAAGTCATGAAAAATACAAATTTTCCAGCGTTATGAGAAGAAAATGCTCTCTCAAAGCAAAAATTACTCATCGACGATGAGTACAATGGCTTCTCCTTTAATGTTATGCAATTTTAAAAGTAGCTTGAATAAATGCAATAATTTAATAAATTTGTAGCATTTTCGTCGATGAAGTAAACTTTTTTTGAAGCTTAAAAGTTTGATTTTATAATTTCTTTAATAATTTTTTTTGTTATGCAAAGGTGAAATTAAAAAGTTGTATTTGTTTGGACAGCTCTAAAATTTTTGGAAGGTCATGTGACTTTGCCATTGTTAGGCCATTCAGCCCTTCTGCATATTTTGCTGTTATAATCAGGAAAATCGAAAGAATCCTGTATTTTCTTGGTTATTCTTCATAAGTTGAAGCATTTTGTTAACTTTTTATTTCATTTAGGGGAAACTTGGGCCTAGATTATTTGTAGAAAGACTGCCTAAATCTTAAAAAGTTTCCGTTGCAAAACCAAATCCAACGCAACGCCATAATTCGTTTATCGAATTCGTCCCAATACTTTTTGAACGTAAGTGTATATCTTGGAAAATACTTGTAGATAAGTTTTTTAAAACATAGATAGCTGATGTATTAAATATGGCGGGTAAAGAGACAGTTATAATTTGATGTGACATACATAAAAGTACACCATTGGTAAGTCTAGTGATGTTTTGGTGATATCGAAAAAGGATTCTTTACAAGGAATGTGTGATGTTCATCTTCTGGTAATAAGATATAAATGCTAAGTTGTCAAATGTATGTACAGTTTTATTTTTTTCTGTCTCATGTCACACTGTCAAGCTAATCTAGGGTGTGAATTCTTGATATTCTAGTTTGCTAAATATGCAAAATATGTGCCATCTGTGAATCTTGATTTCTTTACACTTTTGTTTTTTATGCACATCACAAGAATGTATACTTGGGTTGTTTCTCCAATACTGTTTTCTTTGATAAACACAATTTTATATAAAGAAAGTTTTTCCAAAAGATGGAAAAGCACACCTGAAGCAGTAAAGTACTAACATTTATTGTTAATCAAGGTCAACATGCTAAATTATGATCCTGTGGACCTGTTTTCAAAATGGCTCTGCAGGCTTAATCCATGTAAAGTTTGTTTACAAATTATTTGCACATGAGCTGAGACAATTTGCCCTAGTAGAGAGGCCAGTAATTTTAAAATTTCCATTTTTCAGCTGATGATCAAGCTAAATCTTATGATTGAGATGGTTATAAATACATAAATATCATATTATTTAATTTCATTGTTTGTTAAAATCAGTTTACCTCTTTAAATACAAATAAGTGCCTTGTTGATTAAAGAACCTATCACCTAAGAGGAAGATAAGTTGATACTAATTCAACTATCAAACTAATTTATTTCATTCTGGTACTCAATTTATTTGCTATCTATATTATCGTAATTTAATGATGCTGCTGATAAACTTGACTTAATAATTCAGGATTTTCTTAATCATATTCTGCATTTTGAATTTTTCTTTTAAGGGTGATACATTTCAATGCATTGGACATCTATGATAGCCAACAATTTTTCTGGTAATGATACTTGGTAGGTCATGCTATATAATAAGCAAGATTTGATTTTCTTAATTTTGTCTGTATTATTTTCTTAAAATGTAATCATTTTGTAGAAACATTTCCCTTTTAAACAATTGATTATTTCAGACACAACTAGAACAATATTGTTTTTGAAACTCTGGTTGACCTACTCTTGTTACTCACAAATTTTATCAATGAGATCTAAAATATCATGACTTGCAAATTATTCTTTCCTTCAAAGATCTTTTACTGGTGATATATCAAAATGATGCCTGTATACAGCCCTCGTGGCAATACACATGGTATGTTTGGTGATATGACTCAAGGTGGGCAGTATGAAAGCTACAATCAACAGCTATATCAAGGTGAGTTTGTGTCTTGTATAACATGTGTATCTCTGGTTTATAGGAATATAGGGATCATTAAGTTTAACATGCTGTTTGTGTTTTGGTTTTTTATAGCTTCACATTTTTGCCATTAGAATTTTCAAACCATTGAGAGTTATTTCTTTTATTATCTGTTTATGATTTGACTCTAATCAAGTATTTTATTTTGATTAAATTTGTAAGATTATTTTGATTCTTTTAGAATCTACCAAAGGAGACCATGGAAATATTCAGATGTTGTGAAACTAATTCTAAACCATGTTTGATGCCCATAAAACCCATTTATATAGGCTCATAAAGCCAAAAAGTAACATTGGATAATTATTGCAGTTAGAGACTAGCATTTATTTCTCAATGACCCACATGGATTAAAGGTTGACAAAAAAGAAATAGAGAATTTGGATTTGGAAAAAATCACTCTCTTTATTGTTCTCTTTTTCCTGGTGGTAGTATGTTAGGCTGTTCAGTATTTTTATTCTACTCAAGTAGAATAAAGATTGCTTCTCCATCACTGTATAATCATTGTTTGTGACATAATTTTCCCAAACTTATCATACTAAATTTTTCAATTCTATTTAGGTGGTGGTTTTAGTTTTCACAAAAGACATGAGAAAATTGATTGGAGAAGGCTTGGTAATCATAGTTTATTTGTTTATACTTATTGTAGCATAATATTTATACATGTTTATGCATATTTTTTAAAGAGGAGGTTTAAAAGCCTGAGATCACTTTGCCATGAAAATTTTTACCATCATAGGGAAAGTTTAATTTATAATTTAAATTGTCCTGTGTAGATTTCGGTATGCTCTTGAAGCAATTTTTGTATAGATTATATATCATGAAATTTCCTCTGTCATGTCTGATTGATGCTCATAGACAAAACTGTACATGCTTTGATGTATAGAAAAGGATGATTCAAAGTTGCAACTCGTTCCTGTTTTATGCACCAAAGAATATATTACAAATCATCTTATTTAATTTCCCAGCACATAACTACTTTATAAGAAATTAGAACAAAGTATCAAAGTAATTGATGTGTCCAGCTTTTCTTGCAATTTCTTATATTGCTATGATGTGCAGAACATTTCCAAACATATTATTTTGTATTTTGCTCAACGCAAATTAATAGCCAAAGCCTTGTCCAAAAAGCAAACACTCATTGCTTAAAAAACTTGAAAGAGTAACACCTCTTCTTTTTAGGACCTTAAGACAAGATGATTTCTTTGATAATGCCTTAGTCGTTAAATGCATTTACAAAATTCCCTGGACATCTATCTTGCTATTTGGCAGTTAAAAGGTTTATCTTGCTATATAGCAAAGCTTTAACTGTGCAAATTGCAGTTCTCATATTGATTTATATTAATTTTCTTTCAACTGTTTTTTTAAATATAAATTTACCTCAACTGTTTAATAACAATTTCTACATTGTTTTTTATGACTTAACAATTTTCCAAAGTACACCTCAAAGCTAATCGGAAAAGCTTTCCTTGCAGCCATGGTTGATATTGAGAAAGTGAAAAGGGAAGTTGATGTAAAAACACTACAGGACAATGTTGCAAATATAGCATTTTGTGATGTTGAAAATGAGCTGGTAATTGATACTCAAATTTTCTGTTCACATTCCTATAAAGGCAAAAATGCTGCTGCACATTATTAGTATCCTGTTTGCATTCTTCAGATGACTTTAATCAAAGTTTTAGATTTCTCTTCATAGTCTATTTTCATATCTCTGTGCTAACATCCTTCATTTTCACTTTCCCGTCTGCTTTCAAATTAAGCTAAGAATGTTTGAAGTAGGCATCTTTATTTGCACTAGACTAGCTAGCTTGTATTAATTTCATTCATTATGTGAGGGTTTTGACATGTTTTATCAGACTTAGAAAATGGTACAGTACTAATTTTTTTTAGTTTTTCCCTCTTGAACTGTGTTCTGCTATAGGAAGCACACTTTCAGACTATCACTGTAACCTTAGAAGATTCCAAAGACTAAACTTTGAGTTGGATCTTCAAAGGAATAGATAGTCAAAGCTTTCTGTATACTTTGAGATAGTCCAATGAAAATGCATTGCCTAAGTAGTAAACTTAATTTCCAATTCTCTGCATCATGCTAACATGTGAACAAGAAGATCATTTCATTTCATTCCTCCAAAATACAATTTATGCAACATAAATACAGATTTATGAAAATTACTCTATTTTACAGAATAATTTTTGACAAAGAAAAATCTATTTAGAGTAGTCTAGAATAAAGCAAAAGTAAAGAGTAATGATAGTGAATTTCTTAAAGAGAAACTCTGTCAGTAGGTAAAATAATCAAGGAGAGAGTCCCCCTATTTAGTAAAGAAAATATAACATATGTGATGATTTAGATAAACAAACAGGCAAATAGCATAACACAGTGGTTATGAGCTCTTTAAATAGAAAGTTAAATGGTCCTGAAGCTCTAAATAATAAGACGTAAAATTCAAAGAAATTTAATGATTTATTATATATTTCTTTGGTACTTCACAGAGTCTGAGAGAAGCTGATGCCAATTTAGTGAAGCTATTCAAGCTGGCACAGTTGCTGATAGAATATCTTCTAAACTCTCAGCAGTACTTGGAAGGCTATATTGCTCAGGTTGAGAGTCAGATTCAAAAAGCTGTTGAGGTTTGTATGATCAAAATTTGTGTCCAGCATGAAATGTGCTATGCCAGATAGCAGTATTTCTTTTTCCCAAATTCGAAAGTTTTTCTTTTTTAAAATTTGCCTGGTGAATAGCATGTCCATGTTTCCTAAAATTATGCACACTTCTTTATCTCAAAAATGAGTAAATAAGGATGGTTGTCTCATTTAGAGGATTCTGCTTGGCTCTACTTTGATGGTTATGTGGATTAGATAAAAGTAGATAAAAGGGGGGATTCTTTGTGTTTCCTGAGAAAAGAGTCTTTATTTCAATATGAATGAATCTTCTCAGTAGATGGTTAAACCCTTTCAAATAGAAGTTCATTTTTAATGATAAAAAATATTCAAACTGATGTTAGCGGAAAGAAGTAATTATCTACTTTGCATGTATCTTAAACATATCAAGTAAATGATGAATAGTGACCAAGTAAATGAGGCTATTCCTTTATTTACTATTGTACTTGATTCCTCAGTAATCTCTTGATTTTTTCTGTAATCATTGGATATTCTTTTGGTTCAATAGGAGAAAAGTAACTTGAGTGCAGAGATCGAAAAAAAGAATATGGCTTACCGTGGTCTGAAGAAGGAGCATCAAAAAAATAAAAAGCTGATTGGAGAATATCAGCTAATGCTCCGAGCGGGTGCCAGTAAGTTCCATAAGGTAAGTGACGTCACTTTCTTTCCCATTCCTCTAAAGATGTAAGCCAATCATTCACGTGAGGGAACACGAAATAATGAAGCACTTTAGGATATTGTTGGTAGTTCCCATACCACATTTGATACAATAGTTCACATCCTACCCCATTTGATAACAATTGTTTTATATTTCTATCTTTTTAATTTATGAATTTTATCCTCCTATTCACTATGATTGGTTGTTTATTTGTGTTGTTCAATCCCGAATCAGTGGCGCTTAAATTGATCCAAATAAAATTGAAATATTTTTTTCAGTGTCCGTTTTGCATAAAGTCGTTCTTAAATGATGAATTTTTGAAAGCTCATATATTGCGAAGACACTCTGAGCAGTCAGAAAACATTAAGATCGATGCAACGCCTGTTCAAAAAAATGTTATTGATACAAACCGCACTGGACAGCAAGGCAAGTCTGTTGACAACGAAGAGCTTGTCAAAGAGTTAAGCCACATCACATCAAAGCTACAGGAAACAGAGGCTCGATTGGTGGCAGAAAGAGAAGAGAGAGATCGTAAACTAGACGCTGTAAGTCTCCTTCAAACCAACGTCAAAGCTTTGATTGTCCTAGATAGTGTCAATGACGTTTTTTTAACCCCTGCCTGATATAATGTCAGCGAAGACTGTCTGATATCGTGGATTGTAATTTAGAATCTTAAAAATGTTCATTAACAACAATTATAAAAAATTTTCATAAACTCAATTATTATTAAGTTTTCTTTATTTTTGAAAATTATTGTGTTATCTTCCAAAAATGAGAATTTTTCTGGGCACAGTCCTCATCCATTTGCAGGGCAAGATCATGCCATTTAATTCTGGTAACAGCTAGATATTCGTGTGCACATAGTTATATTTTCTAATACTTCTTCTATGTTTGGCCCTTAATTGTATACTGATTCAATTACTGGTAACCAAGATCTTCGTAAATAGTAAAATGTATATATATATGTCATATTCTTCTGGTGTTTCATTTTGACGTACTTCAGATGATCGTGATAACAATAAGTTCTCTATTCTCTTTCATGGCGTATGACATTGTCATATGATAATGACTTTAACATGTTGTGCATTTTGCCTGAAAACATTCATGAAAATGAATTTCGGTCCAATAATTTTTTACTTTGGTCTGCCAATTTATTTTGCAGACAATTTTTAGAAGTCTTTTAAAATGGAAGATGGATTGAAATATTGTCACTACAAGATCCTAATGGCTATTTAGTTTTAAACTCTCATGCTAGCATAATATCATTCTGCAGATCAGATGGAATCAATGATTTGAATAACATCAGCTATCTTTGTTGAATCACAAGATTTCTTTATGAATTGTAAGATTGATTTCTTCTTTTGTCATAGGAAAGAGAAATGGAATTTAAAAAGATGCAAGAATACTCGCGAAGTGAATTAGCGGGTAAAGACAAAGAAATCGCAGATATGAAGGTGGTTATGTAAACTAAATTAGATGTTTATATGTAAACAAAATTAATTAAAAATAGACAGCAGCTGCCTGATGGCATTAAGCAGTTATCTTGGAGTTGCAACTTAGAACCACCCTGTTCTATACACCAATGCGTATGCAACTCTGCCAATTCGGCATTGAGTATCTTATAAAAGACCGCTTAAACAGTAATTTTACTCAGTGGCGGTCGCCCCCCCCCTCGCCCTCCCAAGTGTCCGCCACTGATTTTACTTATATGTAAATAAATAGATCAGAACAAATTTGCGAAATGAAAATAGATGAATAGAGTATGGGTTGAGATGAAGACTGTCTCCATACTAATACAGATATTTTTTAAGCCGCAAATTCAACTTTATAAAGAAAACGGTGATGTCAGACAATGCATTCCATTGCCAGGTTCTGATAAAAAGTCACAAGGATATGTTTCTGGACGAAATTCGACAGCTACGTGCGGACAGAAACACGCTGCAGCAGGTGAGCAAGTTTGATTTGTAATAACTGATAGTCACAAACTGATACTGATGAGTTAGTTTTGGAAAAGGCAGAATGGTGGATTGTTGCTTTATGACGTCACACACGGAAAACACCATTAAGCATTGTGGAGCGTCTCTGGCCTACAGGAAATAGGCCTCGATAGCACTACAATACAAAATACAGTCCAAGTTATAAATTTAAATGATCATGAAAATCAGTAGACTTATGGTCAGTAGGCCTTAGGCAAGCTAGCTTAACTTTCATAACACTATGCTAATTCTGCTATGCCAAAGGCTACTCCGATTTAGTTCTGATTTTCTATATTCAAATTGAACTTTTATGTAGCAATATTCCGTTCTTTTTTCGTTTCTTATTTTATACATACTTTTTCAGAAATTCGACAATTTGTCAGAAATCCAAGGTTAGTATTAGTTGCCCTGTTTCAATAATTCTCGTGGTTCTAGTTGCTTCAAGAAGAAGAAAAATTCAAATTTCTTTAGGTTCATGGCTGAAAAAATCAATTATCTTCCCAAAAAATTGGATTTCGCTCATTTTATGCATTAAGTGATTTTTTGCTAAATATGAAGGTAAAATTTATAAATTCTAGGCTTTTTACAATGAACTTTGCATTGAATGCTAGCATCAGTTCTCAATCTTAAGCTGGCTGTTGAATGAAGTCTTGATGAGCAGGTGGTTTAAAAAAAACAAATAATTTTTATTGCCCAGTATCGTTTGGATGTTTTTAATTATTTCCAGGAACGAAGCCATCAATGCTAGGAAATCTACAGGTACAATTGAAGTTCCATGATTTGATTTGCTCTAGATATGTTGTTAACCGATCGTGTGTGTCTTTAGATTTTTCAACTCCTCCCCCCATTTAATTGGCAGCTAACTGAAAAAAAACATGCCTGTTAAATGGTCACAATTCCTACCTATTTCTTGCTGTCTAGTTATAAGTTTCCATATTTTCTCAAGAGAAATACGTCCCCCTACTAATATTTATTTGACTTGTAAGCAGCTTCCTTGCTTTCTATTTATGTCCCTCAACCTCTGATAAATTTCATAGAATTCTTTGTCTATTTGTTATGAATCTCACATTCACTGTGCATCTCAAAAGCTTGGCTTCTTCTTTATAATCCATGCTAACTCTATTGTTTCTCCAATGTTAATGCATACTAATGGGGTCAAAATTTCCTTGATTTCAGTTTATTAGTGGTAATGATTCTCATTTCACAATATCATCCATTCTCATTATCTTGCCTGTGTAATAGGATGTTACTGGAGAATCACACCATGAGCCAGACATGGCGCAGATCAAGGAGCAGCTGCAGAAAGAGGTACCACTGTTCAAACATTACATAGGAACTGATTGCTTAATTATCGGAAGATTGAAAACATGATTAACTTCGAAATTCACGACTTTTGAAGTCCAGAATTCAAAAACATGCAATGAAAATCACGTTATTCCAGACGAGCTAGAGATAGATAGATGCAAAACAAAATTTTAGCTGTTTTCACTAATTTCAAATTATTATGTTGGACCTTGGCAACAAATCTCTACCAGAAGATAGGCAATTTTGCCATTCATATTATTTTGGAAAAAAGAGGTTTTGCCTTTTTCAGAGGAATTATGTCTTTTTCCAAAATTTGATTTTCCTTTGGGGATTGGTGCATCCTTAATCCATGACTGAAGATTTCCTGTAAGAAAGATTATTTTCTTGTGATTTCCGCTGGCCTAAATAATTTTCTTGTCATCTGGTCATGGCGAAGGTAACGCCAAATTTATAATCCCCTGGTTAGGACCAAAGTTTTTTGTTTTTCAGCTAACGGAGTCGTACCAAGAACAATTAGAAAAAGTAACGAGGGCTGCGAGAAGAAGAGAAGACCAGATGAAGAAGGTGCATGCTGAAGAACTCGACAAGGTTTGTAGAAAACAAACAAGTGTTAGTTGCTTCTATTCCGAAAATTTAATTTGTAAAATTCTGTATCTGGGAACTTTAATAATGCTGTTGTCTTTGTGTAGGTTGAAAGTGGTGTTTTGACTGAATAAAAGGGCGTATATACGTATAATCATTGTCAACATTGTTCGGAACACCCAAAACTTTGCGCTGTGCATTTCTACTTTTCATTTTTTTTCCAAATACTGCTACCGTCCCCCTTTACCCCAGAACAATGTTGAAAGTAAAGAAAAATTAAGTACAAGCCACAGTATGAAACGTACTATTTCCTATTTCTTTAACCTATTTATTTTTACTATAGTATAATCCTCATTTTTCCTAGGGGGAGGGTGGGGGGAGTTTCTGAATTTGCCTTTAGTGTTCTAAGAATTTTGGCAGTGAATGTACGTTTGTTAACAGCGTTCATAAACTGCTGAAAATAATCCTACCCTCCCTGAAATGAAATTTCAATTTGAAAATTCACGACCTGGAAAATAAGCTTTAATCCTCATTAGTCATCTTAATACCTACATGGTTTTAACAAAACATTGACTTTAGCACCAAACTCCGTAACAATAACCTTATCAGGAGTTTGGCCATAAATTTTTCTGTTTATTTACTATCAGAGTATACAGTAAGCATATTTCATAGCTACCGAAGAGTTATTCATTGTATATTCAGATTAAGACATTCCGATGTCATTTTAATACCGATATAATTGACCCTTTTTTCTTCAGTTTTCGTCATTGGTAACAAAATATGAAGATTCGTTAAAAAGATCGGAGCTAGAGAAGAGTGAAATGGAAGCCAAATTTTTAAAAGAGCTGCAGTTAAATAGCATGGTATGAAGTTGGATGTCTTCACGTAATTCATATAAGGTGTAAAGATAAATCCTAATCTCTGATTAAAAGACAAGTGTTTCTTTTACAATCATCTGCTTTCTGTTAACATCAATCAAAACAAATATGATTATGAAAAAATTTTGTAAGTTTTGAGGACCAGCGATATTTGCTTTTACGTCGTTTATGACAAAAAAAAATTGATAGGAATTATTTCATGGCTATTTTAGATGCAAACTACGACATCCGTTTTAATTTTTTCCCTTATCCTTCTCACTGTCCAATTGTGTGTGCTTCTGTCCTATGGTGTTTTTGTATTACCCCAGCCTTAATTCGAAATCAGCGGTTACTAATTCTTTGGTGACCGATTTTTTATTAATTAAAAGTTTTAATTTTTCAGAATCGTAACTTTCGATCACTTCCTTACATTATATTCTTACCGAGTATTTTAGGTAACTTTGAAAATTTCTCTATTTTTAACCAGAAATTCCAAGAAATGGTGGGCGAACAGCAGGTAATCTCTCAATATCTTACTCACGTTCCTAACTTACAGTTGAATTATCTTTGGAATCTATTTACATAAGCACGAAAAAACCGCTATTGTGTAGACAAAAGGAGCGTTATCACCTTAGGACTCCATTGCTGGTAACATTCTCTATGGGCAAGCGGCACTGATTGGTCAACCTTAACAGTCATGTGCTCGCGTTTCTGATTGGCCTATTTCGATCCACGACTTTTTGATTGGCCTATTTAGATCCTCAACTGGGTATATATATTTCCTAGCGTGGAGTTTTCGATCTATGTTCTAACATTTTAAACTCTGAAGAGTGTCAGACGAAAGCTTTAGTTTACTCAAATGTTTGCTTTTTTCAAAGCCATTTTGAATTATCTCTGTTGGTATTCATAGAATAATCATAATGGTTTTTCAGTCCTCGACATATTAATTGTAGCCAAGGACTGCTAATTTGTATATTCTAAACTAAGTTTCAGGTTAATGATGTATAAGACGATTCAGAGTCTTGAATGTTTATAAAAATCAATCATTAAGGGCATATACTGTTGTGAAACTTAAGCTAGCTTGCCTAAGGTCTACTGATCATGATAACATAGTTGCGTATTGTAAGAATATCCTTTAATTCTCAGCTTTTGTACAACATAGCATGGTTTGTATTTTAGACCAAGCTTTCCAAAATGGAAGAACGTCTCAACACAAAAGGGCGAAAAGATATTGCTGAAGAGGAGACCATTTTTGAATCAAATACAACGCCAAATGCTGTTTTTGCCTCGACACCAAGTACGTCCAAGTCAGCCCAGTTTTTATGAGCTTCTTATCCCTGCTGATTGAAATTAAATGTTTAGAGAATTTTGTATTTTCTAGCGAATTTGCCTGCCAAAAATTATTTCGAAATTCAAACCCCCAAACACTTTTCTATCCAATCACTTGCAAAAGCACTTCGCTCCATGACGTCAACGACGCAACAGGATTCTCTATTTGATATCTGAGGCGCGTTGCTCAGTCATGTTGCTCACAGCTGACACAGTAGCCTAGTCTCACCAACAATTTGTTGTAAGAACAAACTAAGCTTGAAAATTAAATTCGTCTTTTCTAAGGACTATAGGATCTAGCTTGTGTGCATGTTGGTGATTTTCAAAAGAAAAAGTCATTAAAGGTTGTGTCAAATGCTTTATTTGAATTTGATTGCCTTTTCATTCCGTTGTATGTCGACTTCCCCAAAGCATTTTTTTCTTTAAAAAGAAATTGTTTAAAACATTTGAATTTTCTTTCAGAATTTGCATCATAAGTTATCCACTTGTAAGGCCGATGCAAACAGTTATGGTTTTGAGCTTTTTAATCGTCAAATGTTCTTTTTACTGTCAAACTAATCAGTAGTTTTTTCGTACAGTATCTTTTATTTTCTTGACATGTGTTTTTAGTCATTCAGACTTGATAATTTTGATACAGTTTAAATTAAAGGCTCTTGCTTTGTCTAGTGATAAAACGATCGTTGGAGGACTCAAAGCAAAAACCAGACCAAGGTGACGTAATAAATTGCTTTCTGTTTTGCACTTCAGTTAGTAAACAATCCTATGATGGTACAAAACTTAAGAATAGTTTTGAAAAAGCAAACATTTGAGTCTACTGACGCTTTTCGTCTGAAATTCTTCAGAGTATTAAGCTCTGATAGAGTCTTCTTTTTATACTCTGAATAGTGTCAAACGAAAAGCTTCAGCATACTCAAATGTTTGCTTTCTTCAAAGCTATTCTTCTGCTTGTATGCCTGGAATACTTCCTTC